AGCCCTGTTTTAGAAACTTGCTGGTATAATAAATATTCCGCTCCTTGAAATCCTTTACGTTGCTACAAGCTCTAGCGAATCTAATTAACTGAGAAACATAGACCCCGTAAGATATTGCATGGGGTACGTCCCCATCTGTTGTTTGTTTGTTTGTTTCATTTTATGCCTTTCCCCCAACAGTATTTCTGTCATATAGGTGGGTAGTTCCCTAACCATCGTTCCTGGAGAGTTACATCTATACTAGACTACCTTCAATCGTGCTTTACTACCAAAGCATATCCCGGGGATTGAACCCATGCCAGAGAGGTAACTGGATTAGAAGTCATCGACTCTAACCCCACGACCACGGAGGCGGTACGTCTCCATCTAAATGTGGATAATTAACAATACGAAAGTAAAAGTCAACTCTTTTATCATAGATTTTCGTGTGAAAAGATTTGTTGTTAATAGTAACATGAAGATGCAAAAAAAGATGTACTAAAATTTCAAGAGTTCGTTTTATTAAGTTGTTGTTCAGGAGGATAAATGTCAGACACCATTTGATCAAAATAAGAATTATCTAGTAAATTAAAAATATCATCATGGTATCTGGAAGTATTATTAGATGCGACTATAACATTGTTAATTTATGTGGCAAAGTTGTATAAAGTGTAGAAAATTCGTATATACTGACAGTTGAAGCTTGATAGATGTTTATTTTGAATTTACCCAAGATTTCACCAGAATTTTTAATAAACCAACAGAAATGTTTGCCCGTATTTTCATAGACTTTATCACAATTTCTAATTACATGTGTTTTAATGGCAGTCAAACAAGACGTCAATAAAATAGAAAGTTTACTTGTAGTGCAAGATGTAGAATGAGCAATGTTTTTTATGTAATTTAGCAATCCAAAACATAATAGGAAGTTTGAGTTATTTTTCATTATTTGAACTTGAAGATTGGAAATATTAGTGATATGATTGTTTACAATGTTTTTTCTCGGAGGCAGATGTTTTAGAATACGCATTAGTACTATTTAGTTTCTTATGCAAAACGTTAATGTAATGGATTCGTCATACAATTATAATATTATAAGCCGCCTTGTCCGCAAGCACCAAAACAAATTTTGAATGAAAAGCTGGAATAACCTTTTTCAGATATCATAAAGTAAGTATTGGTTTAGGTGGCAGAGGATCTCCATTTCCACGATAAAAAATTAATACGTGAATCAATAATTTTAAAGATGTTACGTTTCCATATAACTAGAGCAATACTAACCGCATTTTCACGGCGACAACATTTGACAGAAATACTCCTTTATAGATTCAGCAATCTGCCCACGACAAGCATCAAAATCAATCTCAATCAATTCTGCATTTAGGTCCTTTCAAGAAAAAGTTACGAATTCTTTTGTCTGTGATTATATCAAAATTACCAGTGATTATATTATATGGCCAAAATCTGAATAACATAATTTAGAAGTATTGCAGCCTCAAGTTTTTGGAGTATAAGACTGAATATCTCAGTCAAAAGTGTTGTCGATATGAGGTATTAAGACGTGCTGAGTATAACGGATCTGTTTGAATATCTATATTATCTGTCTCCGCGTCTATGATTTTCAAAGATGATAATGGAAGGGAAATAAGACGTGTTAACATCGCATGTTTACAAGAAATTTTGTAGATAATATTTTAGTCGGTGACAGACAGGGTAATTTTAGATTTACGTTTGATGTTGCCTTTTCTACGTACTTCGTGAGATCGGGATTTACGTTTACGAATATTGATAATAGAAAATATATCAATGTTAGGATCTTTAGAGATGTTACCTTTTTGAAAAATATTGTCATTTAGGCCAAGTGGGAAAGGCGTTTGTAAGTTCTTGATCCATTTTAATTCTGCTAAGTGTCTAACTTTAACTTTGAAACTAGCAGAAACTAGCAGAAGCATCAGAATCATAAATTATTTGTTCCACTGATTGATTTGAAACATTTTTAAAAGAATCACCATTTTTACGAAAATGTTGATAAAGAAAAGTTGTAAATTTTGTGCCATTTCTAATTTCATAAAAAAATGTTCACGGAATCGAATTTTAAGAGAAAGTCCTGTCTGACCAACATACTGTATTAAAAAAAATGTTAAATGTTCTCCCATCGACAATAGAGGCTATTGTATGCCTGTGCGATAAAAAGTTACAACATCCGCACCTCTTAGAATTACACTTATTTATAGAAAGATACACTCTAGATCTATGAGGGTGATTTGTATGAGCGATATAATATTTCTTTAGAATGGTACGTTTATAGGGGAAAGCCTAATGCGTATAGAATTATTGAAAATATTAGAGTTTATGGATCGTGGCATATAAAATGAATTAACAGATGAAAAAGAACTGATTTCTATACTCTGTTGCGGGTATATATACCCGTGTAAGAAATAAACATGTATACGTGAGTACATTCATGCCTTCAGAAATGGTTTATGTAATCAGTTACAGTTAGCCAATGGTTCTCCTTTAAACGATGTAACGCGAAGAACCAGTAAATAACAAATATCAAAGTTGTAGGCCTTGTGGTTTTCGACAAGAAGATTTTCAAAGACTTTTAAAAAAGAAATCGGGTAACGCCCATGTGGGACCCCCTTTTGACCTTAGAGGCATAATTTAAACAATCTTTGTAGCGAACCATAAGATAATGTTACATCAAATACCAAGAATCTTGGCCTTGTGGATTTCAGCAAGAAGACTTTTAAATATTTTCCTACATAACTTTATATAAACTGATGAGCCTCCTGGCAGGGCCCCTTGTGACCCTATGGTCATAATTTAAACAGTCTTTGTAGAGGACCACTAGATCATGTCACATACATAATATCAATGCGAAGTGAATATTTGTCCCTCTTAATCTCTTTGTCTAAATCTTTTGAATACATAAGCCGAATACACATCAGTCACGCATCGTTGATGATTAAAGTATTTAATAAGTTAACATTATTTATGATTTAATCATCAATGACGCGCAAAATGTCGGTATTAAAAACCGGTGTAAAGTATCCTGCCCAATAACTTATTTGGTGTTGTTGTGCTAAATAAACAGTATCTCCATTTCATATCAACGGGATGTGTGATTGGGAAAGGAATTTTTACTTAAAATGCATTTCGTTTGGACCATTCTATTACAGTAACTTTTCTTTTTCCAAAATATTTATGTTATGCTAAAGTTCACATAAATAATACATATATGTCCGACTCATTGAAAACATGTTTTTATTCATTATAACTACATTATTGAGACAGTTGATTTTTATCATAACTCAGTTATTGCTAAAAGTAATTTAAAATCCGTATTTGAAAGGTGAATGCCTTCGTCATCACAAAATACTCGTATTGCTGTAAATATTGCTTTATGTGCTACCTTAAACCAACTAATAATAGTGTATTGTATTTACAAAATATAATGAAAGAAATCCAGTTTTTGATAATCCTTTATTTTTTTTTTTTATTTTAAATATAATAACACACGTACATGTATTTTCATTGAAATAAGAACCAATAAGCCTCAGATGTCCCGATGTTAGATGTTCGAAAAGGAAACTATAACAAATTTCCGTGAAGAAATTGACAATATCTGTTTAGAATGTTGTGAATTATACACATGATATACATGTATATGTATTAATTAAATTAAAAGAAAAAGATACGTTTACAATATATATCGTAGTTATTGTAATTTATGATACCATGTAAACATATATAATACATGATATTGTAATTGTTTAAATTTAATGCGTGTGTTTCTGTTTCTTATATAAAAACTTGACTTGAAGAATGATAATGAACAATAAATGACGGCTTTAATATGATTTCACTTATAACTCAATGTCTTTTAGATTATATACTGTACATCAATAAAATCTGAATGTCTTAATGTACATTATTGGATTATGGATCGAAATGTTCAATCATTTAAAGGTTTATGATAGTCTTAGGATCGAGGTGTCTAAAGGTCAAGGTGTCAAGGGGTCGAGATGTCATAGAAACTAAATAACTACATCATTCGAGACTAAACAATGAATAACGAGACACATAAATTTAAATAGACTATACTTCAACATTATGAACAACGCGTTTAAATATAACATAATTCTAATGACACGATTATTGACATAACCTTGATACATGCTGATGCAATATAATGTATCCCAGTGTAACCTAAATTCGGCGATATAAGAACAATGTCAATGGCATTTTCAATAAACTACAGTAATCTATAATTATACTTGATATAATTTTACTACAACTATTCAAAAATTACTTTAAGTTGATTTCTAACAATGTAATCGTTCAGTGGTTGCCAAATAAATATAAACAAATATGTTTGATGTAAAATCTTACTACGATCTGAAAACGTCACCTAAATTCGCCGATTCTGATTGGTTGCAGTAATTTTTTAATTTTGGCGGGATTGTGACGAAGTATGTTGTTGACCTAGATCGGTAGTTAAAGTAGTAAGATAACTGACGGCGATTGTCAAAATATTTTTGGCAACAATATCAATCAAATAGAGGAAAGTATAGATGGACTTGAAATTGCATCAGGTAAAACACACAATTATCTCCATGTCATACACAATTTTAATGTTTGCCAGCCGTATCCATATCTCCATCTTTAGAACAGAAAATCACTCGAGTTGTAAAAATAGACCGTGGGACATAAACATGATTGACCTTCACCTCTGAAATCTCGCGTGGATGACCAAAAACAAAACATCGCCGAATTTAGGAGAACGCCGAATTCGGGTCACGGTAGGATATAAAATATTTACCATAAACGCGAATTTATCGGCCATTTATATTGACATACTATTGATTTCTTTAGAAAGATAATTAATAGTTATGGCAATGGTTCTTCTAAAGAGGGAGCAAACAATATGTTAACATCAATGTTATTACTTAATATTTTAGTGAATGTCTTTCAAATATACGTACCGTATCATTTTGAAATTTTAAAAACAAACTTACCAATAGCTTGTATCCGCCATTCTGTCACGGAGTCGGGAAGAATGACCTTTTTTTTCATCAGACCATTTCTTAAATTCACAATTAACTTATTCATTAAGTAAATAACGCCCCTAGAGGCATAGTAAATATAGCTCGTATAGCGGACCAGTAGGTGATGTTATATTGCAAATATCTAAACTCTGGAAAGAAGATTTTTAAAACATATTTTTAGCTCATTTTTCTATTGATCATTCAGTTAGGAACAGATCCGGAAAGTGGACTCGATAGATAATGATACCATCAGTTACGTTACATACTTTCTTTAGAAAGTATCATTAACTAAACAATAGGCAAGTAAATATTATGCCGCAAATTCGGGTTATTGTATTTCATTGATTAAATTTAAGAGGTAAGTAACTCACTTATCTAAACTTAAGACATCAAACATCCAGGATTCTCGGGAAGCTGATCTAATTCTACTTTGGATACCAGCATTAGTCAACTTTGCAATATCCTCCAAATAGTCACTGTGTTCGTCTAATTGTCCTATAACCGAAAACATTATTCCCTTCACATTTCATTTGCAAATAATCACAATTTCATCATAACAAATTAATTTCACACATATTATGCATCCCGTTTGCTTTATAAGTTTATGATGGGCAAAGTTTTTTTTGAATAGTTTTTTTTGTTACGAATTGAAAACAATCCTGTCCTGTTGATTTGTTTTTGGAGAATCCCATATCTGACAAGAATTATTTTTGTTTAGGAAACAAAATTTACATTTACAAAGAAGATATAGCGATGCACATTCAATAGATAACAAAAATTATGCGGGTTTAATTTTTCATTCTTAAATTGAATGTCTATTCCACCTTTAACATAATAGCAATCGTCATACTAGTATTATATATATTCACAATCATTTCATTCAAATCTACGTGTACCTTTCATAGTTTTGCTGTTGTTGGTGTGACTTAAGGTCATTTTTCTATACCCCCAAAGAAAAAAACAAAACAAACAACAACAACAACAACACAACAACGAAAAAAGCAACAAACAAAAAACAATCCCCCCAAAGAAATAAAACAGCTTTAAAAAAGTATTATATCAAGTGATTTTGATATGGCACTTTATAGTTAATTGTAAACGTCTGCCAATACAAAATCTGAAACAGAACTGAATGCAAAATGGATTTAAACAATTTTCCGCCAAGACAATCTTAACGGGAGATCATTTGATTGCCAAGGATACAGACTTAAGATACTAGCATCCTTAGACTTTATGTATTTGTTTGCACTTTTACACATGCTTGAAGAGTTATGTGAAACATATTGTTTATTAAGTAATATTTCCTAAGTAAGTTAAGCAAAACTTGTTACTATTTAATCAAGCAAACACTTACCGTAGGCATCCCGACGTTTTCTTGTTTTTCCCTTACATCCGGCTGTGGTCCGTACTATATCCTTTTCATCCAATAAAGAGTTAGTTAACACTGTCAGTCCGGTTTTCTGACATGAAAATTAATTTCAATTGATTTGTCCATAATATATTGAAATATAAAGCAAGCACAGGTTAACATTTTTATGGCGTCCAGGTTATAACATAGATAAAATTGTCAAGGCGCTGGTCTAGTCAAATATATGTTCTGTAGCTATGTTTTATAAATAATTAGAACAAAAATCGATTCAGTAAACTCACAATTGTTTCTTACCTTAAGCTGAGTAAATAGAAATAAATATCTACAGAAGGATTTGAAAGATCAATATTGAAAACATATTTCGATTCTACCTATAGCATGAAGTACGTAGTTATCAACTTCAACCTGAACAGGTATTGTCCCTCTTAGACCATGTTAAAATTCATTTGGCAATATGACTACTTTTAGTAAAAGGGACTCCACTGAGGTTTTTAGACATGATGGGACTGAAAATATTTTTCCAGATTTCAGATCATTCGTTTTTCCAGAATAATTATTTAAATTGTAAATAAAATACCCAAAATGAAAGGTGTTTAAACGCCTCTCATTCAAATCGGGCTAAGAAAAGCATAAAAACACGATTTTCAATTTATTTCAAAGTATATTTCTTAACTATCTTTTAATTGAATAAATATTTCTGTTTAAAATGTCCAAGCTCATAAGACGAGAAAAAACGAGCATGCCCTAATAGCCTGAAAAGTAATTGTATTGATATTTGTATCTTATTCGTGCTCGTCGCTCTATAAAAAATATACTTTTAAAAAATGAACCTCGTAGAGATAGATTTTCAATGTGTTCACTCCAAACATATATTATCTATATCAAATGCTCTACCTCGTTGACTGGAGATAGTACATATAAGATTTGTATTCATAGTATAATTTTCGAGGGAAACATATGTTCTGACCTTGAACACATCAGCTCCTGATCTCCCTCCACCTTCTCCACAACCAAGGTCATGTGACTGGAGAGTCTCAAACATCTGACAATATACCAATATCATAAGTTATCCGATTTTTTTAAAAAGTGATTTTTCATTTCATGCAATAAAATCCTTTAATTATAGGCAATTACAAAGCAAACCTGCAAAGTAAACTTAAGCGCGATAATTTGATTGATAAGAACGTTCAAAACACAATTAAAACTGACTGACCAGTTGATTTATATATTTTACTCGAAAATGGAATGCATATGGTTGCTTTTAACTCTTCTTTAATAAACTGTGAAATTTCTGTCAGTATCATTTTTTTGACAGATAATGTTATTGTTAACTACTCAGATAAATGGTGTCTCATTAAAATGTACACATGTAACCAGAACCAAAAGAAGGTACTTCAATACTTTTTAGACTTTTCACGTTATTATGGTATTCGATTAGCTATAAGGAATATGGTGCTTCTCATGTCTTCTTAAACCCGAAAATCGGGATCGTCGCCTTCACAGTTTTGATTCAATTGAAATCTAAGAACATTCACAGTCCGAAATTTAGAAAACTGCGATTCACTCTAAAAATTCGTGTTACATTTTTTATCACCTACCTTGCTCTTCTGTAAAATATTCTTATCGTTCTGTAAAAGGAGTGCCTTGTCTATTATGTTTAGACCGATGTGCATGAAAGGGGTTCCGGTAACAATTAACGTGAATCTGGCTCCCGGTTTAACTACCTTCCTGTCCGTTTCTAAATTTAGCTACAAAAGTTAAGATTTAAGTTAATGATCTTGCACTGTACAGACACATCAGATTATAGATATTACACAGAAGATAGGTTTTTGGCCATACATAGCAAGGATCAAAATAAAACAAACTATGCATTTGCCATACATATTTTAAAAGAAAATAAAGCAAGCTATACATTTTGCAATACGTACCTGAGAACAAAATAAGTAATACATTTGTCAGCATGCATAATTATATACATGTCAGCATGTCGAGGACTGAATGGAAACATGTCAGATTTTTGTTAATTATCTCTTCTTTTGCATATTATTGACAATAATAACCTTACATATTTTTTGCAATATAAACATGTATATAGCAGCATATTCTTATAATAAGGTGCATGTATTTTAACATTATAGTTTCAAAAGTGTCATTACTTTAGCTAAAAGTTTTCACAAAGAAAAACTTAATAATTTGAGTTACACAACTGCAAAGTAATACAATTATTCAAATATTAGAATAAACCGTGATTATAAACCGATAAACACATTCTAATAATTGTCATCATATCAAGAATGAAAACAAATCCGAAATTCAATCATTTTTAGTTGTAACACATGTTTTACATTATTATATACTAACATTATTATAAATTAATCTAATATGTTGACAGATTTGCTATTCCTTTTCATATCTAATGTCTTTAATTCATTTTTGAACTTCCAATTCGTTTGAAAATTTTATATATTGTGCCTTGATTTCAATTTACTTACACCTTTACCGCGGCATTTCTTTTCAACCTCAAACTTAATAGAGTCAGCGACAAGCTCATGTGTAGTATGATCAACATAGAAGACAAGAAGTCTTGCATCAGGTGAGACAAGTTCTGGTAGATCCTCCTTAATCTCTTGATTAGCCACATTTGATTCTTCTTTATATTTTGTATAAACTACTTTACCACGTGAAACACCCTGTAATATCAACATCAGTTAATAAACATTATCACCATCATCATCATCACTATCATCAACAACATCAATATCAACCAACATCTAAATAATCATCAAAAAGTTATTATTAAAAACAATAATAAAAATGATAAAAAATTAAAAGAAAATAATAATGATGATGAGGAGGATGATAATAACAATTACATCCGTAATATTCACCATCATCATCATTATCGTCGTGGTCGTCATTACCACAATCGTCATCATCATCATCATCAACAACAACAACATCATTATCAAAAACAACAACATCAAGACATATAATTTTTATCATTTTTCATCATTTAAAATATCATCATCATCAGCAGCAGCTGCAGCAGCAGCAGCAGCATCTGCATCTGCGTAGTTGTCAAGGCACATCATGAAGTTCGCCATTAACAATACCTGAATCATTAATTAAGGCACGAACAACAGCAGAATTATACTCATTTATTATTATTGTAAAATCAGCGTTATCAGAATAACCATTGATATATATCAACTTAACAAGCCTGCTTTCGGTAGCTCTTCTCAGGCACCTGTCCGTTTGTGCTTGAAATAATTCACAAAAAGGCACATGTCGCAATATGGCCTATAAAGTGTTGGTGCGACGTTTACCTCGCAATAAAAATATCGTAAATTTCAAATGAAATTAAGTAACCTGTTACATCAAAACGACGTACATTCTTATACAATATGTGTACTTAAAAGAAGTTTTGTAAAATTCAACATACCACAATAAGCATTCCAGTTGAAGAATGCCTTTTAGTGTTTGTAAAGGCTCGTATCATGTTCTTCTCCTGGGTAGAAAAAAGCAAAGTGATACTTGTACATTCGTCAAAACTTGTATTTATACTTAGAGTTTACGCGGCAGTTATTTCTCCACAAAGCTTGCTCAATTTTACAGGCAGTATTGTTAACACAACTTTCCTTTATAGTCGTTGGTAACTAGCAGTTAAACAATGTAGCGGAATAAGTTACTTAGAATATAATTATGTAAAGTAGAGAATAAATGAATCCTTTTAGAAATTCCAAAACAACAAAATAAAAAAAAAATTGCAGGCTCGGTTTGATTGAGCCTGTTCATATACGGTACTGTCAAGGGGAAACACCCCTAAGCTTAAAAATGTTTAAATACATACGCACATGTGTTCATACGGTAGTTATATTGTCACAAACCTTCTATGCGACACTTACGTGCAATTCTATGAAAAGTGGCGTAAGTTACCACGTTATTTTCAGAGCAATGCAACACTTGCGTTCAGTCTGTTACCCTAAATGGTATGAATCGTCAGGTTTCCTAAAAAAAAAACAGTTGCCTCCAAATGGATCCCTGGCAGAATTTACACAATATTTCTCGAATATGTGTAAATGTTTTAATTGTTGGTATTGACCAATTAAGAAGATAAAGAGGTAGACCAATAGATTCGGTCGTGGAAAGCATGGAGGGAGCATTTAAAAAATTCCCTTGTCATGGCATGAATAGAATAATTGAGAACTCTAAAGCCTGTTCTGTATTTCTTATCATACGGCGAAGAATAGTTTTTTCTCTTTATGAGTAATGATGAAAACACTTCCATAAAAAAAGGTTTAGCCTATAATCATTTTCTGAGTAATTTGGGATTCGAACATGCTACAATTTGGGGGCCTCCAAGAGTTTTTCAACATCCTTATTACCCCATCATACTACTATGTTAATATGTTTGCCTCAATCGTTCTTGAAAGAAGCATCCACAAGTTGATCTGTAAAGTTGCTTGTTACAGACGCAATATGTATTGTAATAGACAAAAGCTAATTATAGCACACACAAGCTATAAATCAAACACAAGTTGTACTGCTGTATTGTAACAAACGAAAGATGTATTATGACACACACACACGCTGTTATGATTCATACACACGTTGTAATGGAACAGACACAAGTTGTAAGGTAACACATTTTTGCTGAAATGAATCACAAGTATTAATGTATCAGGCACAAGTATTACAGTTTCAGACACATGTTCTGATGCTTCTGACACAGTTATGTTTTATGTTAAAGAAAATATTACCGTGTCCAACCGCTCAATTTGGATTTGATTCTTTCCAGAGTATGCAGTCACCTCAAATATATCACTTTCATACATCATGTCGAGAGATGACACCTGTTTAAAATAAATTATTTCATATTTATAACTGCAAAACTGTAAACTGACAAATCGTTTTACCCCGTTTAGTTTATAATATTTTACCCTGTTAGTATGATACACGATAATGTATTCCGAAATTGCTTTTACAAAATGCATTCAATTAAAGTCACAACTGAATATTAATACAAGATTTTTTAAAGACTTGAGTGATTCTGTTTTTCTCTTTTTTCTCTTCAAAGAATCTAGGAAGAACTAATGCAATATAATTAGGCCTTAATGACAAAATTAGATAAAAACCTAATTCCTTTGATAACTCCTAAATGGAAATTATCGAAAATGCAGAAAATCTCCCTTTTTACATTGTTTGACTGATTGAACAGAAAATACTTTTTTATACCTCATTGTCTTCTAAATGTACTTTTGCTAATAGAAATGGAAATAGTGTTATCGATTATTTTATATTCTCAAGAACTCTTTTTGATAGCATTATAAACACACAAGTGGTTGAAACTTCTGAAAGTTCCCATTTTCTTGTCCAAATATTAATAAAGATTGTGCAATATAAAAAAGGGCAATAACTCTTCAGTGATTAAAGATAAGACCTATATAAATTCAAATAATCATACCAAATTTCTTGATATGTTATCTAAAGATATTATAAACGGTACTTTTGAAGAATTTGAGAACAGTATTGCTGATTATACACAGGATATCAACATTATACTTGAAACTTTTGAGAATGCTGTACTAGAAAGTAACATACCTTTTAAAAACGTCTTAACCTTCCGTAAAAATATTTCTAATAAAATATGGTTTGATAGAGACTGTTTAAAGGCGAAATTAAATTCACGTAAAGCCCTTAGAAGTTTTCAGAATAATCGTACAAATAGTAATTTAAATAACTATTTAGACTTAAAATCTATTTATAAAAATATGTGTAAAACAAAACGTTTTCTGTATAATACAAAATGTTTAAAACAACTTGATCACTCAGTTAATGATGCTAAAATGTTCTGGAGAAATCTCAGCCGTTGTAGTGGCCAAAGTAAAACAGTACCAAACATTTCTTTAATTGAGTGGTATGATCATTTTAGTACTTTGTTTGCAGCTTCAAGTGCAAGTTCACAGGTTCATGACTCAAATGACCAGTCTGTAAATAATATCAGTGATGTTGAGTATTCTTTATTTAATTCTGAAATAACTACTGATGAAATATTATATGCTGTTCAAAACTTAAATGTTAATAAGGCAACAGGTGGAATATTAATTCCTGAACATTTTAGATATGGAATAAACGCATTGCTTCCTTTTTTGTTGAAACTTTTAATAGGTTATTTAAAACAGGAGAATTTCCAGAAAAATGGTCTAGGTCTATTATTATTCCTGTATACAAAAAGGGATCAATACACTGTCCCAGCAACTACAGAGGTATTGCCTTGATAGATATTATAAGTAAAATTTATTTATTCATTATTACTAAACGTGTTACATTTTATGTTGAAGCATTTGAACTTTTAACAGAATAACAGGCAGGATTTAGGTCTGGATACTCAACAATTGACAATGCTTTCATTTTATCCTCAATTATAAATAAGTACTTGAATCAGAAAAGGAAACCTATATATGTTGCTTTTATTGACTTTCAGAAAGCTTTTGATTCTGTTAACCATGATATTTTGTTTTCTATTCTTCGTCAAAATAATATTTAGGGTAATCTTTATCGATCAATTATTTCAGTGTATCGTTCTGTAAAGGCTTGTGTTAAAACACAAGATGGTCTCACTGATATTTTTAGATGCCCTCTAGGCCTAAGACAAGGATGTGCCTTAAGCCCTGTTTTGTTCTGTCTATTTATAGATGAGCTTCACACATTTTTTAGTCGTAATAATGTTAGAGGGATACAATTATTCCCTGATATAACTGAAATATTTATGCTTCTTTTTGCAGACGATGTAGCTTTGATATCAGACACAGTAGTTGGTCTGCAAAAACAATTGAATTAACTTTATGAATTTTGTAATGAAATTAAGATATATGTAAATATTGAAAAAAACGAAAATAATTATTTTCAAACGAGGCGGTAGAATAGCTGCTAGAGAATCTTGGGTTTATGATAACATAAATGTTGATATAGTTAATGGGTTTTCATATGTTGGTTTGTATTTTACTAATCGCCTATGTTTATACAAAATGGCAGAGGACAAGGCGATTAAAGCTAAGAAAGTATTTAATCATATTGTTAGCTCGTTAAATAATTTAGGATGTATACCCTATCAAACATTTTTCAAAATATTTGATGTTAAAGTTAGTCCAGTATTATTGTATGGCTGCGAAATATGGGGAACAGGTAACATATCATGCACTGAAGATATTCATAAATATGCATGTAAACGTTTTCTTTATGTAAAGAGAACAGCTTGCAATGATTCAGTTTTAGGGGATTTGGGTCGTTACCCTATGTATATACTGGTTTATAAACGCATTGTGAAATATTGGATACGTATTATTAATATGCATCCTTCTAGATATGTTAAAATGTGTTATAATATGTTAAGATATTTTGATAATATTGGACATAAAAATTGGGTAACTGTACTTAGAACTAACTTGTATCAAAACAGTTTTGGATATATTTGGGAAATGCAATGTGTGGATCAGCCAATTTTATTTTTATCAATATATGTCAATAGATTAAAAGACCAATTTGTTCAAAATTGGATGTCAAAATGTTCATTAAATGTGAAATTGATGGATTATATTCATTTTAAAAAAGATTATTTACCTGCAAAATATGTTTATTGTCTGGATATTAAAAAATTTAGAAGTGTTTTAGCAAATTTTCGATCTTCATCTCATTGTTTATCGATAGAAACTGGGAGATATAGTTGTATTGAACGTGATTATAGATATTGCCCATTTTGTGAATGTGTACAAGAAAATGAGTACCATTTTGTACTTATTTGTCCACTTTACTCTAATATAAGACATACTTACATCAGTGATTATTTCTGGAATATCCTTCATACATAAAATATTATAATCTGATGTCAACTCAAGATATTGATACAATTAAGAAATTAGCAAATTTTCTATATCTAGCGTTTAGAGAACTTGATCAATTTTTGTCTATGTTTAGATAATTAGTAATTTATACTTTTCTTTGATAAATGTAGCGCTTAAAGAACACGATTATTTTTGTCTATGATTAGATAATTAGTACCAATTCTATTTCTATGATAATTGTTGACATTTTGTTTTATATATTTCTATTATGTCTTAACCATGTCTGATTTGTAGCATCCACAAATGTATATTTTGTATTATAAATCTTTATATGTGTATGGGCCGGTGGCCTAATAACTCAATAAAGTTTGATTGATTGACTATCAATACCTCTACTGAAACTAACCGTGAATGAAATTGTCTGTTTTCCGCTAGACGTCTGAAATATACATATTGCTAGCCCTTCGTCGTTTGTTGTAACATTTCGTTCTTCTTTAAAAGTCCCATCTTCGTTCATTCTTAACACAAAATCTTGGTTAGAAGCAGGTTTCCCATTTACATATAGAGCTTGAACCTTTAGTAAAAAAACACTGATGTTAATAAAGTAAATATCACTTAAAAACACTCATTTTAAAGTCGTTTTTTTTAAAGATCAATCTATATTGTTGGTAAATCATATTGACTTCTTATATAACAGTCATATAGAGAATTTTGAATAGCACAAGTTTAAAACGACAGTGAAGAAGAACGTAAATAATTAGATGAAATGGTAGGCATTGTACATTAGCGAAGTATATAAAAAAAATTTTTTTTCGTTTCTGATTTAATTTCTAAATTGTTTAATAATCGGTGAATGGCGTCTGAATATGTCAAATTGTTTAACAGAACCATAAAGTCAGAACTTTATAAATGCAGCAAAAGTACAAACACAATTTAAACCTTTTAGTATATCTTTGTAGCTTTAATTTAAAAAAAACCTTTAAGTTATATTCCAACTCTGGCCGGAAGAACTGTTTTGATTTAGTGAACTCGAAAATATATGGATTCATTCTGAAGATTGTTTCTTCGTTACTTCGAGTCTCCTCGTTCCCTGTTGCACTTTCATAAACCATTGCAATCACTTCTAGGCGTTTTCCGGTGGGGAAAGATTTATTGCTTAGTAACGAAGAGTTCAGTATTTGATCAACATTGATATTGAATTCTGTCACACTTTCTTTGTGCCTGTTGTTTTCAAACTGTAAATAAAAAAGGAGAATGACTTTAGGAATTCATAACAATTTACTGTTACAGAGATACGCGATTATTTTAAGCTATGAAAATCTGAGCACATATTAAGGGTAACGGTAAAACTTGCAAAGCTTCGAAACACGGAAATAATAAAAAAGACTAAATCAGGAGTGGGTTAGCAAAGGTGCATATTGTTTCCAAAAGGGTTTAAGTTTTGTCAAATTCGCTATGGACTCTCAAAAGCTAACTTGTGTTTCTAGACTAGCTAATATAATTGGTAAGAAAGATCGCGTGAAAGTTACTATTCATGAAACGTATTGTGTATGTTTAAGTATTTTCTTTAAAAAAATGGGATATTTCCTCGTACGTAAAAATCTTAAACAACAAACTCCCTTTGAAACCTTGAGAGGAAAATTAAAAAGACGATCCTCAGACAATAGGTTTAATCGAGCGACAATAGAATTGACATATCTAATGCAGTTTAGTACCGTTTAATGCACCACAGAAATAATTCAAAAGAAAAATGAATTAACGTACACTTGTAATATTTCTTTTTTATGTTGAACACCAACTAAACTTTTGTCATATAACAATTCAATACACATACATGGGTTTCCTGGTAATACAAAACAGATGCACCAGGGTTTAATCTTTCGAGATAACTTAAGGTGAATATTTTTATTTAATTTGGAAAAAATGACAGTCAGTGGTTCTTGAACAAGAAAAACACACCTGCCAATGGACCTCTAATATGTAGACAAAATTTCACATTTTTGCGTTTAAAAAATGATAAAGAATTATTCATTAAATAGCTTTTATATCTCATTATCTAATCTGTGCTTCGAAAAATAGGATACTTTCGTCTTAATTCTATTTCTTGTAAATGAAAGAAATATTTTTTATGTATTGTTTAATCGGCTTGTGGATCCGTGTTCCAATTAAGATGCCTAGCCTTTCTTAAGGCTAAAAGAAGACCGTATTTTCATTTACGCACACAAAGAGCAATATAATGATGGCGATCGAGTTCAACGATGGTCATTTATTAACTATATGAGAATTTTATGTATATGAAATGAAATGTTGAAAAATCGACTCTATAGAACGCAAATCAGCTTACCTGTTTTCTCGCAGTTTCTAAGATGTAGTCACTATCTTTATCATCGTCTTTCAATTTCAACATAAGTCTTGCATTTCCTTCAACCGGCTTGCCGTATACATATCTTTAAAAAATGAATGCATGTTTCAAATATCTAATTTAGGTTGGGTTTCAAGATGCAGTGTCACTTTCAACTTTTTCTGCCGGAGTAAGATATAAGGTGTCAATAATATATGAATTATCTCAGACTCAAGCATGCGTTTGAGTCGAACATGTCTCAAAGAAATTATGAAAAAGCTTGTTATTAAAGATTAACACGAAAAGGAGAATAAAGATTTAAAATTAATTTTGTTTTCTTACTTCGCTTTTACAATGACAGTAATATATCTTGTGTCTGGAAGAAGAAAATCAACGTCAATGTCAACTGTCACTTCGAACGTTAGAGGATCTGCAATAAGGTCAAAGAAATAATGAAAAAGGTTATTATTAAAGATTAACACGAAAAGGAGAAAATAGATTAAAATCAATTTTGTTTTCTTACTTCACTTTTACAGTGACAGTAATATGTCTTGTGTCAACATCAACGTCAACTGTTACGAACTGCAATCAGGTCAATAATTGTAAAATACAATACCATATCAAATACCTGCTTTGATCATTTATTGATCGAACAAGCGTTGAAGTGCATGCGATTTGAAGCCAACGTCATTTAACCGCTTGGACTCGGACGCCTCAAAAAATCAATAAAAGGGAGAAAAACGGAGAAGAAGATACGTTATTGCATAAACATAGTTTTATTGCTACAATCCCTCAAGTATTACATATTTTTGGCATCAAATACATGTACGTGTTTTAAAAATATAATTGTTTTACATGTAGTGAAAAAAAGATAAACAATAACAAAAAACATCTATTTACCATATTCGCGAACTTCAAAGAGGGCACGCGACTCAGTTTCAAACTGAAAAAGGATGTATATATCTGGCAAATACAGTATATATTAAAGTTTATGGTATATTGTGTTAGAAAATGCTAATTGATAGTGAGACACAAATGACATTGATCTCTGTTAATCGTGGTATGGAATAATACCTTAAAGAGGATTAACAACCATCGTAAAATGTTTGCATCACTAGACTTCAAATGACACAAACAAACACATAGGACAATATCTTTATCAGAGTTACGTATGGCATTCAACGGGCCCAAAAGATTAAACCATACTCACTTGGCCGAATAACAGTCACAGATAATTGTGATTGTCGTTTAAAAAGGTTACTGTAATAAATAAAAAGTTATTGAAGTTTATAAAGCTTATATTAACTAGTATAGACTTTACTTTTATACGTTTACAAACTAGCTTTCCTATTGACAAGTTATTGAATATATGCATACATTTATGATAAAACGTTCATTATGCAGGAAAGATAAAACCATTGTCTATTTAAAATTGAACTTTTTACCCGTCCATTATAAAAAGATCTTGCAGTCCAAACTCCTATCTCAGGGTAAGGCGGTAAGATGAAGTCATTTTGAAAGAATCCTGTAGTACTATGCTTCATCAACTTTCTTCCCATCGTTAAGTTTGAAGGACTCTGAAATGGTAACACAAGTAACATGCGCTGTTTATTTAAGTGTTCGACCTTATATCTACTAAGCAATAAAGTCAAGCTTGAAGATATCGAAGTTAGGATGAGATGAAAAGGAGGATGGTTGCGAATATCATTAGCGTGTCTCAAAAATGTCGAATCGACAACTTACAACTGGAATGTATAGGATTTGCATACCGGAGGGCAAGAACTCTACCCACTGAAGCCATGTCCATCGCATGGGACCACCGATTCTATAACGCAACAACGTTATGTGGTGGACGGCATGCACCATTTTACTAGCATAATGAACGCTTTACACTATTTTGTGTTGCAGAGAATGATCGTGTTGGCGATGGTTCAGTCAAGATATGGGTGGGAATAAGCGCTCATTGGAAAACGGATCTACACACAATTTAAAAAGGTCATAAACTGACGTCTAAGACATAGATTAGTCAATAACATGTTGGATGTCTATGTACGACTATATTCAGGTACTCTTGGTATTATGATTATGCCCGTGCACACATGGACCGCATATTGAACAGTCTACAATTGTCTAAATGGATTGTACAGCAAGATTATCTGACCGAAATCCCATTAAATATGCTTTTGATATTCTACAGGAAACAGTGACAAACCAGCCTTATTTCAGGAGGCTCTTATAGAGGAATGGGCTAAGATCTCGAACCATAAACTAGGAAGGGTTAACACCAGCATGCGGTGGCAATGTCAGTGCCTTTACTTATCCCAGTGACCACCATTCATGATATTAAAGAAGATAAAAAATCTTTGAATTTTCCGAAATTCATAGTTTAAGATGTATTTTTGATATTGCAATTTCTCCTTAGCGTTCTTTTAACCACGTTTTCGCATCAAGATCCATTTTTACAATAAAATACTAGCATACACACAAACATGTCCCTTACATATTGTTCACATACTCTCCTTAAAACACATATACATAAGTTATAAATTGTTAGCAAGTTTTAGCAGATGATCTTCAATTTTCAACACTTTTCATGGTTATAATCAACGCATATACAGGAGTTCCTAATTGTATTACATTTTCTTTAAAACTTATAACATTTCTTTACAAGTAAAGTTTAAACTGACCAAGAAATATACAAATCAACAAATCATGTCGAGGTACAAACAATAATCCATCTCATCCTTAGATATACTGAATACGTCAATACATCATCATCATTATCATTATCAATTGTTATGATAAAAAATGGCTTTCGTTACAAATAGTATCATTAAACGATTAATAATTAAAAGGAAAGGAAACATAAATTTTCTTTCATTGGACCGAAGATGAGAAGAGATAAACCTAATAGCGCTATAGTGACAAAATTATTCTAATTCTCGATAGTGATTTCAAAATAGGTGAAAAGTTAAGTGTTGGAAATCTCATTATCATTTATTTAATGCAATGGATGAAATACCAGTTCCGGTGTGTTATCTTCACGAATGAAAAAGTATGATAACAACCAATTGAATACTACTGTAAACTTAAAAAAAATGTTTATATCCATTGTTTATTAACATTTGTCCATGTTTCGCTCAAACTGGTGTAATATGCTTGCCCTCCTTTGAATTTTGAACAGTTAAATTCCAATTTTAGGAATATTACTATCAAATGTAAAAACTGAGCTACCAATAGAGTCCTGTCAGTGTGAAAGCTATCATAGGGTTATCATACTAAAGTCGCACATCTTATTCTACAACCAAAGCCTGCCATATAAATAATAACATAAAAAACAACAAATGAGATTTAAATTCTCACATAAAATCAGTTAATAACTAAAAGCTTAAACAAAAGCATAATAACTAAAAGCTTAAACAAAAGCATGGTGCTACAACTGCAACACTTATTGAGGTCAATCAAGTACTTCAAGTATAATAATGCAAGAAAGGTATACTTCACGAACCAAACCTGCTGGGATATAGCGCATGTCGCGTAAAACGTTGCATTGTTGTCTGCAAACTATTCGCCTTTAAACTAAGCCTCTCAATAACAGAAGAGAAGTGCATGTTTATATATAATTTATATACATCGTAGGTGTGACGATAATTGAAAAATGGAAACTATGAATTAAAACTCCTTTAACTTGGACAACCGTTGTATTTACATATAGAAAACCGTTTTCAAAAAACATTAATTTATCGATGCCCTGTTCTTTACAAATATTTGCTGAGTGTATGTTTTAGATTTTATTATTAAAAACAGAAAAGTTTACTTACGATAATATCCATGCCTACTTCCCAACCATCGACAGCTTTAAATGATTCATCAAGTGCTAAAGTTCTTATTTTAACTGAAAAAAAGCAAGAAAAAACTTCATTTTCTAATAAGGCTGTTTGTTTTTTCAATAGAATTTGATTTGAATATTACAATCACGGTAAAAAGGGGTTTTAAGATGTTCTTTTATGAGAAGAAAAGTGTGTTAAAAAATCTTTTTCCTATTACGCGATTGCCACACTTTTCACTGACGACGTAGGATATCCCTACCTTACTTTGTTGACCTATATGTCACCTAAAATTATGTGTAAATATTTTTGTTTATACATTTAAATATATATCGTGTTGTGTGATTTGTTGTGTTTCAAAAGTGTTTGCCGTTACCGATTTTTTACAGAAATTTAACAATGTCTTTGATATTTAAATAGTGTAACTGAACATTATTTTCCAATAATGCAACCGATTTCTATAACACAAATTTCGTTATTCGAGTAAATACGAACGTTAATATCTTTCATCTTTTCTTTTTAATTAAAAGAAATAAATAAAGAAAATGAATAAAAAAATCCATCCAATACCATTAAATTTAATTTCCTTTTCAAACTGTATGCAAAATTTACGGCTATATAGTCTTTTTAATTTTCGTTATATTAGCTATTAACTTTTAAATGATCAGCATTCTGAATTTTGATAGATTTTCATTATAAAGTGTTTTGTTTTTGTTTTGGCAAGTTTAAAGAATGCGTTGAACATTTAAATAAATTTTATATCTAGCATTAGATATGTCAAAAACACTATCGATGTAAACATTGTAAAGATGAATGATAACCATAGTAATAAGAAAACAAATTGAACACCTCTATTAGAATAATAAAGATAAAATAGATATACCTCTTTGTCGAGGTGTATATATCGGTTTGTCCGTCTGTACGATCAGGTAACCTGAATGATAGCTGAGGATTATTTCCCTTGATTGTTTCGTTCCTTTCCATTCCGAACATAATTTGACTTTCCTCGGCTTTTTGTCAACCACACTGTCAAATATATCAGTTTCTTGGACTTTCACAGTCAAGTAAGTTGGAGTTTCTATAATTTGATGAGAAAATGACAACAATTATTTCGATTCTCAAATTCATGCTTACTCTTGTCAGTTACTTAGCCAAACATTCGAATTCGAATAAACAACTATGGTATGATCAAGTCTCGCAGAAACAATAAATGTCACATAGAAAATGACCCCTCCTGTGTGCCCATAATCAGATACCATACAACACAAGCTGGTACAATAGAGTACCCGAAAGGAACAATTTATCCTCATTTCGGAATCTTGAAACCTTGACAGTTCACAGGTATAATTTGATACGAACCCAGTAGTGATTAGAAAGAAAAGAAAACAGAGAAAGGCAATTAACTTTACCGTACATCAATACGTAGCCAATACAGGTCTTAAATTATATACAATGAACACAGCTTATCCTACCATCTCATTAGAAAAAAAGATAAAAAGACAGACGAAACACAATGAGAGAAAGATAGATTATCTAGTATGTTAATTTACAAAATTGATTAAAAGTACCGGCTACAAACATTTAGGTTCACACAACATTCGTAAAAATCTTAAGAACATACATTAATAAAAGATTAATCATAACTTGCCTTGGTCCTTAACTACGACATTTCTTATTGAAAATTGTTTGCCCTCGTGCTCCATCCAAAGCTGTATGTTAATAAAGATAAGAACATTTTACCAACATTATCAACTGGATATGTGTGTAAACTCTTAACAGCGAACGCTGTTTAGTATTTGCAGCTCATATCTAAAAGCTGTAGAGCACCCTACACTATATACTACTGTTAAGTAAACTGTATAACTTAGCTGTTGTTTATTTTAGAACATGTTATCATTTTAAATTACACTGCTTATGAATATTTCAAATAATATTTAAAGATAACATAATAAGATTTAGATAACATTTCTATGTTTCTATGTTTAATATCTTAAAGAATATCATAACCATTGTGTAAAATATCAAAATAAAGACAATTAATTTCTTTTCCTTTGATGTGTATGATACTGAATATTTATCGAACATAAAAAAAAAGGATCAAGTAAGAGAGACAAAAAAGAAATCATAAGACGTTACCTTGACAGATGCATCTGTTTCTCCAAATACACTGACAACAACTGTCTCATCTTGTTCAAATCTTATCACGTTTGGAGCTATGACGAAGTAGTAACCGCTGAAAATGTACAAAGAAAAAACTTTCAAGAAGTTATTTCAGTATGTAGATGATTCTGTGATTATAATCACCACAACTCTGAACAAATCAACGTAATTAGAAACAACCACACTATTAACGACTTGTCCGTCTAGATCATAAATCGCAAATAATTTGCGCATGGTAAGGAATGATAAAGAGCCCGTCTGTAGATTTTCTACAGTCTTGCTGGAAAAACTCTGGAAAATAACCGATTTTCCATGAATTTCCATGAATTTTCATGGAAACAAGGTTTTTTCCACAGTATTTACAGAGTACTCTGGAACAAATTTCATGGAGAACTCTGGAACTTGACTTTTTCATCAAAGAAATAACCATGAAACACTTCTGGAAACTCTGGAAAGTTAACACTTACACAATTTTCAAGGAGTTTTACTCTGGAAAACAGTCATTTTTTAGAAAGTTTTGGGCTTAGGAAATTTTAATTTGATTTCTGCATTTACGTATACTTCACTTAAGACATTAAACTTTAATATTTTTCCCTAAGAAGGCATAAATAATCTTTTTAATATAAGTTTTCTGGTTTTAAGACATAATAAAAATAAAAACAATTTAAAATATGACATTGACACAATTATAAATTGTTGACCAGATATATAAAAACAGCAAGAACAAATGAATCTAATTACTTAGCATTGAGATTGGCCATTATTATTACATGTGTACCCAATGTAATTAAAAGTAGCAGTTAGCAAAATAAACACTTATATTTAAACAAAATGAAACCGTAATAAGCCCCTCAAGAGCTTAACTGTTTCTTTTTTTTGTGCAAAAAAAAAAAAAAAAAAAAACAAAAAAAAAAAAACAAAAAAAAAAACACAAAGATATAAAAACACAAAAAACACATGCAACCCCATTGCCACACTTTGGCATTGAAAATGCATTAAGGTATTTTTTCATTTAACTCTCATTATTTTCAAGGTATCTCATATCAAGCCTGATCTGAGTGGTTCATTATTATATATTACCCTAAGTTAGAAGAAATAAATACACAATTAAAGAGAAACAAGTTAAATTTAAGAGCAAATGTAATTGTTAAGCACTTATGTTTCTTTATTTATTGATGATAAATTCATTATGTATCCCTATTGAAGTATATATAATTTATAAATTCATCCTGTGTAGAGGTAACTTATGTATAGTGAATAATTTCTGGAACATTCAAATCAGCATCAGCCACAATGTAAATATTTATGACCCCTCAAGTGGAACCCACTGGTTTCATAACTACCAAAGTTAAACTCACCTATCTGATATAAGAGAATAGAAAGAGGTAAAACAGGTTTACAACATACTATATTACACTGTAGCTCCTAAGTAACTTAATACCCTTGCAGAACAAATCACAGGTCAGAACACTCCTTACAGGCGGGTAATTTGAACAGAAGCATTGAAAGATAATGTTTATTAGTGCCTAACTGCTTAAAAGATATAACTTGAAATATTATGTTTGAGCATTGGAAATTAGATCAAATATGTTTAAACTGGACAAATTTACAAAAGTTTTCTACTTTTAAACATGTGAATTTCATGATTCAGTTAAAATGGAGGGAACTACATGTATATAACCATTTCTAACAGTAAGTACAAATGTATTTTTATTTTTTAACACTTATTATTTTAGTTTTTTCAAACTTTCTTTGCAAGTATACACTGTTTCAGTGATTGTATTTCTACATACATGTAACTTTTCAATATTAATAGTTAAGAAAATCTTTTTCATTTTTAAATAATGGCGGGAAATTTTAAATCAGAGATTATAATTTTCCATTCAAAATATTGGTGATTGAAACAGATTCCATATCAAGCAATGAATTTCCAAATTCACATTTAATAAAATTCATAATATGCCTTAATTGTAATTTCTTGTTACTCATGTACATATGTTTATTTTTTCAACATATAAGGTTGCAAACTTTCAAGTCTTGGAGTCACATGAGATGTTTCAACTGAAAGGATATCAGATGAGGGAAAATGAATACATGTACTGTTGAATACAGAATGTTTACAGAACTATCCTGGTAATAATTTAGTTTGTTTTGTTGAAAAAAGTCGAAGTAACATGTTTTCATATGCTATTTTCCAAACACTGAACAAAATGTTGTTCTTCATGTTTTATGCCTGTATTATTGTTAATGCTATACTGACTCCACTGAACACATCTCTATACTGACTCAAATGAACACATCTTAAACTTTCAGTGGTAATTAAGAACTTGTGAAGATCATTGAGTAATTTAAACTGCCATTACATAAAGTTATCATTACATAGATATAGGAAAAGAAGGGAAATAATTAACACAAGTTTATCATAATGTTAATTTTGTCCAAAAATAAATTATTTTCATCAAAGCATGGTGTTTACTTAATAACTCTGAGCTGATATTCTGCAAAAATCATTTACTTGAATGTTTTCCATCTAAATTTTTTTCATCCTTTCATGTTTCGTATCAATCTTGTTTAAACATTACTAATTATATTGACACTGTGCATATAACACAAGTACATGTATTTATATACAATTGATTTATATTTTCAGTATCCATAGGAGAGGTCACACCACATGTCAAGAAGATGTTGCATCACGTGAAGTGAAGGATATATACATGTGTACTAGATGGATGTAAAATTACATTTGTTTGAATAAAACACTCTGACTTAGAAATAATTGTGAAATGTGCAAATTACTATAAGTGTTTGAATTCTTGACAACTAGAGTGCCTTTTTGGACTTGCTAATAAAAACACAAATGCAAATTAAAAGGTCATTTGATTTTAGTATGCAACCATCATTTCAGTAATCCCAAAATGTTCCAGAGTGAATTCCATAGTAATTCCAGAATTATTTCAAGGCTAAATTTGGCATCTTACTCCAGATCCTATTTTTAACTGCGAATGTTTTCCAGAGCGGCTCTGGAACATTTTCCAGAGTAACTCCGGAACATTTTCCAGAGTAACTCCGGAACATTTTCCAGAGTAACTCTGGAACATTTTTTCCGGAGTAGTATGTCATTTTAGCAGAACAATTTCCAGAATTGCTTTGAAAACTCTGGAACATTTTCATGGAAAACTATGGAAAAGTTTCATGAAAATAGCTCTGGAAATTCATGGAGAAAATACATGAAAATTCGCGACTTTTTTCAGATTTCTTTGAACAACTCCGGAAAACTAGTCCGAATTACCCAGAGTTGGCAATTTCCATGAAAATTCCGGAAGTTTTCATGGAAAATCATGGAAAATGTACGGACGGGTAGTGCACATTATTTAACATTGGTTTGTTTAACAAGTAGTTCTCCCCGTATTGTCAGAAATATGTGACTCTAAAATATAGGAATAACTAGGAATACAGTTGATAATTAATTATTTAGTGGCACATACGATTAATAAAATTTATTTTTTATGCTTTTTTTCTTTTCTATGTAAAATAAATATGTTGACTTAAAACTATATTTGTCCAATGAAAAAATGTAAGAAATCATAATTTTATTAAACATATAATAAAATAAAATATATTTAAATGTCCAAATATATATTTATCCACTAACAAAATATATGAACTATCTACCTAAAGAATAATTGTGTTCTAAAACATTTTATAAGAGAGAAATTATTTAAATGGACAAAAATATATCCAATAAAAAATATTATATATTTAAATAGAAATTGTTGAGTAAAAAAAATAGATCTTGTCTAAAAAATATTTTATAACTTGCATAATGGGATATTGCGAGACTTGTCACAACAGTTTTGTTCTATTGAATAAAGTGCTGCTTTCGGCACAGAAACGTTTTCGCGTTATTTCTTAAAAATGTGTTTCAATACAGTGTTTGTTCTTTGAAATGTATTTCATCAGTGTGAACCTGTATTAGAGTTTCTTTTTCAATGTCGGCAATTTGCCACGCAAGTCCTGTGTTATTCTTACGTGGTGGTAAACGGTGGGGAAGACAATGACAGCATTAAGGAATATTTCTTTGACAGACAATAACACTATTTACTAAAGTCACTAAAGTTCAACCAGTGATCTTTCTCTTGACCTGGTGACTTGACCTTGACCTGCTGTGTGTCTCCTCTGCGACCTGCACGCCACGAGAGGTATGTTGAGAAGAAAGTATAGTGGTTATTGCTTACATTTGAGAGAAAACGATTAGGGAGTTGAATTATCCTAATTACGAATCCCTTCCAAGAGAGCCAATCAGAACTATTTGTTACAACAAACTTGATTTTCCGTCATGCTTATTAGACCTGATATGTATATGTTTAGAACACACTTATGTTTGAATCACAAATTATTAATAATTCTTCAGAGGACAATTATCGTTTTGATATGTACCTCCTCAATGATTTTAGAACATATCAATTGTTAATGGCTAAATACTTCTTGTCCATATTAATCATGTTTCGTTTTTATATTTTCTCTCAGTATACAATAATTGAGCCGTACCATGACAAAAACATAATGAGTCCGCACAGTTTGATCAGGATCCATGCTGTTTGCTATCAGTTTTTCTGCTTATTATAAGGTTTGTAAGCAAATAGCATGGATCCTGATCAGACTAGGCGCAGGCTAGTCTGGATCCATGCAGGTCGCAAACCCATTATGTTGTTGTTTTCATGGCTCGTCTCAAATTTATTATTTTTAAGTACATCTTTATTTAACAAATTTATATGTACATTTATTTCAACAGAGTTATCTGACATAGAATAATCTGTAACGGCATAGATTTTGTAGCATTGCTTAATCATAATGTAACATACACAAAGCAGTAATTGATACCTCTAATGATGCCTCAGCAAGTTTATCTCTATCCTTTCAAAACCTAAATATCTTTATATCAGTTTATTTCTATTATGATTCAATCGTGCTGAAGTTTTGAGTTTCCTTTTTAAAAATGTTTCTAAGGAAAAATGGCCCATTACCTATATTTCGGTTCCAACCACAATAAATGTCTTAAATCAGTGAATTTGATAACCTCGTCGTTAACTTTGAATAAAAGTTGATGATTTTAGTGCGATAAATTTGACACATTTATGATTCACTCTCCGCATTATAAAGTTTTTATTTTGAGTGATTCTTATTCTTTGTTCAAAAAACCCGTTTTGCGTTTGTTTGTTTTTTTTTTCATTAAAATATTGTTTTATTTTTTTAATCCAGCGGCAAATATTTCATATTACATTCTAAATGAAACAGTCCCGACCCTACACCAACACACAAACGCTATTAGATTAAATAAATAAATAAATAAATAAATAAATATTTACTGTTTGATGTTTGAATTTTACTTCATATGTTACTTGGATAACTAACGTAGCAAAACTCACTTTGTTTATTGCATTACTCTTTATTTACTAAGATGTAATACATAAATCATAAGTGTATGTAACTGCTTTAAAAAAGCATTAAATACAAAGTATGTGTAATTGGTGAATAGGTGTTTAACTATACATGCATACGTGTTCATGACTACTCGAGCTCTTGCTTCTTTTTTTTTGATTATTTAGTTTTTGTTTTTATCTTGTTGTTATTTTTGTTATTATCATTAGTAAAATAAATGACGTGACGACTAAGAAGGCAATTAAAAGTTTGACATTATCTTAATTTTCTAGCATCCATCAATTAAACCAACTGACAAACAAATGATTCGAAATCACAATATAATTTTACTTTCTCGAAATGCAACAAACTTCAAATAAAAAAAGGTTTGATAACTTCAATAAGTGTACGATCAAATCGACCTATTTAAAACAATCAGCTCAAATCTAAGAAAAAAAAATCAAATTTGTACCCTTGCACTTCCGGAACAAATATCCAAAACAAAATAATTAAAATTAACATCCTTTCGTCTCAACAGCTGGGCTTCAAATAATCATATTTCTCAAATAGAGTGTTAGCTACATGTAGTGTAATAGGAGCATTCTGAGAAAATCCTTCACTGTAATTTCTTCGAGGCAACTCATAATAATTCCTGCTTTCATGATCATGATCTCTCACACATCTAAATCTGTATTGATGCTTATAATTTAAATCTATATTTTCACTTTTTCAAAGAAAATGCAAATGTAACAATGACCTTATACAAATATTAAATTTTTGAAGATCGCAATTGAAAACAGTTAGCTTCACAACGCATTACGCGAAAAGAACAGAGAAATATACAATTCCTAAAGAATGTCTAAAACGGAAATTCGGATAGATTGACCCTGTTCAAAAACTATTAAAAATGTGTGTAATTTATTTTGAAGAAAAGGTGAAATGAAAAATTTATGATAAACAATGTCTTAAAGATTCTGTATGTTTCAATGAAGGATGAAACAACACTTAAGTGAAATTTTTATGCATATAATTATTCTTCTAAAACAATTTCTCTAAACATCCCAGAATATGTTTAATAATTTAAATAATGTAAATTAAATACAAATGTTAGTACGCATCCAAAGTAATCATTAAAATATAGGCATTAATTTCTTGAAAATATTGGAAATAAATTTCTTATTACCTCCCTTTATTTACATGAAATGTAAATTAGGTAAAATCTTAACAGAAAATGCTTTTCGGAACTACAATATTGATAAATCTTCATTTGAGCATCATATTAATGATATACTTTATAAAATTTGTGATACAGGATCTCAAAATATGTGTATATTTTAAGAAATAAAAAAATATATGAACATGATTAATAATCGTCTTTACAGAGAATCAAATGTTTCCTAACTTAGAGGAGGAAATTTCAATTTATGTCAGTCAAACATCAAACAGCCTATGTATACCAAAGCCTGGCTTTGAGAGAATCAGTTTAGATCTGACCATCAAGGATCAAAAGGACCTTCATGAGGTCAAACTCCTTAAAAAAAAACACTTGAAAACTTGAATTCCTTGCATGGGTCAAGAGATCCTCTTAAAAGTATGAAAATCAACAAAAATGATAAAGAAATATTTTCGAAAAGAACGATTTCTGTACGATTTTCATCCCGCTCTAAGTGAAATGTTTTGCACCGCTTACATCAGTATCTGATCATTTTGCACAATAAAGATAGTCGTTCTTGGAAAGCGTTGTGTCACTGCTCTAAATGATAAGAAATTTTGCACAAATGTTATTAATTCCAACCGATATTAAATTATACACAAATATCGAAAAAAATATTTCCAGTCCTTTTATACAACAACAACGACAACAACAACAACAAAAAAAAAAAAAAAAAAAACAACAACAAAAAAAAAAAACAGATCCTCAGTGGAGTCCCTTTAACTATCAATTTGCTTTCATTGTTTATTATCCAAGCAGTTACTGCATAAAACCTTTAACAAGCTATGTGTTTACGGAAAACAGACATCGTTGAATTAATCATCTCACACAAAAATTTATATTAGATTCAGCACAAAATATTACATGTAGATGTATTTATTTTCACATGGAATAAACAAGTCATGGCCTGCAATTAATTCGAAACAAAAATCTAAAACAAAACAACAATACCAGCACACTTTTGGCTGCGACTGAAAAATTCTTTACAAACAATGAAAATAATCAAACAACTGCAACAAAGGCAAACAAGAAAAATGAAAAAGAAAGTAAGAAAAAAGTGACCCTACACCTCAAAATTTGTCCACTGAAGCAAGCAAAAACATGTCAGTATGTGTACTTTAAATTTCTATTAACTTTTATTTTATTTTTTTCTTGACATTATACAGATATGCTGACCAATTCTTTTTTCCCGTGATCCTAACACTATCAAATTTCAGTAAACAAACTGTTTAAAGAATTCATGTAAGATAAAATCGTTTTTTTGTCTTGCACGGTATTTTGACTGGCAGCCTTGACTTCAAGTTAAAGATTACGGTGTTTTGAAAAGATAAGAATGTAAACAACATTAGATATATTGTACGCATAATATTTGCTAATTAATTTCGTTTTAAAATGATGCAGTAGAAAAGGCTCGTATAAAACATAATTATATGTTATTTCGCGTTCCACTGTCTGCAGCTCGAAGTCACTTTTCCTTTCATTTCTATTTACATCAATATTAATTCTTATAAAAAACATATTATCTATGGCCTAAATTTTTAACCACCTAAACAATAACTCATTTTTATCATCTCAGCGTAAAAGCGTAGTAGTTGAGTGTTGGTTTCGTCAGGGTAGAGACCCTGGTTCGATTCCTGGAAAAGGGCATTTTTTTTTAAAGTTATGTAAATATATTTCAAGGAACTGGCTTTAAGTTCCTCGTGAATTTATTTCTCACAATACTATTTGTGAACATTTAGTTTTGCGCACATTTACTTTTAACAGGTTACGCAAGAGGCAACACAGTCATGATTAGAGTGATAAATGAGGAAATAAGGAAATGTAAATATATATTAATATACAAATGAGTCGAAATTGTTAAAAAAATGTAAGTAATTCAATTCAGGGTTTTAAATAGAATTTGATTGACAATACTATTCAATCTATTCAATGACTGTTAATATCAAATTCATTCAATTTTGTTAAAACTGTTATAAGTTTAACTTTAAATTGTACACAATTATAAAATAAGGTTTATAAAAAAGAATATAAAACATTTTTAGAAAGTAAAAACCATACAGATTCACAAACACACAAACATAATATTGCAAAAATTGCACATTTGAACTCGAGAGAAAAAAAAAACAACAACAAAAAACAACAACCACATTTTCTTTCCTATTTGAACTCAGTAACCACTACGCTACTAGGATTTACGTGTTCATACCCACTGTTATTCTTCTATATTGCAATAAAAATGCAAAATGTAATATCTGAATAACTTGCACAATCTATTATATCATAATGGTACGACCAATTAATGTAAAATGTATCGTGTTTGACTTATATGACCGAGACTATCATTGCAGTCACTTGTTTTAGTCACGAATGATAACGGCGCATATATGTTTACTCATGTTTTTCTTTCTTGCGTGCGTACATTTATGCAAGAATTTAACTTTCAACACTGGTAAAAAGTTCTGTCCATGAGCCCTTCCGATTAACATAATTAGTGAAAAAGAGAGTTGGTCTATAGGTATGTTTTTACGACGCTTTTTTTTGGCAAAATGCCATCTTATATCTAATGTTTACAGGTAAGAACTGAATATAAGAAAACTTTCATTGGTCAATATAAAATTATAAAATATTGAAATATGGTTATCTCTTTGTCAATTCTAAAATAAAATTTAAAGGAAAATCCTTGCCATTATAAACTTAAAGTTAAGGGTATTTCTAAAAAAAAAGAAAGGATAGATCTTTAAATATGTATAAACATTTTTTCCTCGCACAAAACATTTAACACAGCTTTAACATCGCATTGGACTTATTAAGTTTATTTTACACATAAACTTACTAAGTTTATTTTACATGAGACCTTACTAAGTTTATATTACACACGAACTTACTAACTAAAGTTAAACTTTATTTATACATGAACTTACAGGGTTATAAGTTTGCCAAAAATAACGAGACCACGAATAACGTCCATAGACTAGTATTACTAAACAGGTACTGTACCCTCATTTTAATTTGTTCAATAACCGTCCCATATACTATCTGATCATTGGTGTTTGCCTTAGATTAGAGAGAAAATGTTACTAAAAAAATGTTTATTTTATACTATTCATTATCCTTTTATTTCATTTAAAGCTGCACGCTTCCAGATTCATGATAATTTTCATGAAAATTTTGAAAATGTATTTGAATGTATAATATTGTGAAGTAATTAAAAGGAAGCAATTTACGCATTAACAATGACACTTACAAACCACGTAAATTATAAAATGTGGTCAAAATATGCATGAATAACCTTTACTGCGTTAGTAACGCAGTAGAAAAAGAGTTGTAAATATTGAAAAATCAGTCATTTATCGCACATAATATGTAAAATATTACTTGAATCTTGAAACGTTTTTACTTTTCCTTACATTTTAGTACATTTTCTCAAGTTTAATGTTATTTAAATATTTTGACTCATCTGGAGGCATGTAGCTTTAATGTTCATGCTTACCATATTTTTAATCACCTTCAAGAAATTATTATTTTATTGTTATGCAATTAAATTGCTAACATGTCTATATGCATCGAAAATCTCGCAATAACATATGCATATTTACCAGTATTACTTCGGCCGAGATTCTTTTTAAAGATACTTCATATAATTATTATCAAATATTGTCGTAATATAAGGAGATACTAACATAAATTGCTCTGTGTTTATTTGTTATTCGTTCTGCAAAGAATTTCAAATCAAAACTTAAATATATTTTACATGTTTTACGCTTCAAAGAATGTCCACGATTTTCTTTAATAACCCCTGGTAAATAATACATTATAAATATAATTAGCATGACATACACCCTTGATTCAAGCGAGATTATTTCCCGCGTAATAGTTATGCTGGAACAGAATTGAGATTTTTTCCTGAGCTTCAATCTACTTCCCGCTGTTTTAAAACTGAAATATTTTTTGTAAAATTTTAAATAATTAATATAAAAACCAAAATTTAAGACATATAAGAGGCTAAAACATAAAATGCATACCGTTTTTCTTTAACCTATATATAAATAGTAAAGAATTGATACTATTTCTGTGTAGATAGATAACGCAGATACTACCTAGCTGCAGTTTAACCAGGTTTACCACGGCTGTGTATCTTTTTAAACACACGTGTTGCATCACGTGATTCGTTAAACATAATCTACATGTCATTAACCTAAAACTATTAGCCGATATACAACCGATTTTTTAAAATTGCTCACTTTTTATATTCTTGTGAAAATCAAGTTTACATCATATGCTGCTGACTCAGATTCTTTTCTCAGAATTTTAAACTTGTTTTTTCAGCTAAAGACTACCAATCAAATCACTCACAGTAGAAACAGTAAATAGGACGCTAACCTGAAACAGACATCAAGCATTGATAATAGCTTGAGCATTTCTTGGAATACGCTAATAAGAAACTTAGTGTTCTAAGAAAAGAAATTTAGTGTTCTTAGAAGAGGCTGATAAGAGAATAAGTGTTGCTTTGAAAGTCATGCGTTCGTTATCTTACATTTATCTTTTATTTTGGGAAACCGAACTTTGATAGTTCTAGGGTCACAGGAAAAATATAATTGTTTCTTGCGAAGGAAAAAAATCAGTAAAATGTCAAGATAAAGGTGTAGGCAAGGAAAGAGAAATAATTATAGCATATTATCGCTAATCAATTGACATTTTTTGCTTTAAATTGTTTTTGCTGTCATTGATTTTTTTTATCGTTTTGGTGGTTTGCGATTTGTTATTTTGATAATTTAGGTGTGCGAGAACTATGTATAATCTCAAGTTGCCCATTCATTGTATTCGATTGTAATCCAGACTTAAGAAACAAACTTTTCGTCTAGGCTGACATGTTTTCGCTTTTAAATAAAACGCATTTTTGTATCAATTTTGTGCATATCTTGTGTTGTTGTTTCTTTACATTATTTTTTGAAAAGGGGGGAAACTGCTTGTTTTTGTGTTATCGAATTTAATATTGTGTAAGGTCATTGTTACATTTTGCATTTTCTTTGAAACAAGTTAATACGTTGATTTAGATTATAAGCATCAATGCAAATTTAGATATGAGAGATCATCATGAAAGCAGTACTTGTTATGAATTGCCTCGAAGAAATTACAGTAATTTTCACAGAAATGCTCTTATTACACTGTATGTAACAAACACATGTGAAATATGGTAATATGAAGCCAAGCTGTTGAGACGGAAGGATGTTTATTTTAATTATTTTGTTTTGGATATTTGTTCCGGAAGTGCAAGGGTACAATTTGCATTTTTTTATTATTTGAGCTGATTTTTTTTTAAATAGGTCGATTTGACTAACACTTATTGAAGTTATCAAACATTTTAATTTGAAAGTTGTCTATTGCATTTAAAGAAAGTCTAATTATATTGTGATTTCAAATCGTTTGTTTGTCAATTTGTTTAATATGGGCTGGTAAGAAATCTAAGGTAATGTCAACACTTAATGACCTTCTAAAACGTCATTTGTTTTACTCATGATATTAACAAAAATAAAAAAAAAGTTAAAAGCAAAAATTAAACTATCAAAAATAGAAACACGCGTTCGAGTAGTCTCAAACAAGTATGCATGTATGATTAAACATCTATTAAATATTTAATAAATTACTATTTATGTTTTACACATGAACATTTACAGACCCCAATGATTTATATATATAATTACAGAAGTAAATGTAGGATAATTCAATAAACAATGTCACTATTTTACGTTAGATATCAAAGTAACTTATGAAGTTGAATTTAAACGTCAAACAGGAAAAGTTTATTTATTTATCTATGTATTCAGTCTAATAGCGTGTGTGTGCTACTGTAGGGTCGGGACTTTTGAGAAATCGGATAGCCGCTTATTTTGAATGTAAGATGAAATATTGTCCGCTCGTTTGAAAAAAATGAAACAATACTTTTTAAAAAGATATGCAAAACGGATATTTGGAACACAGAATGAGAAACACGCAAAATAAAAATTTTATAATGAGCAGAGTGTATCATAAATCAAATGTGTCAAATTTATCGCACTAAAATCATTAACTTTTATTCGTAGTTAACGACGAGGTTATCAAATTCACTGATATAAGACAGTTATTGTGGTTTGTACCGAAATATAGGTCATTAAACATTATTCTTCAGAAAATGTTTGAAAAGGAAACGTAAAACCTCCACACGGTATAATCATAATAGAAATAAACTGCTATAAAAACATTTAGGTTATCATCATTAAGAAATGCTACACAAACTAATGCGTTACAGATTATTCTATGTCAAATAACATTGTTGAAATAAATGTACATATATATTTGTTCAATAAAGATGTACTTAAATTAATAAATTTGAGCCGCTCCATGACAAAACCAACATAATTGGTCTGCGACCTGCATGGATCCAGACCCGCCTGCGTATACGCGCAGTCTGATCAGGATCCATGCTGTTTGCTTACAACCCCTATAACAAGTAGAGAAGCAGTATGGATCCTGATCAGACTGCGCGGACCCATTATGTTTGTTTTGTCATGGTACGGCTCAATAATTGTGTACTGAGAGAAAATATAATCAAAGGACTGAACGCTCTGTGGAATTCTCTGATCTTTGCAATCTAAATCGTACTGTACAGTACATCTGTATGAATTTTCCTGTATAGGTTTATTTTTATATACTATAAATCAATTCATTTTACAGGGCAGCGACTGCGTTTAGAGTTTTAAATATAACAGTTTGAGTTTGATACATACGGAATTTTGCATGACTAGAGTTGCTTAAAAAAATAACTTATGTTAATTTTTTTTATTAAAGCCACACATTATCATTGCATATCGTGTCTATTTTCTTAAAAAAAGACACTTAAAAACAATAGTCGACAGGGATTTGTACCCCTGACCTCTCACACTCTAAACGAGCGCGTTACCCCTTTACCACGGGGAAGTTACACGAAGAAGCCTGAATAAAATCAAACAATTCTGAATTTAGTATTTCCATTTCGGGTTTGTAATCTTTAAAATTATTAGTTTTGATGTATTTTGTTCACAATAAACCTGTTGTTTAACACTGATGTAAATAATTTAGCGAAAATCTTCCGACATGTATATATTTCACTACTTGACAGTCAGATTTATTTGTGTACTACGCTATGAAGTATTTGGTAATCGACATCGCTAAAAATAGCATTTTCTTTGATTAAAATGATATTCATCCTGGTAATATAAGATTGAGCATTTATTGTCAATTCTATAAGCCAACGCTACTTTTTAACTTTGAATGCGTTGTAATTTGTTGGATACTTGTAATAAAATAACAATATTTCTTTCTTTTACATCGCTAGTTTTAAACTGTTTTGAGAACTACTTTTTGTAGGTCTGTCGTGAAATTCTGTGCCAGAGATTGAGTGTCAGCATTGTATTTCATCACCTAATTTTTTTATTGTCTGTCAAAGAAATATTCCTTAATGCTGTCATTATCGTCCCCACCTGTTACCATCACGTAAGAATTACACAGGACTTGCGTGGCGAATTGCCGACATTGAAAAAGAAACTCTTATACAGCTACATACTGTTGCAATACATTTCAAAGAACAAACACTGCATTGAAACACATTTTTAAGAAATAACGCGAAAGCCCAGCAGCTGTCATATTGGGTGTTATTCAACAGATCAATACTGTTGTTACAAGTCTCACAATATCAAATTTTGCCAGTTATGAATTTTTTTTTTTAAACCAGACCTATTACTTAACTCAATAATTTTCATTTAAATATATATTCATTTTATTGCATATATTTTTGTCTATTTAAATAATTTCTACCTCATAAGTAGTTTTAGAACACAAGTACTCTTTAAATACATTTTTAGTGGATAAATATATTTTTGTCCTTTTAAAATATATTTTACATTATTATATGTTTTAGAACATACATTTTTTCCATTGGACAAATATAGTTTTAAGTCAACATATTTACTTTACATAGAAAAATGCATAACGAATAAATTTTAGATATCATATGTGACACAAAATAATTAAACATCAACTGTATTCATAGTCATTCTCATATTTTAGTCACATATTTCTGATTATACGGGGAGAACTACTTGTTACAAAAACCAATGTTAAATTATGTGCATTTCTTAATCATTTATAACCAAGCGCAAATTCTTTGCAATTTATGATCTAAACGGACAAGTCGTTGTTTGTTAGTTAGTTAGTGTGGTTGTTTCTAATGGCGTTGTTTTGTTCAAAGTTGTGGTTAGTAATTTGCATCCAAAGATCACATCTCAAACCCTTTTCTTTGTATATTTTCAGAGGTTACTACTTCGTCATAGCTCCAAACGTGATAAGATTTGAACAAGATGAGACAGTTGTTGTCAGTGTGTTTGGAGAAACATATGCATATGTCAAGGTAATGTCTATAGTTATTTTTTCTTGCCTCTCTTACTTGATCCTTTGTTTTTATATTCGATATATATGAAGTATCACATGTTTCAAATGAAAGAAGATAATTGTATTAAATTTTCATATTTTGTAATGAGGTATATCCCGATAGTAATGACATTATTCAAGATATTTAGCAGAGAAATATTATATTAATTAGTGGAATATAATTTGAAATATACATCAGACAAATAGAAATGGGATAAAGTTAAATGTTCTAATACTCATCAGCAACTAGTGAACTATTAAAGAAAATTGAGATAATTATTAAATGTTCTAAAATAATCAACAGCTAAGTGATACAGTTTACATAACAGTTATATATATTTACAATGTTCAACAGCATGGAGATGTGAACTTTTCATACTAAATAGAGGATATTTGTTTAGTTCAGTGTCAGATCGGAATATATTTCACCGAGTGAGCACCAAAAGGTATATTTCACGATTGGCGCTGCCACGAGTGAAATATGAACTTTTGGTGTTCACGAGATTAAATATATTTCGATCTTACATTAAACTAAATAAATTTGCTTTTTATTATATGCAAAGAAACGTTTAAAAAGACATTTTAAACTAGAACTAAATGAAGGGGGTGCCAAATAATAATAATGATACAACGTGACGTCATTTACGACGTCACGTCATTAAGTTGGTTTAACTGTAAACGCTTTTATTTCACTGAAACAACGTACCGGGCTCAAGTATTCAAAATTGTGAAATTATCAAATTTATAATTTCACTTTTTAAAACAGTGAAATTATCAGTTTTTACTCCACTGATATATTTGTATAAACCACCGAAAAGCATGTAATAAATAGCGTTCTATGTTTAGAGTTTCCATACATACATGGTTATAATTTGATTAATGTCGGTTAAATTCTCTTATCTTTACAAACATTGCAGCTTTGGATAGAGCACGAGGGCAAACAATTTTCCATGAAAAATGTCGTAGTTAAAGACCAAGGCGAGTAATAATTAATCGTTAATAAATGTTAAAATCATTTTATAAATCTAAATGAACACGTTACTTATTATAAATTTTGTAAACAAACATACTTAAAATTCTTTTTTTTTCTCTCTTCAATTTCCTTCTATCTTTCTTCTTTTACTTCATCTTGCTTTTCTTTTCTTTTTTATTTTCCTTGATTTTAACTATATTTTCCTTTCTAATGAGTTGATACGATAAACAGTCTTCCTTACTTTAATTTGAGACCTGTATTAGCTACTTCTGAAAGTACAAACGCTTTCCTGATTTAAAATACTACCGTGTTCGTAAATAATTGTTCATGTAAGCTGTGAAGTTTTCAAAATTCTTGAATGGAGATTAATTGTTCCATTTTGTTTTCTATTGTGCCAGACAGTTTTGTCAAGTGTGTTATTATGGGTCATTCTCTATGTTAATATTTACCTAGCCAGCAATACCTTAATTATGTCATTGCTAATTCACATTTTTGGCTAAGTTACTCAAGAGATTAAACACGACTTTGAAAATTGAGACATTTGTTGTCATTTCCTTATCTTCGTTTTATAGAAACTCCAATTTATACGACCATAAAAGTCCAAGAAGCGGATATATTTGACAGTGTGGTTGACAAAAAGCCACGCGTAGTCAAATTGTGTTCGGAATGGAAAGGAACGAAGCGATCAAGGGAAATAATTCTGAGCTATCATTCAGGTTACCTGATCGTACAGACGGACAAACCTATCTATACACCCAAGCAAAATGGTATACATATTTTTCCTTGATTACCTTAAAGATATAGTTAATATTTTTTAAGATGTGTTTTGCTTATGACTATTAGTTATCAATAATTACAACTTTATAATGATAACAACAACAACATTGTAATGCTAGATATGAAATATTCGGCCATTTAAAAAAAAAACATGTTATCACTTTATTCTTTTTGTGATTAACCCAAAAAGTCTTTATTTAAAATCTGTAAGCATTTTCTCAATGAAATTTAAGCAATCAAAAGTGACCATTTTATTTATGCGCAAATTAGAGGGAAATATTAACACATGAGTATAAGTGACATATACAATGTATGTTAACAAAGTAGGTAGGGGTATTCCTACGTATTCAGTAATATTTATGGCGGAAATTACCCATCACGTTACACTAAAAAGACTCTCTTACTCACGTTGTTCATAAAAGGACATCTTAAAAAAACAATTTCTTTAAGACAATGTTGCTTTTTTCAGTTAAAATAAGAGCTCTAGCACTTGACGAGTCATTGAAAGCTAATGATGGTTGGCAAGTAGGCATGGATATTATTGTAAGTATAAACATGTGATGACACTTGACTTTATTTACATGTAGAAATGATTGTGAAAAAGGGGGAAATTCATTTCAGTATTTCTCCTGTATTAGGTAGCGCATCTAAACGTGCAATTGACTAATTTATGATTATTTTGAAAACCGCGTTTCTTCTATTTTGTACATGGCAAAGTAAGGTTATCCGTGTTAATATGAGTTTAAGGAAACTGGAAGTGACGACATAACTTGCTTTCCGTCGAGCATACGTTAGATTGATATTTTATGCATGCAAACAGGGTGTTTCAAATAGAATGGTCTGAAAACGCGCTATGTAAACCCATTTCACTACATGTCTCGGTATAACTCGGTATAGCATGCTATACGCAAATTATATAAGTGTTCAAGAAATGGGGGACAAATAAATACAAGAGCAAAAATGAAAATTTTAACAACATGATGTAATTTAAAAAAAATTTAACTTGTAAAAAAGGATAAATATTTCAAATCCTGTTTTCAAAGCAAATATAGATTGCATCTTCAGAATATTTGCCGATAAACGGCGTCATTTTGAAAATGCACCAAATTAAACATCGAATTTTTGTAAATAACATCATGAAATATTATATATTTTACATGGTACGATTTAATAACATTTTTCTCCGTATTTTATCATTGAACAATGCTTGAATAAAAAAAAAACTCATGAAGCTCGGACCTATTTTCAAATATGAGCAGTAAATATTTACCTTGACACCAGGAATAAAAATTCCTAATTTCATTGCAATTTTATAAAATGTTACTTTTTATTGAAAAAAAAACTGGTAATATAATGTAGCCAGGGTTAGTATTAAGAAAGTTTTTGATTGATTTAACAAAACATTATCTTTTAATTTGATTTTTGAATGGTGATGTACTACCTAATCACAGACCCAACCGAGACATCTTTTTTTCGTAAAATTGGTCCAACTCCAGACCATTCTATTTGAAAGACCCTGATGCAAATGAGGATATTCTACAACTTACTCTTCTGCACATCGGCCTAAGGTTCCGTTACTATTCACTTTCTCATAAAGTAACTGTAGTATATTCAATCAGTTGCTATGGGTTCGTACTCTCAGTGCCAGAAAGGGCGGATGGACCGCCATTACGTCATATAACGGGAAACAGTGCATTTAAGGTATTCTGAGTAATGCACTTATCTTGCCCTGATAAATTTAAGAGAAGTTGACCGTCTGCATTTTTCACCCTTTTTCTTTTCTTATTGCTGTCGATTGTTGTCCCAGAATATCCTACAGAGAAATCAAAATTTCACCACCGTGTTTTAACCAAGAAAGGCAAATACTCTGGGCATGAGGGTCACGCGATAAATAATGTGTTATTTGAAGTTAGATATATATTTCGTGCATCTTTTGACGGAATTTCTGAAATTTTTTTGTTAAAATCCATATCAATTTTAAGCCTTTTACTTTCTTAGTAGTAATACAGTTCGGTACATTGCATCATTCAATTATCACACTCTATCTTACTGAAAATAAACCACAACCGTTTCAGAGTCCTTCAATCTTAACCATGGGAAGAAGGTTGATAAATAATAGTGTTACCGGATTCTTTCAAAATGAATTCACCCTTCCGCCTTACCCTGAGATGGGAATTTGGACAGCAAGAGCATTTTATGATGGACAGGTAAACTTTCATATTTATTGCTTCCCAAAAATTAGATCGTGTAGGAATAGAGTTACACGCCAAATTGTATAGTTGTTAAGGAAATTTGTATGGCCAAGTTTAATATGAATAATATCTTACTAATGAAAATATTCAGTATTCGTACAAGTTAGTCAAATTCTTCAATTAAAGTATATACACGTATAAAACTAATATGAATGGTAATGATGATAAATATAATGTATACTTAATGCCATGATACATCATTATCAAACATATAATTCTATATACTTGTTTGATCTACTGGGCAAATACTTCAACGTTTACGTTGACACTTTATATTATCAGGACCTGCTTTGTACACGTGCAAGTGATTGTCATTTGGGTTCAATGATTGTCATTTAAGCCTTGTGATACTCATTTCGTCCCAGTATTTGTCATGTTGACCTTGTGAGTTTCGTTTTGATGTAGTGATCGCCATCTTTGCCCCGCGATTATCATTTTGGCCTGGTGATTTTCATTTTGACATATCAGTTGTCATTCTGGCATATTGATTGTCTTTATGGCCTGGTGATCGTCATTTTAGGCATTGCAATTCTTATTTGGTTCTTATGTTTGACATTTCGTCCCAAAAGTTGGTATGCTATATGATATAATTTTGGAGCGGTGCATGTCATTTCGGTAGAGTGGTTGTTATTTGGCTAATGTATCAGTACATACCATATGTGCTCGATACAGACATCTTGTTTTTTGTTGTATTATTTTTTTCAGTTCGAGACCGAGTCACACACCCACTTTGAAGTTCGGGAAAATGGTAAATTATCTGTTATTTTAATCACTTAATTTTCTTTTACTACATCATATGTTTTATGAATATATAGAAAAAGGATTACTATCGCTAGCATTGCGACAATTCAAATAACAATAAACTCCTTGATAATATAACATGATATATTAACCATTAGATCTGTCTGACGTTCTATTAAATCACAGGACCTTGAAATACTGCCAATAATAGCAGTAAAGTCCTATTTTAAAAAAATCATACTTGTATTATATATAAATATGGATTTTTAATCGGACTTTATAACTATTATTGGCACAATTTCATAAAGGTATGCATTTATTAATCGGACTTTACTGCTATTATTGACAGAATTTCTATGTCCCGTTGTCAAATCACAAGCATCCCAGGCTAAATTATGTTCCACATTGCGCGTTATGTTAGAAGAGGAGTAACTATAATATTAATCAAAACAAGAACACGTAGAAATATGACTGTCGTCTTGAATTCATAACAAAATTTGATTATTGTAACAAAGTAGAAAGTTACATGCACTCTTAACATTCAGCCGTTAAGTCGGTTTTTATATTTTATATTTTTGGAAATAAAATCATGTAACATTTGTTAATTTTTTTTCAGAAAGTTATTTTTTGTGCTGAACGGAAGCTAACAATACATTCACTTATTTGACATTTTAACCAATTTCAATATTTCTATTCTAGTTTGGTTTGATCGGTTACCACCACTGTTGCACTAAGGTATCACGAGATGTCTTTCTTTTCAGTTGTAACGTACTTAAATCATTCCGTTTTCATTGGCTAAAAGATCTATAATAGCTATGTCTTTCATACTGATTTTTATTGATTTCAGTTCTTCCGACGTTTGGAGTGACTGTTGACGTTGACGTTGAGCTCCTCCTACCAACAACGAAGTCGATAACCGTCACTGTTAAAGCCAAGTAAGAATTCGATATTCTATTTCATGTTTGTAAAAATAAAAGTTTGACATTTGTTTGTTCTTTGAGATTGTTAAATTGTTTAACTTAAATATGTTTTTTTTTTCGAAATAAGAACGATGATCGAAGGTTATAGATATAATATATTTGTACCAAAGAACATATACTTGCCATAGAGATATCAAACTTTGCTTTTGCAAGAAAAGTGAAAACTCCTGATAAAGCTCGATTATGAGTATGACGTTTTTAGTCTGCACAAATGGTAAATTTATTATTCAACCTCGTTTTGTTAATTCATACCAGGCAAAAATTCATTGGCAGACAATAGTACCACACCATTACATATATACTATATAAGATTATTTACATCATCATCATCATCACATTGAGCTGTATATTATATGATAAAAGTACCCAGCATGCTTACAGGCCGATGTTTCTTCCCTCAGAAATGCGCGAAACTCGCTGGTTTCGTTATTAGTATCAACTACCGCAGAACGACATGCAATTAAGAAAAGTAAACATTTTTCTTTTAAGATATGTTTACGGCAAACCTGTCCACGGAAATGCAAGACTTACGTTGAAATTGAAAGGGGAGAATAAAGAAAGTGACTTTATCCTAAATGTCGACAGAATAACGGTATGTTGATCCGTTCTCGGTACTCATTTTATACATTTCATTACACAGGCACATCATACCGATCCACTAATAAGACCCACTTAAAGGAAGTCGTCTAAACCCATCACCGTATGAATGCTGAAAATATGTTTAATGGCACATTATGCCTCACAAATCCATATTTGTTTAATTCTTTAGAAATGTCAAACATGTGTTTAATAATGTTCTTTTTATAATAGATTAGAGCAAGTTAGATGTTAAACAACTGAAGAAAGTTGCCCTGAATGTGCAGTAATATGTCGTAAAGGTAGCAAAGTATAATCAAAGTGGTACTTTGACTTCCATACAAAATACTCATTAACTATGTTTATATTAATTGCTAACTGAGGAAAAAAGTAAAAGATGTGGCAAATTGAGTATTATTTTTGGAGACTGTAACAAGATATAAAAAGAAAGAAAGTGTTTGAGAAATAAAAATGAAATAGCATTTCATAGGCATGTAGACCTTTAACTTAGCAGTTTAAAACATTCCGTGATAAAACTATCAGTTTATGACAAAACGATCAATTACCATAAATTGTCCTGTAGGACATGGTTCTCCGTTTTTTTTGGTAGAAAATTAAATGTAAATTTAAGTGTTATCTTGTCCTCATTTAACACAAAAAAGTTTTGTATGACTGAAAGAAGTTTATTTTCAGTCTTGTCTTGTCGTTCAAAAAAATCATAAGTTTTCCAATCGACGGAAAACATGGCTTCTCGTGTTGAGCATTGAAATAATTATCTTTGTACTTTCCTTAATAGCTTGAAAACAACTACCAGTTTGAAGGAAGTGTGACAGAGTTCAATATTAAAGTTGATAACATACTGAACTCCCCGTTGCTACGAGGCAAACCTTTTCCCTTCAACAAACGCCTAGAAGTGATTGCAATGGTTTATGAAAGTGCTACGGGAAAGGAGGAGGCGCGAAGTCACGACGGAACCATCTTCACAAGGAATCCATACGTGTTCAAGTTTACCAAATCAAAACTGAACTTCTGGCCATATTACGAATATTATTTGAAGGTACATGTACTGATTTATGTTACAAGTTATACATATTGTACGAGTAAATGAGTTTTTAACTTGGGGTTTTCATAACATATCTAAATGATTGAAACGCCGACCGTCCTTGTAATAGCAGCGGCGGAAAGGGAGACAACGGCGGCAGAGCTTACCAGTCAATCATAACGAAAAGCGTGTTCGTTACATTGGTACATTTTCTATTGTATCATAGTTTGGGAACCTTTTTGTTGAAAATGCGTCAAATTAAAATCGTATATATATACATGCACAGTGCGTTAACTAAAGTGTAGGTATAAGATACCCGAACTCATAAGCATGTCCATTGAATGGCTCAGTTCTGCTAGGGTTTACTTATTGTGACGGTAGAGAAAGGGACAACACAATAAATTTCATATTCAAGTGCTCGTTGAAAGGTTTCGTGTTTTCTGGGGTTTCATATTGTGACAACAGGGAACGTGTTTTTATGTTTGTCTATGATACAAAAGAGAGAAAAAAAACATCAAAACACTCGGCAATCTGATTAATACTCAAGGGCTACGCCCCATCGTACAAATCAGATTGCCTTCTGTTTCGATTTTATTTCTATTACTTGGAAAACTTGAAAACCTTAATTTTAACCTGATGGAATCGAGAAATATAAATATGTGCCACTAGTTTAGACCCTATCCAATCTGACAGGGTTCTTTATAATTGTTGATAGTTTTTTTTATTTTATATTGAATTCCTTTAAACTTGAAATGAACTGTTCTAAATGCACAGCATGAACGATATTCAGTCAATTAGGATAAAATATCTTTATGTGGCTGTTCTGTGGCTGTACTCCATTATCTGTTAATGCAATGCTTTATTCATATGGTAGTTGACTTTTGTTTGTTTAAGGTTGAAGTGCAATATGTGAACGGAAAACCTACTTCTGGCAAAGACCTTATAGTTAGAATGAGCGAAAATGGACAATTTGAAAAAGAGCAAAAAGTGACAACAAACGACGACGGCCTGGCAACGAGTATCTTTCAGACATCTCAGGGCATAAATAAAATTTCATTCACTGTAAGTTTCGAGAGAGTTATAAAAATGCATGTTCTCCTCATTTATTCAAGGTGTCACGGGTAATCAAGCGAGTAATGTTTTAGATCGGAGAAGTACACTCAAGGCTTTGGGAGATTTTACCCGCTATTTTAAGGTCACGTTTGTATGGAGGCTATTCGTTGGCAAAAAATCCAGCCTTGTTGATTTGAGTTGAACAGTTTGTTTACAGACAAACTACAATTGCATTTCTTTGTATGTAAACTCCAATGTTGAATTCAGTTTGCAGATTTAACATTGTAAACATGCACTTCAAACAATACATTTTGTTAAACGACAGAACATTAACTGGATTTCTATGAGTAGCAATACCAAGTATCCCCCATAACATGCGGAATACTCATTGTTCGAGGATACGCCGACAAAACAGAAGTTACTTTCTTAGCTTTACATTGTCAAACCATCATGGTTCGAAACAGCATAATCCAGCTGTACACGTTTTTCAATAGGAGATAAAATACGCTCCGCATTTTCCGCCGACTACACCATCGTGAATAAACGTATTTATCTGCTCATTTTCGGTATTTACCGTCAACGACAAAAAGGAAACAAGAACACGCACAGGCGTAGTTTCCGTTTACCACAACTTTGAGGTGTTTACTTAGAAAATAGATATCAATTCTGGGTACATTGTTGTAGAATAATGCACGGTTTGAGTTCAAATGCGTAGTAATATAATCACGAAGGCTGATAGGCCTGAGTGATTAATTACAAAGCATTTGATCGAAAAACGTGCATTATTATACAATATTGAACGAAAAATTAATATTTATTACCATTCTAACACGTCAAGAAAAAATAAAGTTATTATTATCAAGTTAGATTTTATTTTTGGTGATTAAATAAAGGCTGTTCCAGTGTGTTGAAACAAAACTGTCGTTAAATCTACCGTGTGTAGAAACATTTTCAGAATAACGAATTTTGAAAACGTTGATAAAACTTTGTTTCTTTATTTTATTTCACTCTATAACTTTTCAAGCGAAATACAAATCGTTAAAAGTGAAATAAATATAAAACTCAACTCGTTTGCGACATTAAAATTGCGTACGTGATTTCATTGTTTTTCACGTGATGTTTGGCGCTACATTGTGACGTCACGTAAACAACACTTTAAACGTTTGTACAGCGTTAACGACTGAATTAACGATATTGGTGTTCGGATTCATTTTCTTAGACCATTTTCTTTCATTCTAGATAATTTTCACAACAAAATTAGACAAAAAATTGTTTTTATTTATCAGAATCTTCAAACAAAATGGCGCCTTGAATGTGAAAATATACAGGAAGATAAAAAGAACGGCGAGTGCATTGTTGTAGAATAATGCACGCTTCGGGCCTTCTTTGTTTATATAGAAAAAAATTCCGGTAGTGTTAGAATTGTTCGCCAAACATAATTCACTTGCATGATTGCTATTCTATGCCTTTATTCAATCAACATCATCGGACTTAAAATAATTAGAAGCCTATAAGTTTAAGTTTTGAAACGTTGTAGATACCACATTTAAGAACTCACCAGGTTACTTACTGTCTATTGTGACTGATTTACGTCATGTCGTATTTTCGCTTTGTTGCCTCGAACATGGGAAAAAAGTAAAAACGCGAAGAGACAACAAAGTAAAACACTGTCGTCCCTTCGTGATTTTGCTTTTCCGCATTTTCGAGGCAACAAAGCGAAAATACGACGGAATAAGTGCGAAAATACGTCGAATAAAATATGTCGAATATACGCATTCCATCTGTCGTTTTTTTTTTCTTTTTCGCATGGTTACATTTTCGCTTTTTTGTATTGATACATTTTCGCATTGCTGCATTTTCGCTATTTCACATTGTTACATTGTCGCATTCTCACGTTCCGGTTGCACATGCGCATGGAGACATAAAACTGAAAATATCTAAACGTTACAGCTAATGCCATTTTTTATACTATTCAATTATTGTTTCCATGCGTTTAGAAAATGTGACAATGCGAAAATGTAACTATGCGAAAAGGCGAAAATGCATAGAGACGACAAATTGACATTTTGGTGTCGTTTCGTGTTTTCGCTTTTTTGTATTTTGAACGCAAAATGCGAAAATACGACAGATGGAATGCGAATATACGACAGATTGTATTTGTCGTATTTTTGCCCTCCTGTCGTATTTTCGACATGTTGCCTCGAAAATGCGAAAACAGGAAGAGACGACAAAGTTCAACTTTGGCGTCCCTTCGTGTTTTCGCATTTTCGCAACCTGAGGCAAAGTAGCGAAAATACGACATAGCGTTAATCAGCCACCATAGTCTGAGGTTAAACATTTTTCAAGGTAGTAAATATTATTGATTATTTTCAACGACAAATAATTTTTACTGGGGGGTTCCAATTTGCATAGGAATGAGTAACATTGAAAGTTAAGCTCTTACTTAACCACTTTCAACTTTTCAAGTCAACACCTGATAGAGATTTTGATACGACTAAATACTAATAAGTCTAATATTGACCAAATTCAGGCTGTTGTCTTTCCTAATAGTAGCATTTACATTACATTATTAACATGAATTCTAGAGTTTGACTTGACAAGAAAAAACTTTTAACAATAGAAAAATTAAAACAAAAGTTGTATGTACCCTTTCGTGCATAACTTTTTATTTTTACCATTTTGCATAGATATATTTTCCAATTTTTACCTGTTTTTGATAATAATATTTAAATGTGTCTAAAGGTATGCATCTTAATTATCAGTTTATGTATACCTTGCTTATTTTATCTCTAAGAAAGCCATCACTTACAACCCCAAATAAATATTCTGTGTAGTATTTCATGTGAATAAATATAGTTATCTGCTTTTGATCAGATAGAGAGCAAGTCTAGGTAACAGCTATTGACAGCATGTATACACAGATTTTAGAAGTACAATGAATAAAAGAAGACCGTAACCTACGTCAGCTTACATATATTTAATAATTAAAGGTTAAATCACATCCTATGACTCAAAATACCTCCAAATTGAGTTGAACAGAGATGCTTGAGTACACTGAATATTTATTTCAACATTAAAATGGGACAAATTCAAGTTTTTGGTTTTTCAACGGAATTATCGATAGTAAACTTTGAATAGTTCCGTGGTTATACACTTGATCAAACATTTATTCTTTTCTACAACCCAATATAGTCCATGACACAGTCTTACTGTTCAGTTCTCTTCATTCGTGTTGTCAAAAGTGACTTCCATGTATTGCATTCTAGTAATGTTTGCTGAATGTAAAAAACATGTTTGCGAATACTTAAACAATTTAATCCGTTATAACGTATGATGGCACACGAACACTGGCGCTGTCGATGAAAAGCTAACTCAACGCCAATTGTTGTTTGTGTCCTTATATATGGGGAAACATTTCCTTATGTTAATTACAAACTTTAGTTTTTGCATATTATCATGCTCTTTATTAGTATAAACATTGAAATATTATATCTTAAGCAACTTTGCATTACTTGAATATTCCATGCTAGAATACGTTTTAACAAAATCAGAGGATATTCAAAGTCAACTGTAATGCAGTTGATGTATGTGGCATTTATTATTGAAATATTTTGTACCAGCAAGAGTTACCTCTCTTTATATTGTGCTTGCGTGCATATTTGCTCCGCCTATTAATGTTCGTCTATTTCCGTGATAATGCCATATATGGTAGTTGCAAAATCATTTAAAAATGTTAATTGCGTTAGAATGTAAAAGGAAAGTGTAGTGTTGTCAACCTGAGAGTGTAAACTGATGCAGTAACAAATGTTACTCAAGGATCGACAATTAGATTTTTACTAAATATGTTTAAAAGAACCGAAGTATGCATTGTCAAGTTTTAAATGTTGGATTTTTGTCAACGAATAGCCTCCATACGTTTGCAGTTTCGTTTAACAAGTGCTGACTGAAAGCAGCAAACTTTCACATAATTTCGCTACCTACTATTTTTGTTTTATTTCCAAAACGTAAAATAATCAGCACTATACAGAACCTCTGTTTCTTGTTATTTAAAACAGCCTCTCCCAACAGACAAAATTGAAGGACACGCATTTTGTATATTTATCCAGGGACATTGATGTGCCATTATCTTAAAAGTATATTTCGTAATTAAAATAGGTAGCCACATCTGACAATCAATATGAAAGCGACGTATTTGAGGTGGCTGCATACGCTGGAAAAAATCTAATCCAAGTTGAGCCTGTGAAGACAGTGAGTATTCTAAAATATTAGATTACAACTAAGGGCGTCCGTGTCGAAGAGCTTTAAGTCGTTGACTTTAAACCAATAACCTCTCACCGCTGTGAATTTCCGCAGATACTTTAAATTCTCTTTCACATGGGGAAGTTATCCTGCTAGCCTACAGACAATTGGTGGTTCTAAAAATCAGGTGTCCGCTTTTTAAAAAAAAAATGGATCGGCAATTTAGGGTCTTCCTCCACCGACAAGTTTTGACCTGAAGTTACTAATTTTGTTATTTACAATGACTAAAGACAGCGACGTTTTTTCTGCGTTAACTAGACAATTATGCTTCTGTTTTTGTAAATTTATGGGTAGTATACTTCTTCCCATATTTATTCCCCTTGTAGCTAGGCGTTGCCTTTTAAGGGTTGAGGCATATGAATTTCAGACGCGTGATCGTAAAAGGCGACTAAATGGGTTCGAATTACTTGTGTGTTTGCATCTCTCAGCTCAAGCAGGTGAGCTGGTTTTGATCGTAAAAACCAAGGTTAGCCAAAAATCATCTTTCCTGTTTTGGCGTTATATGACCTGAATTCTGTTGATGCGCCGTAAAATGTGTTAAATTTACAGTCCATAAGTTGTATGTATTTCCTATAAATCTGCTTACGTTTCTTGTACATGGGACGCTTACTGCCTAAATCGCTAATTTAAAAATTGTAAAAATACGTTATTGATACTCACCAGCTATATAAGTGGGTCCATATGTAAAACACATTTCATTATAGATTTTGAATGACTTTACAAATACTATTTTATTTACCCAGGAGAGGAACATTATGTTGATGCGGGCTTTTACAAACATACAATGGAATTATTACGGATATTCTTCCACAGGAATGCTTTTTATGGTATGTAAAATTCCACCGTAGTCTACAAATCATGAAAAATCAGGACTTGATCACTTAATTATTTTCTGAAAGTCTAACTTAGTCTAGTTATTTTAATAACTACGATAATGATGATAAATGATAGTGGTAATGATGATTGTTTTGATGATGATGATGATGGTGGTGTTGGTGCAGGTTATGTTGATGATGATGATGGTGGTGGTGTGGTTGTAGTTATGTAGATGCTGATTGTACTTATATAATTGATGATGATGATGATGATTTGTTCAATAAAGATGTTGGTGGCAATGTTGGAGTTTGAAGTGATGTTGGTGATGTGTAAAATAATAGTTGCACATGTATGATCATTTTTATGGTGATGATGGTGTTGATGTTTTTGATGATGATGATGATGATGATGGTTGTAGATTTTTAAATGATGATGATGATGATGATGATGATGTGTATAAATTGAATTGACGTTGCTTTTACAGGTTATTCTACGTGGTAAAATAGTTTATACAAAATATAAAGATGCAGGAAAACAAGCTAGTGTAGAGATAACGAAGGATCTACAAGAATTAGTCTCACCTGATGCCAGACTTCTTGTCTTCTATGTTGATAAAACTACAAACAAGATTGTGGCTGATTCTTTTAAGTTTGAGGTTGAAAAGAGATGCCGCGGTAAAGGTGTAAGTAAATTGAAATCAAGACACGGTATATTAAATATAGAATTAATGGAAAAGTGAATAAAATAATGAAAAAAGTAATGAACCGAAAATATCAATTACTTTAAATAATAATTATATAAACATGTGTATACTGAAATGATTACGCTCAAGAGATGTAAATTTATCTTGTTACGTGTTTGATTATTTAATCATTCTTATGTTGCATGCTTATTTGATTATACTTACATGTGTATGATTATTATAACAATGCTAATTATGCTGACAGGTATATGATTATCTAATAATGTTGACAGTGTATGATTATCTAATTATATTGAGAGGTGTTTGATTATCTAATTATGCTGACATGTGTATGATTATCTAATAATGCTAACATGTGTATGATTATATCTAAGTATGGCATCAGGTGTATGATTATCTAATTATTCAGACAGGTGTATGACTATCTAACTATGCTGACATTTGTACGATTATCTAAATATGTTGACAGGTGTATAATCATCTAATTATGCTGACATGTATCTGATTATGTGATTATGCTTGCATGTGTATATATGATTATCTATCTAATGATGCTGACATATGTGTGTGCCACAAGGTGAGAAAAAATGTGTAGCCTGACCGGGCCTCGAACCATGGACTTTCGGAATACCATTCCACGGCTCTACCGACTGAGCTATCCGGCCGCTTACACATCTTCTCCCCTATTAAGTGAACAGTTCTGAACCGTGACATTTGTATGATTATCTTTTTAATTATGCTGACATCTGTATGATTATTTATGCTGATATGTGTAAGATTTTCTAATTTTGCTGACAGGTATCTTCTTATGTCATTATGCTGACATGTGCGGTCATATAAATATACTCTCATGTGTGACTATCTAATTATGCAGACAGGTGTGTGATTATATATGCTGACAAGTATTGTTTATAACTAATTATGTAACAGATAATACTAAGGTAAGTAGATACATGCAGGAATTGATCGCTGTTATCTTTATCAAGTCAGTTTCAAGTTTCTTTTTAAATGTTACTGTTAGGTTGATTCTTACATCACCAGTAACTTTTCATTCCATCTCTGGTGATACCAAACAAATTATATACAGTTAATCTTGTGCAATGAGATTTTTGAACATTAACTTAAATTTCAACATTTTAGCTGAGGTTACAGACGATGAAGAGGGAGGTAAGGCCGGCAACCAAAGATATGTTGACTGTTACCGGAACCCCTTTTATGCACGTGGGTCTAAATATAATAGATAAGGCACTCCTATTACAGAACGATAAGAATGTTTTAAGGAAAAACAAGGCAAGTGATAAAAATGTTAAATGAAATGAAAATTAAATATTCTGCATTTTCAAAATTTCAGACGGTGGATGTTCTTAGGTATCAAATTAAATCAACACTGTTAATGCAAAAGTCAAGATTATCTGGTGTAGGGGACTTTAATTGCCCTTCGTTATTTGAGACACGAGCGGGCACCTGAGAAGCACCATCTTACGTTCGTAAACTAATCGGTTAAAAATTTAAAGAAGTGAAGTGCCTACTTCTGCTTATATGTATACATTTTCATGAGACGCCATTAGCCTGAGCTGTTAACAATAACATTACCTGTCCAAAAGAAACTATATTCTGTCAGATATCTCAGTTCATGTAAGATAATTTTAAAGCAAACCTCTATGCACTCAATTTTAAAATGAGATTATATGAATCAACTTATCAGTCAGTTTCATTTGTGTTTTGAACGTTTTTGCCAATCGAATTATGGTGCAATAATGCAACTAGAAGAAATATACATGGATATCTTAGTTTTATTTTGCATGCTTGTTTTGTAAGTGCCTATAATCAAATCTTTACGTTTTTTATTTCATGTAATGAAATATATAAGATAACTTATGATATTGATATATTGTCAGATGTTTGAGATTCTCCAGTCACATGACCTTGGCTGCGGAGAAGGTGGAGGGAGATCAGGAGCTGATGTGTTCAAGGTCAGAATATATGTTTTCCTCTATACATCCTAGTGTACACCATACTGAAATGATAATCTAATATGTACTATCTTCAATGGCAATTATCGACAACGAAGAGCATGTGAAATAGCTAATATGATGATTTATGTTTGTGGTGAACACATTCTCAGTTAGAAGTGAATTTTCTAAAACATATTAGCAAGAGCGAATAGCGTGAATGAAAATATTAAACAAATCACTTTCATACTAATAGGACATGTTCGTTATTTTCTCGTCATTTACATTTAAAGTGTAATTATATAGGTTTTTTTTACAAAACTTAAAACTAGTCATATTCTTAAATGAGCTTATTTATGTCATTATCTTGACGCCAAATCATGTAATTACCTTGATGTCATGAAAATTTTAGCATGTGCTTGCTTTATCTCTATGTACTATATGATGAACAATTGCAATCAAATGAAATTTCATATCAGAAAACCGGACTTACAGTGGTAACTAACTCTTTATTGGATGAAAATGATATAGTACGGACCACAGCCGGCTGCGAAAGAAGTACAAGGAAACGTCGTGATGCCTACGGTAAGTGTTTGCTTGATAAACTAGCTTGCTTAACTTATTAAGAATTTATAACATTATACACAATATGTTTCATATAACTTTCCAAGCATTGCGTTAGTGCAAATAAATACATAAAGTCTAAAGGTGCTAGTGTCGTACGTCTGTGTAATTTATGAAACAAATGATCTCCCGTAAGGATTGTCTTGGTGGCAAATCGTTCAATTCTATTATGCGTACAGTGCTGTGAATTGACACATAATTGAAGAAATAATACAGTGTTATTTCAGAATCATTAAAGATGCTTGTTCTAAAACTGTCTGAATGACTTCAAATGCTGTCGAAATAAGTCACAACAACAGGAACAAATTCTATTAATGGTACACGTTGATTAGAATGGAATGTTTGTGAATATGACGATTACTATAATTATGTTTAAAGGTTGAATGCACATTCAACAGAAGAATGAAAAATTAAACCCGCAATATTTTGTTATCTATAGAAAATATATCGCTTCATCTTCTTTGTAAATGTAAATTGTGTTTCCTCAACGAGAGAAAGGTTGTCCTCCAATACATCTATAATACTGTAATGAATTAAAATCAACTGTGCAGGATTGTATTCGTTACAAAATATTTTCAAAAATTATTTGGCCCATTATAAACGTTTAAAGTACACGGGTGCATAAAATGTGTAAAATTCGTTACACATGATAAAATTGTGATATGTGCAAATGAAATGTTAATAGAATAATGGTTCTCTTTACAGGACAATTAGATGAGAAAAATGAATACCGGGAGGATATTGCAAGATTAGATAATCATCGTATGCACATTTACACTAGATCATATTACCGAGAATCCTGGATGTTTGATGTCTTCAGTCTAGATAAGTGAGTCACTTACCGCTTAAATTTAATCAATAAAGTACAATAACCCGAATTTGCTGCAAAAAATTTACTTTCCTATATTAAAGCCTATTTTATAGAAGACCAACTATTATAAAATTTACAGAGCTCTGTAAGAATGAAAATCAAGCTACAATAAAAAATATTTCCAAATTTATTTACAATGCTTTTGTACTGAGGAAGTCTTAGCTTTGTTAACTATGCCAATTCTATGGAAGGCATTTACTTTTATTATGTGTATGAAATTGATTTATATGTCAACATCTTATTCATCCTCCACAAACAATATGTTGACAATGTAAATTGTGGTCATTGTTAAATCACATAATGCAATAGTGATATACATGTATATGCAAATGACTGACAAAACTGTTTACGTCAATGAAATTATCTATCTATCCTATTACTTATTTAACGCTCCGTTGTAAAGAAAGCATGTAACTGACGGTATCATGTCAAGTCCGCTTCCTAACTGAATGATCAATTGGAAAATGAGGAAAATATATATGCTTTACAAAAACTCTTCTGCCTAGTGTTTATACAGTTGGCATGTTACCGGTCCTCTAAAGAAGCTATATTTACTAGATCTATGTCTCCAGATGTGTTATTTCTACATGTCATACAGCTTAACTATTACAAGCGTTGTTTTGTTGTCTTATTTTATGACGACCGCCGCAAGAACACATCTAATGATTTCACAACAACCATGATTAAATGTTGAATTCTGCTTAATGGTGCTGGGAGTGGACGGTCACTTGAACAGGCTCGATTAAACCGACCCTGCATCATTTTCTATTTTGTCGTGCTGGGCTTTCCTAAGGCATTCATGTTCTTTCTTTTTTGTGTACTCTACGATAGTTATACACACTATGGCCCTTTTGTCAAGTTATGGCCGTCCCAAAAAATAGCCCAATAACCTACTTCTGCAGTAAAGAATTAAGAACTCTTCTAACAATGGATCGAAATTAGCGATTATGGCCGTCATGGTCCACTTGACATCGTTAATGTCTCTCACTTCAGTACTTCGCTTATCGGTATTGTTAAGACCATTAAGTTTAAAGCTGTGTTGTTGTTTTTTGTTTTGTTATTTCAAACTAGTTTAATCGCATTTACAGTTTACGTTAAGTGTTTTAGTTATCAATTTTAATGTGTGTGTTTTAAGATATGGTCGGATGCGAATCGAGCTCATTGTCCCCGACTCTATTACAGAATGGAGAATACAGGCTATTGGTACGTATGACTTTTAAAAATTATAGGCTTGGTAAATTGTAAAGACTTGCACCACAAGGACATTATAAAGCCCAATTAAATAACGGTTTTGCATATTTCATGTTCGTATGAAACTAAATAATGTATAGGATTGTACATTTTAACGAAATGTAAAGTAATTCGATCGTACCAAACATCAAAACTATGGAATTCTGGTTAAGATACCGATATAAAGTCACAATATTGATGGTATGTCAACATATAGCCGCATGATGCCCTGCCAGAAGAATCATTGCTATAATAGCCAATATGTTATGTAATCAATTATCTGGCCAAAGGAGTAACTGTTAAATATCATCTTAAATGCCTACTATGTGCCAAATCAAATTATGGTATAAGTTACATAATATTTCATGAAAATCTGTTTTTTATGCCAGGGTATTGTCAAATATTGTGTCATAAGAATTGTGTTACATGTAAACATATTGTTCACTAACTTAATGACAATCATCATATAGTCGTTATTGTCTGGTAATAAATTGTTTGATTTAAACATACATGTGTTTATTTAAGCTCGATTGGACACAAGTTCTTGCAACATATATTAATCACTCTCGAATCCGTTTCCTTGAAGCAACAAGTACTGGTGTCATATGGAAAGACATGGTCGTAACCGGAGTAGGGCTCGAACCAATGATCTTTTAGGCTGAGAAACACTTAACACTAAGCCACCGCTCCCCGAAAATAGAATGTTTGTTATTGTATGAGTTTGCAATTTTGTTTGTAACTATTAAGCCGATGCTAAGGCGTGAGAGATGTCCACTTTTTCATTATCTCTCATGAAAAAATTCTGTTTTTGTCAACCATTTGCTTTACTAGTATATGTCATAACTGTCGACATTGTATAATATTACAGGTATTACGGAAAACGACGGTATGTGTATTGCTGACGAAGTCGAATTAAAGTCTTTCAGAGATTTTTTCGTTCAACTGGATCTTCCGTTCAAAGCGACTCGTTTTGAACAATTCAATGTAAAAGCAACGATATTTAATTACGACGTGCCGGTTGGTGATAATAAAGTGGTTAGTATGACATTATATTTAACAACAATGCAGCAATCAGCAGTTTAAAATGTGTACGAGTTGGAGTTTATTGTAAATTGTTTTGAAGACATGTTACAATTAGCTGTCTGAGTATCTGATTAATATCGTTCAACCAAAATTTAGCAGGTTATCATTTGGCAATATTTTTTTTTATCCGAATAATGATGTCTTATCCGGAACAAAGAAGGAGAGGGAGCGTTTCACGTGGAGTATTGAGATGATTCATATTTCTACTTGTGTTCAATATCCCAGGTTATAAATATAAAAAGCTCAGAACTCATGTATTTGATTTGTAAAGTAACATTAAAGTGTATACACATACAAAAGTAAAATCAGAGATTGTAGAAATCGTTCAAAAAAAAATGTATTCTAAAAGCATTGTCTCACTTGCCTTAATTACTTTTTTGCATTGTCCCATGTTTTAGCAAAGCATCATTTATGATGTCACTTGTGTTTTGTTGTTGCTTTTACATTTCGATACTAATAGGAGTATTGACTGAACATTATCATTAAAGTGCAATGTCTATAAAAAATGATTGATTAAATACATCTCAATTTATTTTTTAAAGCGCGAAGTAAGGGTCATTTATGTCACGTTTAGATCCCTTTCATTAATGTCATGAGTAAGAAAATGTTTCCTGTAAGTCGTGTCTCCATTTAGGTCAGTATTTATTTGCAAAGAGGGTACAATCTATGTTCAAACAGCGACTCAGGGAATCCACCACCTAGAGTCAAAATTGAGCTCCCGCAAAAAAGCGAGAAAATTGTAATTTTTTCCGTTGATACCTTTGAAAAGCGGTCTATATCCGGTGAAAGTGTCCGCCATTGTGTTCGACGGTATCCCGGAAGGGGATGTCATTGAAAAGAAACTTTACGTTGAAGTAAGTGGTTTAAAAAAATATTTAAAAGAAAACTTTCAATAACATTTAAATGATATTGCGATGTTTGATGAATTCAATGACAAATGTGAATTTTACTAAAACGAGTTTTTAATGACAATTATGAACATGATATATTACGGTAAATCCGTATAGAATATGCCAAATGAAATTAATAATTTTACAATTAGGCTTCATAATTAATATTTACTATCATAATGGCTTTCATGAGATATTTCAGCTTGGTTTTAGTGGATAAATATTGACTGTTTACTGTTTAAGTTCGTATAATTATAACTTTGTTGGAATAATGTGTGTTGGTAACAAACATCCTCAAATTGTTTTCATTTTCTTGTTGATATAAAGTACATTATGTAAATATTACAACGATATTAGACAGTATTTTCATATGCCGAACATATGATTCTACATTTTCTTTCGATTCCACGAGCCATGATTAACATCTCATAATTCTACAGGCAGATCTATATATAGATAATAATAAAAAAACAGATTAGAACATTATATATCAACCATTCATTTCTATTAACTGAATGTGGCTAAAGAAGAAGAAAATGTGACAATTGTTGTGTGTTTAGGTCCAATAAATCAGATGGAAGATTGTTAGAATGATATGCGTGTAGTTCATGTGCGGTTGTAAGGGATACTTGAAAGAGATTCGATGCACATTTTAGCGCCTCTAAAAAATCAGTCAAGTCAATTATCTATAATAATAACTTAAAACCATCTTTTCTTTGCATTCGAGGGTCATTGTCCTTGTCACCCTATACACGGTGTGAAATCGTTTCGGGCTGATTTAAAATATTTCCTAGGTCCTAAACTGATTTGGATTTATGGTACCGGATTGACTAAGATATAAAATGGATATTTATAAGTAAGAAAATATATAAAATAAACTTATTTACATCTGTAAGTGTTTGCATATTCTACTTGCACGGAACATTGCAAAATGTAAGGAATTCATACACAACTTTATACGGTTTGATAATGGTCTTTTATCAGTTGGAATCGAAAACAAAATTCACATGTCAATGAAGTAGTAGTAAACGTTAGCATAAAATTGCCAAAACGTCATTATTATCTTTGATTTTCAGGTATTTCATGATCATTGTATAACAATATCCGTATTGATAAAGTGGTTTTAGTAAAAACTTTTGTGCAGAAATGAATTTGTAGGACGTATTTTATGACAACCGTGTAATATTAAAGGGCACCGGATTGGTTTATATTAAAAGAAAGCAAGGCAACGGGCTGATTGTAGGCCTGAAGTTCACTGCAACTCTAAATCAATCATATAGTTTTTTTGTTGATATTAAAGGTATAAAATTCAAAAATCTTGTTTAAAATTGCAATTGCAATCGTCAAATTTACCTTTCTTGATGCTGATAAAGCATTGTAATTATAGTTTGTTTTAAAGTTTTAAGATCAAAATAATATCATTTTACAGAAGTAAAAGGTACAAAATGTACTTAGATCCTGTCAAAACAACAAGGTTGGGAGGTAAAAGGTATAAACTGCACATACGGCCTTTTTAGCAATTAAAGTTCCAAATAAATTGTGGTATAAGGTTATAAGTGCAGTAATAGCCTTGTTCCTCTAAAAAGAATTTTGATGTTGAAGTTATTGTTACTGTTGCAAATTTATTAATCATGTCCTTACTTTGAAGAACCTTACGCTATGTCAACTACAACTTAGTAAAACTACAACTTAATAAAACGAACGTTATGAACTACAACTTAATAAAACGAACTCTTGAAATTTTATTACATCATTTTTGGATCTTCATATTACTATCAACAACAATTCTATTCACACGAAAATCTATGATAAAAGAGATGACTTTGACTTTTGTATAGTTAATTATCCACATTTAGATGGAGACGTACCCCATGCAACATCTTACGGGGTTTATGTTTCTCAGTTAATTAGATTCGCTAGAGCTTGTAGCAACGTTAAGGATTTCAACGAGCGGAATATTTTTATTACCAGCAAGCTTCTAAAACATGGCTACCGCTATCATAAATTACGGAAATATTTTACTAAATTTTACAATCGTAACTTTGATTTAATTTCTAAATTCAATAGTGATTTAAAAACTCTTCTGCGGCAAGGGATTAGCCAGCCTGGTTTTTATGGCGATGTGATTTACAAACTTCGTAAGATTTTGGGTCATGGTAATTTTTCTGCTATTTTTACTAAAATCATTAAACGTTTTATTAAAAGAGGTTATGACCCTTCCATTTTAAGACATACTGCATGTTTAGTGTTCAACCCTTTTACAGTTGGACACTACGCTTTCCTCTTTTGATTGCATCTGACGGACCAAGTGGGAGACTATGATGGATAGTTCGTAAAGCCCTTTGGGACTGAATTGTCTTAATGTTCGTCTTCTGCCTTGCTTCGTCAGGCCCTTGTAGGTGATTTTCTTGTTGCTCTGTATTCCTTTAGGACATTGAGTACTTTTCTTATGGTCATTGGGTTTACTTTTATATATGTCTACATGATAAATTTAGTGTTTTACTTATTTAACCTTTTGTAACCCTGACAACTGTTAGAATTTCACTTGGCGGGGATTCATTTTATTTACACTGTCTCGTTTATAGGAACATGGTGGGGCTAAGAGCGAGGTTTGGTGCACCATTAACCGGTTTAAACTCCCCAGCAGTCATTATTATGCTGATGACCGTTCCAAGGCGGCGCCCCACTGTGTTCCTCAGATGTATGTCTATGTTGTTTCATACTGTTTTGGTGACACTTTTGCTTTTGTCCCTTGTTGTTTTCTCCTCTACGGTAAGTATCTTCCCCATTGCCTCTATTTTTATTTCTTTGATTACCCACCACCCTTCCCCCGGTCTCCTGTCCCCTTCCCCTTTGTGGGCATATTATTATTTTTCTTTGAATTCCTAATCAGTTACAAATTATTTATCATTTAATGCTTAACCTGTCCATGCTCTGTCTTTGCCCTGTCCTGTTTTTGTTTGGGGTCCGCCTGGTCTCCTTGCCGTTGGTTCTTGTTGCTGGGTCGTGTGGGGGCTTGCGTTCATTAAACGCCGCCTTTCCTTGTTGATCTTGCTTATCATAATTTGTGAGGCGTTACCTTCAGTGGAGACCCATTTCGTTTCTGTTTTATTATCTGAGGGTTCTGAAGTTTTCTGTGTTTCACAAGCTTGATCAGCAATCTCTTCCCTGTCAGATAGTGCCCTTATTTTATGACAACCGTGTAATATTTAAGGGCACCGGATTGGTTTATATTAAAAGAAAGCAAGGCAACGGGCTGATTGTAGACCTGAAGTTCACTGCAACTCTAAATCAATCATATAGTTCTTTTGTTGAACAAAGCCACTTCACTGGAATCATTCAAGTTGTAAATACATATTAAAGGTATAAAATACAAAAATCTTGTTTATAGTTGCAATTGCAATCGTCAAATTTACCTTGCTTGATGCTGATAAAGCATTGTAATTATAGTTTGTTTTTAAGTTTTAAGATCAAAATAATATCATTTTACAGAAGTAAAAGGTACAAAATGTACTTAGATCCTGTCAAAACAACAAGGTTGGGAGGTTAAAAGGTATAAACTGCACTTACGGCCTTTTTAGCAATAACAGTTCAAAATAAATTGTGGTAAAAGGTTATAAGTGCAGTAATAGCCTTGTTCCTCTAAAAAGATTTTTGATGTTGCAGTAATTGTTACTGTTGCAAACTGTTGCACAAGCTTGATCAGCAATCTCTTCCCTGTCAGATAGTGCCCGTGAAATGTATGAATGCAGTATTCTGTCAAAGGAAAAAGGTGATAAAATCAGTTAAAACTCTTTTCCAATACAGATTCTTCAACAGCATGTGGAACAACAGGTCATAGATACACTTAGTACCTTTTACCCCTACATAATGTGTAGAAAATAAGTTATTTCAAAATACTTTTTAATGTTTTGTCCTTATAAGGATTGAATATTTCCATAATTTTTTCGTCAGACATAAAGGGCAATAAGTACATTGTAGAAAAAACACATGAAAAGTAATTTTCGACAAAAATGGCAGTTATAACCTTTTACCTTGGAACCTTCGATATTATGGTAAATATCATTAACATCTTTTTTTAAAAATAGCCAGCAACTTTTTAATAAAAGTTTTGTCTTACTTTAGGCAAATGTTTACCTGCACGGAGTTCCACATTTGTGTTCTAACGGCGACCCAGGGAAACCATCAACTCCAATCAAAATTGAGCTTAAACCAAATAGCGCAAAAACAGTAACTTTTCCAATCATACCTCTAAGGAACGGCTTGTATCCGGTGAAAATTTCCGCCATTACTACGGATATAGGAATTCCCTCTGTGGATGTTGTTGAAAAGAAACTTTATGTTGTAGTAAGTGGTCTATCTGTATTAATAATGAAACACTATAGGTCATGTACATACAGAAAACGCGACATCTGATGACTTTTATTGTCATGATCGATATTTTTAGAACTAGGTTTATCGCGAGTACTGTTCAAAACATAGGATAAATACGTACAAATTATGCAATTCAGATGAATTTGAAATATGATAATTTTAAAGCTGCGCCTTTTTTAACAAGGTCAATCTAAAGTGTTCTTCTAGTATCACGATCTTGTTTTAATGGATGTGATTATTGCTAAAAATAATGCCTACGTAATCGACATGCTCTAATTATCAAGAATCTAATAAAAGGGCAAAAAGGCATCACATTGTATTTAATTTGATCGTTTATAGTGTTATGAACATTTCACAATGTTTACAATGATATTATAAAGTGGTGTTTAATAATTAAACTTAAGAAACATAACTTAAATTCATTTCTTTATAGTCGGATTTAAAGGGTTAAATCTGATAAAGTTTGTTCTGTTATGTATCACCAGAATGAGGGCATAGAAGAAAAAGTGACAATTGTTGTGTGTTTGAATCCAATGAGACAGAAAGACGATTGTAAGAACGATAGGCGTGTACTTTATGACTGTAAGTATGTACAGCGGTACTTCTAATGTATCGTCAGGGGTTGTCATCAGAGATTCTGTGCAAATTTCATTGCCTCTTATAAACAACTTCAATAAAAGAATCTTCGGTATTCCTATTTTAACTTTGATTATGATAATAAGTAAATATAGTATATTTGTACAATAAAGCATTGGGAGAAACCAAATTTAATAGGACCTGTTTATTGGCAACGTCAATCATAGTGACTGTAGGTTACTTAAAGCGGAAAACAATGCAGAATGGAAAAATGAAAAGAAATAGGTTTCAATACAGGTTTATAACAAATGTCTCATTGGTAGGTCAAGTAAACCGTAAAATATTTTACTCTGAAACCCTTTAGTAGAAGTAGTAAGATAATAACAATAGTTTCATAAAAGTTAGGCAATTAATCATGATTAATTATGGCTAATGGTTGATTATAATAGATCATCTCCTACGCCCTATAGCAATCGATTAAATGGTATCTCATTAAAAAAAAACAATAAAATAAATAAGAAACGTTTTGTTACATAATTATTTATCTACTAACACCTCCTTTAAGTACAATATGCATCCATGACCGAGTGATTTTCATGTTGATAGTAAGTAAAAATGCAGTATAGGGGGTTATGTAGAATCTGTGTGTAGAGCTGCAAAAATCGTCATTTTGTCTTATAATTTCAGATCAAGCAAGTAAGGACTTACGACTGTATGAAATAGATCTAACGCTTCCGAGTAATAGTATTTCACAAACAGGAGCGGCTACGGCATATATCCAAAGTAAGCACTAAAAGGTTGACGAGAAATGTTCGTCTTAATACGCATAAAATTTCATCTGTAGATTTCTTACTTCTATAACAGCATAATCCGAAGTTATCTTTAAAATAAAATGAAAACAAAGCTGTCTACTAGTTTGTAATGGCCAGCGATTGTCTTTTATAACTATAACCGATTTATATATCGAATTGATATATAAAAACAACGAAGGAAAACGATCGGCAACATTTTTGTCAATTGACGTCATATGCTGTAGTTGACTTATTTATGATTATTGATAAAAGCGTTATGAACGCAACATTATATACAGATTAAATAAATGTTTGTAAAGATTTGGATAAAACCATGAAAACTTAATATATAGACCGAAATTTATTGTTTTAATGTTTACGTTGATTCCGCTAAATACGTTTGTTTTTGTCCTGCTTTAATATTTAGGACTTCAGAATAAAGGAGCAAGTCTTTACGTTCTCAAACGAAATTCATCAACACTTATATTTTAAACACGCGATTATAACTGTACAAATACCAATATTGATGAAAACGTGTTTGTAATATGATATCTGTATAAATAATTACAGGCAGTGTGATGTCAAATGTTGTCGATACGATAATTAAAGGCGTCGATTCTTTGTTTCAACACCATATTGGTTTCGGAGAACAGACAATTATACGGCTAGCTACAAATGTTTACGCCCTGACATATTTGAAGGAAACAAAACAAATGACAGCTGATATAGAAAGAATTGGATATCAACGGATAAGAGATGGTTTTCATTTTCTGTTGATTTGTATAAAATTGGGATTAAATTTTAAACAGACTGTAAACACAGCAAAAGAATGTCCTTAACGTTAATAAGTTTTATAGTTAACAAAAAAATTATTAGTGTTATTGGTTTCTAGAAAGAAGGTAACAATTATTATGGGATTGTTAGTTTCTCAAAGTAAATAGCATTTATTCATACTTCTTAAATAGTTTGTCATTTCACATATGAATTTATGATGGACATTTTTAATAGGTGTAAAAAGACAGGTTTCGCAATACAGACGTGCTGACGGGTCATATGTGTTTAAAGGAATCAGACAACCTAGCACTTGGTAACAGTATTCTTTGTTATATATGAATTATACTTATTTAACTAAATTCTTAAAAATGAAAAATGTCTTTATTATCGAAGAATGGGCGATATTTCTTTAATTATATGCCCATGTATTTGTGCAATAAGTCAACTATTGGCATTATAAAATCTCTTTTGCTATTCCTGCTGTAAATTAATATTAATGAATGCAATCGTTTAGAACTGTTTTAAGGCGCGCTTAGTAAGGGGTATTTGGGGTATTCATATCAATATTAATATATGTTTGTACATCATAGTGCCGAAATACTGTATGGGGCTTCTTGCGATATACGTTGCTCCCTTTTTCTTAAATAATCCCTTATGTCATCACACATGTCATATGTGTTATGTCGTTATGAAGAATATCTCAAGTGGCCATCTAATCCGATTTCAAGCGTGTGTCTAGTCCTAAATAAAGAATGATAGGATCTTCAATTATTTCAAAGGCTCACGGCATTTGTTGCGAAAGTGTTTTGTCAAGCTGACAAGGTTGTAGATGATGCTGTGGATATAGAGAAAGATTTAAAGCCTAGTATTGATTGGCTGAATAAACATGTGAATGCTGATGGATCAGTGACTGATAATATGCCTGAAAAACCAAGAGAAATGATGGTAAGATCGAACGTTCACATTTTTCTTTACCTAGTCTATAATTATAGCGAAGTAATAAGACTTATCACAACTTATTTCAAACTCAATATAAATATTAAAGGTGTATTTATCAATTGCTCGATATTATTTTATTTATTCTCACAAATATAAAAAACAATTGCCTAAAACCTTTAACTTTGCATATTTTATAATATATAAGAACATTATATCGATTTATAACTGGACTCATGTGTCAAATTTCGACTTTCATCGTCCATTAAAGTTTCTTTTACATTAACATGAAATAGATATTTCTTTCAAACAGGGACAAATAGGCGATGGAGAATCGTCCTTAACAGCCTTTGTACTGATCACGTTGCATGAATGTGACACTGCTTCTGGTGTAAGTTATATTTTTGTAATAAATTATCATTCTTTTCATAAAGCATCAATAGGAAATAATATATTACATTAAAGAATCCACATACTTGTATTCGTTTCAGCCTTTACTACCTATTTAAACTGCAACTCGCCTTTCAAAATTCAATTTTATTTAATTGCTCTCTCATTTGAGACATATATATTGTTAGAAATTGGGGACCGTACGCCGCTTTTCATGGAATTGCACAAATTTTGTCACATTAAGGTTTCCGTGATACCAGCCGTTTTAAGACATATGCGGATGATTCAATATTTCACGATTTCCTTTATAAAATGTTAAATTCTCCTTAACCCGGTGCTAGGGGGCGTGCACAGTTACTTGCACTTTCAATTACCTTTTATGAATAGGCAAATTCAAACTGAGCATGCAACATTTTCATGTCTGTTGTTTTTTTTATTGCGTTTTTAGGGATTCCGTTTCTATTTCTAATCTTAACTATTGAGAGTTTTGTTTCCAGTGGTCTATCTTTCAGTTCCTTTAAAAACTAGGTCAATGAAAAAATTCAGCTAGGTAAACCTGGCTTACCTGGCACGTGACTAACCCTGCGCGTAACGTTCATGCGTTCGATTATCGATTCATTTACCCTAAGATCATGTATATATATATGACCAGACTCAACGGAGCATCCAACATTTTCAATAATGCCCCTTTGGGCTTTATTTAGCTGAGGAATTCTTTTTTCACATCAGTGTTATTGCGCCATATAGGGGCCGCAATAGGCACCCGATACATTAACAAAATACATTTTTGATCCTTGAAGATCGTTCTGCACGACATAACCATGATGAAGTGATTTTTTCCTACTCTCTTCTTTCTCTGGAAAGGTGTTTCGAATTTTCCTATATGAATAATCCCTATAATATTTTGCCTGTTTTTCGATTTATTTTTAGACAATTTATCTGTTATATGCAGGCTTCAAAATCTTTGATGCCCTTTCAGAATTATGTTTTATTCAATTCCGCCAGTATTTGTGCATTTAGGGCGCACGCTTTCTTTTGCTTAGAGACGATACTTCGCTTATAAAAAAATGCCGTATGAACACATGATTCTTAATTCAACATTACAACATTTCCATGTTGAAATGTTGATTTCAGATTACAGCGGTCCTAGGGACTTGACCTGTATCATACAAATACCATTTCCGTCCATGCAAATCTTATTCAAACCGACCCTGCTACATTTTATATTTTGTCTTTTAGGATTTCAAGCAACATCTTTTACGACTTGCTCTAAATTTGTCTTATTGAGCGTTTTTTCTAAATGTCGTTGATTTGTCTCCTAGAATACAATTTAAAAAAAGGAAAAGATATGAAATATAATAGTAAATAGAGTAATCGAAATGACATTTAAATGACGTTTTCTTTTTTCTAGATTATAAGTACAATCGTCGACAGGTCAGTACAATACCTTGAGGGTCTATCGGAACGCAAATTAAAGAACAATCCTTTTCTTTTGGCCATAACCACTTATGCTTTATTATTGTCTGACAGTACAAAGACAAATACATTTGTGAAATACTTAAAAGACATAAAGAAAATTAATAGTGGTACGTTATATTTTCTTTTTTTCTTTCTTTAGTCAGAATATTACAATTCATATTTATTTATACATAATTAAGCTACTTGAGAATTAAAGTGTTAACAAAGCCTGTGGTTCAGAAAAACTTCAAACACGAGCTTTAAAAAAGCTGAGAGCATCTGTTGTCACTCCACTAAAACTTTTGTTAACTGAATCTGTGAAAATTGAATTATAATGTAGCCAAGTTTAAGCCTTATACAAAAAGCTGGTAGAGGTAAATAAGAAAATTCGATAATCTTAACTCGTAAAAAAATCAATTATTCTTTTGGTCGTTTACTTTAAACCAATTGTAAACCGCATGAAAAAAGTAACGAGCAGAATTACTAATTTACATCTTATGAATTACTCGTTGACAGCTGCTTGATTTAGATTTAAATCATTTCGTTCACTTCAAATAACTTGTAAATCACATGATATAAGTAAGGAGCAGCATTATTAATTACATGATATGAATAACTTATTGTCATCTGTTTAATATAGATTTAAATTTTTGAATCAAGAGCCCAAAAACTGTAGTGGTTGGATGGAGGGGAGAATTAGATTTTTTTGTAATATGATTTTTGAAATGCGTAAGATTTGGTAACACATTAAAGATTTATTAGTATGCTACAATCATATTGCATCAGAAGTACTCTTCTTTTTTTATTAAAACATTTCTCACTGATAGAACTCAATGTGTTGTTGACTATATTAGTAAATACATGTTGTTGTGTAACTTGTGGAGTTCAACAGGACAGTGTTCTAGGACAGTTAATGTTTTTGTATACATTAATGAAATTGAAAGTTATATCTCTTTAAAGATGTGAATACCACGACCACTATAATACAGAAAATCCACAGAAATTTTAAAGTAAAGCCATACAAAATGAGTTTCGTATTTTTCCAATCAATTTTTAGTTGTGCAAGAATATACTTACTAACCGCAAAGGTTAATGTCGTTTTCCTCAAACCACTTGTTACTCACAGCCTAGGGCTCGAATTCCGACATAGACTTTGCATTTTGTTATTTGATGAAGCTATCCAGCTAGCTTACGGACCATGGTTAGTTCTACTGAGGTGTCCGTTTGTGCCACACATACTGCGCAGAAGGGCACCTGAGGTCTTCCTCGAACGTCGCCATATGACCTATACTGTGTACACAGGTAAATATGCACCACATGTTAAACGTATGTGACGCACATGTTTTACATATGGTAGAAACATATGGTTTCTCAAAGAAAAATACCCAATATGTTTTACATATGGTGCACACCCATGTTTTTCATATGTTTTTCATATGGATACCAATTCGCTTGTTAAAACCGGAAATAAAGTTCATACATGTCGGTCATGCATACAGAAAGTATGTGTCAGGTACCAGTCCGAGGTGCATAATCTTATCAATCAGTCAAGCTCATTATTAATTTTCACCACGACGCATATAATTGTGTTCAACTGCACGCGTAAGTGAAACTATATATATGTATATAGTTATGCTTGTATAGCAATTTTCAAACATTGAAGAAAATGTAAAATATGTACTGCAAATATTTGTACATATAATATGTAATTATTAAAATATATGCACTCATTTCTTATTGACAAATTTGACTAGGACTTTATAGAAAATAAACTTTTTATTACCTCCCTTTATTAACATGAAATGTAAAATACAGTATTATTATTTTTAAAATGTAATATTATTTTTTATAAATAATGTGTTTTTGGAACTTACAAAATTGATAAATCTTAATTTCAGCATATAATTATGATATGATGGTCACTCCGTACGGGTCACTTCACTTCACTTCAAATTTCACTAAATAAAAAATAACATTTACAAAAGGAAAAAATCATGAATAAAAATGAATGGCAGACTATTCTCCCCCCTTACCATAAGTTCCTTTAAATGCATGAACCAAGAATCTTTTAAGAATTTATGTACAATCATTTAGAATCTTATAGAGACTGTAAAAAGTGTAAAGCTTGCAGAATATATTATACATAGATTTATCATATGAAAAACACATGAACGTTCACATATATTTAACATATGAAAACTTATTCATATGAAAAAAAAATATGATAATCATGAGTTTAACATATGTTTGTTGACACATGTTTTTCATATGGTCCTGTTTACATATGTTAATCTTACATATGAAAAACACATGTTCTTAAACACATGTTTTTCAAAACACATGAAACACATATGTTTTACATTTGAAAAACATATGGGGTACCAAACATACAGCAAACATGTGGTGCATATTTACTTGTGTACTGTAGGTGTGACGTAAAACCCAATAAAACATTTTTGTTGCATAATTCATTTAATTTAAAATTGAGATTATCTTATCGCACCCGTCGTCCCCATAATACATCTGAGCTCTTAATAATGATACATGGAACATTGATAAATTATCGTTTAATGACCATGTCAAATATGGTATTTGTAGAAGGTACATTCTGGGGAAACTCGGGAGGTAAACCGGCAAACGCCCATTCTGTAGAAACAACTTCATACGCCCTTCTTGCAATGTTGCATTCCGGGGATATGGAAACAAGTTCGTCGGTTGTAAGTTGGCTGACCTCTCAAAGAGATGGCACAGGTTCATTCAGAGCAACACAGGTAACTTTGATGCTGACATTTTCTTAAGCCAGCATACTGAATAATAAGTAAACTGATACTTATCATTATCACTCAGTTATCATAATCATAGAAAATGTTAAAAACTGAAGGTCTATTAGGCTCTTTAGAAAAGGATACGACTATTTTGCACCAGTCAATAGAATATAATTATAATTGTTTTTACCTAGATCATTATCATAAATTATATTATTAATACCAATATCATGATTATAATAATTGTCGGCATGATAATGATTACAATTATGATTATTAAAAAAGAAAAAGACAAAGAAAAAATGGTTATTTTATAAGTATTACTATTATTAGAGTACAATTCTTTTAATATAGTTAAAGTGGATAGGTCTACAATGGACATATTTTATTTATAATAAGTGTGTTATAATTTGATACAAAACAAGATAAATGTATCATTTGTATATTCTAACAATAATAATTCTAAGTGAGTTAGTATGAGCATTAATATTAGGAATATTAATATTATAGACCATTTTATTAACTGCTTTATTATTATATGTGATATTGGATCATGTACCTTACTCTTGCCAACATCACTTTACAATTTTGTCGGTGTTTGTTGCTATATTGAAATTATTTAAAACTAAATACATAATTACACAATATAATTACTTATTGCATTACATACCATCCAATATAGACCAATTCACTTTAAATCATTTTTTTACAAATTATTTGCACATACATTATTGAACGTTTTTGTCGACTGTCTAGGATACAGTGGTAGGCTTGCAAGCCTTGTCTAAATACAAAATAGCTACCTTTTCGCCTGTAATTGACCTCAGAATAACCTTATTAGCAGACAATTGGGTTGGAAGAGAGGTATACATAGACAAAAAACAAGGCGTTGTTCAATTCATTGTCCCAAATGTAAGTTATATACTTATAATTGTCATAGTACATGGCCGAGTGTTTTATGTCACTTATTTCAAAACACTTGCCCTTTTTCACCATAAGTTCCAATTTCGTCGAGAATTAAGTGTTAGTCGAACTAAGGAAGGTCGGTGGTCCTTCCCAAATGCCTTATTGAGCCTGAAATAATAATCAATGTTATAATCTCAATTACCACATACAATATTTGAAAACTTTAAAATGACTTTAACATATTTGATGTTAATTGTTTCTTAAAGAAATATAAGTCCGACAAAAACAAAGAAAAAGCAACAACATGTTACTGATTGCACTTTTAAGGCGAAATTTGTTTTATCTGGAATCATTCTGACGAGGATTTGTTACATTTCATCGATAGACTCAATAATTTTAATGGTACTTAAAAATAATTAAAATATTATTATTCTGAAGAAACAATAACACTTTTAGATGTAAAAATTGTAAATCATGATAATGACACTCTGTCTATTTCTGTCAAAGAAAATATGGCATTAACAGTTACCAGTACATTGAATTTTGATAAAGTTACGGTAGTTATTGCAAAACGGGTATTTCTTTCAGACAAGCAATTAGCTGCATTCCTTTCAGATAAGCTGAATACTTTTGTTTTGTATTCAAAACCAATAGTAATTCAATGTTATTTATATCACCATTGACTGTACAATGTACCTAAAACCGGTAAGGAATGAAAATGCAAAAGATATCGTTGTACCAGTTGTTAAAAGAAGATTTATTGAATTCATTTAAAAGGACCTCATAAATAAAAAAGATAGTTATAAATTGTATGTTACATTATGCCGCTTCTATTTAAAAGAATGGGTGAATAATCTGATTGATTGATTGATTGATTGGTTGGTTGGTCCGTCCATACTTACGTCTTAACTTACTTACTGAAAATATGTTCCGACAGAATAACGCGGAGCACGGTTTGTGTAATTGGCAATGGACATTGCCGTCGCCAATATGTGACCCTTCAACACATATTTTTGGTCAAATACCATGATCACAGTGACGTTTTCTTTGTAAAACCATTGTCCAAACAATCTCTAGAGAAGAAATAAGTATAAATTTATTGAATATAGGAAAAACATTACCAGAGTTCAGCTGGTGACTCCTATTGATTTGGGGATCAGTTGTACGAAATAGATAAATAAATAATTATTTTGGCAGGAATGCAGCATCCCTTTTATTTGTAGCTTGGAATATTAACATTATGTTAATAACTTTTGGAAGATAAATAAAATCTGCTGGAGGTCAAAGCCATATCTTATCTTTGACAGTATGTATACAGACGTAACATTTTTATGAACAAGTTGAAGTCTTACCCTGAAAAACTTGTGCGTCTTGACTAAATGCATGATCGGACACTTTTTGACAAGGAATTAATTCAAAGTTATCATGAAACCTATGATTATTTTATGTAACTTTTTAAATATAAAACTTGATTTTACATAAAAGGAGTATGTGTGTACATATCCTTGAGATAAGAAACAAAAATGGGACCCGAGTGTCCTAAAACGTATTCTATAGTTTAAAGTTCCTTTTTTTTACTTTGAATATAAAAATTAAATAAATTAATGTATATATTTACTAAATATAAGACAAATAAAGTTAATTAAACATATTTAATAGTTGCATAAAAGGTTTATTAGAATCTTATGTTTCATATACAGATACCTGTTGAAACTGGAAACAACACTCTTTCGGTTGTAGTCAAGGGTAGCGGAAGTGCAGTAATGTCAATTGATCTCCGTTATAACAGGCCAGCCACTGAAGAAGAATTGTGTCCCTTTACCATCACTGATATTGATGTTCAAGACGTCGAAGATATACCGATTGATATCAATTTGGCAAAAGAAAGGTATTAAATAACATAAACCTGTACGTTGTTTTTTGTTGTTTTTGTTGTTGTTGTTTTTTTTTGTTCTCTTTTTTTGTTTAATTAGTTGAACCTGTTTCGTAATATATTTGTATAAAGTACAATTTATCTTGCTCTGGAAAGGAACTTAATCAGAACACAAAGTTAACATTTTTTGTTTCTCCAATCCAACTCCGATATATTTATCCAACTCCGATTAATATATTTTTTATGTTTTTGTTACCATAAGTTACCCATTTCTTTTTTTCCCATTTAAAAGTAATGATTTTGATTAAGTTGTATACATGTGGTAACAACCCTACACACTTATCACTTTTTTCCAGATATTTAAAATGAAATGATTAAATTTTAGATGGAGAATGAATTTCTTAAGGACGTTATAGTTACAAGGGGTAACTAAATTTATGAATTTTCACATGATTGTTCAAGTTCATTATGATTGAATAACTTTTTGGACATGTCTTTATCATTTTATTACTAGCATAAACTTATTGTTTAAAGGTTCTTTTAGGACTTAATTGTTTTAATCTACAGTTATTAATGTAATATTTAGCATGTACTATTATTTTATTTATAACTTTATTAAGATGTGTATTACCACAATATATATCCAACTGACTCAAAGTTTTAATTTTATAGCTGCATCTGTTATTATATAACATGTAGTTTTCCAAATATGACGTGTTACATCACAGTCATTAAAAATGAATCCTTGTTTTTTTCATTATGGCAAGTGAACAATTATTGTCATTTATTATAATTATTGATTTTCTTAAGCAAATATTTTGATGCAAGAATTATATGGTTTGGTCTAATCTAAAATCGTGTTAATTTTGGGTCATTTGTATATTTGTAAACAATATTATATAAAGAGTTCTTTTTAATTTACATTCCTGAAGTCATTTTGCCATTTCGGATACTGCTTTTCAACCTGCATTGCTATATAAATAGGACTGCATCCTGTTTAATCAATATTAATTATACTTATAGGATTCGAAATAGCTACATTATATTTATGTTGTTTTGGTAAATCTATAACATTTTCTTTTATTAAAATTCTTATGCTGAAGCTACTTTACCTCTATATTCTAAAAAAGTTAGTTCTTATATTAAATGTTGAGGAAAATTCATCATGGGTATAAAACTCCCCACCCCCATAGTTAATAGGATCTCTTATATAAAGAATACCACATTTTATCCATCTATGTAATCAAATACTAGAGTTTTCAATTTAAATTATACCGTAAGTTCACAAAATAGTACTGATTAGTAGAACTTAGCTTTGAATTCATGGAAAACGTTTTATAACTATAAATTACATTTTTCCAAAAATGATTAATGTCTTAATGTAAATTATTTTGGTCCTAATATTTTCTGTTCCAAATTTATACGTTTGTTGTATGAAAGGGTAAGTTCCTTCAACCAATTGACAGTATTTGTTATTTGAGTTCAAACGGCTTCTGGGTCATGTAGCATTTAAAGCATTTAAAGCATGGTCTATCATATTTAATCCTCCAAATTTATATTCTTGAGTTATCATACGTCTTTCGACTTAATCTCTACCATCATTCCATAGAAAATTAAAGAATGTGTTATGTATTTGATTGATTTTGATCAAAGGTGTATTCGGTATACTTAATATGAGGGGGTTCAGTTTTGCTAGGCGCAATGATTTTTTACGACTAGTTTACCAATTTAAGAAATAATCGTTTTGACCAGTTTGCAAATAGTGTTTTTTTTCTTTTATTTTAAAGTCACTGTCAAATTCTACTGTTTTCTTTACATCAGAAGAAAGTTTTACAGCATGCAAAACATTATTAATCCAGTGAAGGTTATATTCAAGACATAAATGTTGCTTCTGTTTTTATTTGTGCCAAACCAAACCACATTTGTTTTTGCCATGTTTAAATTAAGTCCTGAAACTCAGCAATGTTGTATAAGAGAAATTTCTGTGCCATCTAAGAATAAAATAAACTAACGCTATCTGCATTTTGAGGAATTTTATACTTAATTCCATTCATCTTGATTCTTTTGATATAACTTGATTTGTCCTACAAGTGTTAAAAGTATTTCAGCACATATAATGTACAAGTACGGAATCACCTTAATGACAACCCTTCTGAAGTGAGAACCGACATGATATATGTCCATTAACGATAACACAGGAATCTGTATTTGTGTAAAATAATGTAATTTAAGACCTTTTTATGGACAAAATTTAACTCGATGACCTAGTGCTTAAAATTCCTTGAAATAGTATCAAATGCAGCTGCAAAATGAATCAAAAGTAATAACCCTGGAATGTTATTCTTCTCAGAGTTTAATAATAAATCATAAAGTATTCTAAATGTCATTAGCATGCCTGAAAAACACCCAGTTTATCGAGGATAATGCAAGTTTGTATGACACTTTTAGAGAAGAGATAGGTCTCAATCTTTTTTCAAATTTATCAAACACAATTTATCACTGTTTCCGTTAGGAATACAAGTTTAAACTCCTTGTCTTTTAGTATCAGAAATTTTTCCTATATAGTCTGCATAATTAACTAATGTAACAAGTTAAAGCCCGATATCTTTCCAAAAAAAAAATTCAACAGTTAAACCATCATTTCCGGGGCTTTTTTGACATTCGTTTCAAAGAATTTAACATTTCATTATATGTTAATTCACCCCCAATTGATAGCTAATAATTTTCAGACATTTTAGGTACGAGGATTGATCACAAAGTTCTTGGCCAGATGTACTTCCGGTAGTCAGAGAACCCAAAAAATGGTCTTATATTTCAATATAATCGCCCTCATGTGCTTCAACTTGTTTAACCCTTTAAAATAGAACTCTCTATTTTGGTCCTCAAAGAACTCATTGACTGCCTCCAAATAGAAGAATATGGGAGATGGGGAAGAATCTTAAAACCGCAGTCCGTAGTAGAAGCCATCGCAACTTGGGATGTGTGAGCTGGCGTATTGTTGTGCAGGAGCAGATTTCTTGACATCGAGAACTTTTTGATCATACCTCGTATGTAAGACCCTCCCCCCTCCCAATAAGATCTTCTTTGGATATGTTTTCTACTTCAATTGCTTTGCATAAATCTTTAATATTTTTTATACTTCAACCAAAATTTCTTCTTGAATCCATATTTTGATATATGTGAATTCATAAATTTTGAGACATACGAGGTATGATCAAAAAGTTCTCGATCCAATATACCTCTAGCCACAACACTGACATTTACACGCGATACGAAACCGATATCTGATTAAATATTACTGACCGAGTTACACGTGGTTTTACACACATTAAGTAACATAAAACACTTTGATCAGTAGAAGGGTGTGTCATTTAAACCAAATGGAGAAAGTTGAAATTGAACCGTCATTACGTACCTCTGTGAGAAAGGATGTCCCCAAGGAAGTCCATGAAGACTTCATGGATACACTTGGGAAGGAGTCCCCTCCCTATAGCTTTGTGCAAAAAGATGATGGGCGGCCTTGGCGTCTAAAAGAGGCCACAAACGATGAAGTTGCCGCAGCTGTGCACGATCTGGTTATGTGCAACAGAAGACGAGACCTGCGAAGCATTACAAGGGAAGTGGGTATAAGCTTTGATTCAGTTCGAGCAATTCTGACTGATTTCTATGGCATGTCAAAATTTGCAGCTTGATGGGTCCCAAGACAGTTGACTGACGACCAGAAACGGACCAGGCCTGACAATTCCAGATATATCTTTTCTCAATACAAGAATGAACCTGATTTTATCTACCGGATCGGAACTCAGGATGAAACATGGGTCCATCACTTCGATCCATAATCCAAAAAATAGGGCATGCAGTGGAAGCACCCTAACTCATCCCCTCCGAAGAAATTCAAGAGGATTACATCAGCAAGGAAGATGATGGCTTCAATTTTCTTTCAATAGTCAGGGGATAATCATGATTGGCGAGGTTGTATCATTAACGATATCATAAACGATACGTACTATGCAGACGATTTGGGACGTCTATGTCAATAAATCGTGCATAAAAGAAGGGGCAAACTGACTCAAGGCGTTATGCTCCTACACGACAATGTGCCAGCTCACACATAACAAGTTGCGAAGGCTGCTGCAACTGACTGCTGCTTCGAAATTCTTCCCCATCCCCCATATTCTTCAGACTTGGTCCCTTCTGACTTCTCTACCTGTTTCAGAAACTAAAAACCAAGCTTCGTGGTAGACATTTTGGAGGAATTAAGGTATCATGGAGGTGGTCAATGAGTTTCTTGAGAACAAAAATAGAGAGTTCTATTTTAAAGGGTTACACAAGTTGGAGCACAGGTGGGCAAAGTGCATTGATGTAGAGGGCGATTATATTGAAAAGTAAGAGCAATAATTTGGTTCTCTGACTACCGTAAGTACATCGGGCCAAGAAATGTTTTTGACCAATCCTCGTACATGAAGTTTCTGTTTTCAAGGATGCACTCATATATTGTGGGTTTCTTTTCTTCAAGTATCCATTTTGACTTTTGATCTTATGAAATGACCTTCCATTTCTTTCTTTCTCGAATTTAGAAAAACTTTGATTTTTGGAATTTAGCAATTTATTATAATAAGTTTTTTGTCTTTTTCAAATCATTTTAAATTATACTTTGATATCAATGAAAAAACTTTGTTACGTGCACTTAGGTTATTCACTTGCAAATACCTACAAGAATCATTATTTGGATTTGGATTATAAATATTAACAAGAGATATTTTTTGTCACATTTACTACAATTGAGTATAAATAAATTTCCTTCAAGATCTTTTTCAATACTGATCATCATTATTGATAAAAATTGCAACACAAAGTGATTTACTATTCAAATGTTAATAATAAGTTCCATATCCCACTGTTTACGAAAACTTTTTAATTCGTATACCAACCTAGATCATTTTCCGAAACTGTAATGAATATAACTCCAATCTGAGAAAATTCAATATCTCTTTATTGCACAGATTCAATTTCTGTAAGAAAATCAAATAGATCTTTAAGTTTTGAATACATATAAAAAATACCCCGATATACATGTCCAGTTTATAAAAAAAAATATTTTTTATTACTGGCTTTCAGAAACTGTGACGTATGTGGCAATTGTGATTCGGGTGATTACGCCTATTATGATGACGTTAATAGCGATTATTTTGGAGACCAGCCAGATATAGATCCCAGGGAGAAAAGTACTTTTGGAAGGAAGAAAAGATATGTTTACCGTCGCTTCCGAGCAACTGTTAAACTACAGTGCATTCGTTTCAGTGTGAGGTAATTGTTTCTGTACATAAAACAGATAATAAGCTGGAGGTAAAATAAGCATCACATTTTGTCCATATATACAAATAAAGATCATTTCCAGTATGAGGTAATGAAATGTTAAGTTATCGGGAATTTAATTTGACTGAACATTATTTATTACAAAATGACGGTATTAATGTTATGCTATGTAAGTTTTAAGACAGACAATGTTAAAGCCAAGTGACAACTCTTCTAAGCTGAAAAGCAAACCGGTGTCCTTCTGTGTTTTAATACATACACTGTTATTTTTGTGTCGCCTTGAAAAGGGCGACATATAGGGGTTACTTTTGTCGGCGGTGTCGGCGTTGTTGTCGGCATCGGTGTCGGCGTCCTCTTAAGCTTGCCCGGAGCATAAGGCAGTCATTATCAGTCAGATTGACTTCAAACTGGGTATGCATGCTTCTTATAATGACCCGAAGTACACTGCACAAGAACCAGTACTCTGCACTTCTTAATTTGTTAGTTATTGCCCTTTGTTAATTTACATATATTTTTGTTCGGGCCACTTTTCCTGATGTATAAAAGCTATGGACTTGAAACTTCATAGGATGATAGATCTCATTAAGAAGAAGTGCAGTGCACAAGAACCGGTACCCTGCATTTCTTATTTTTTTAGTTATTGTCCTTTGTTAATTTTATACTCAATTTTTGTCGGGGCCATTTCTCCTAAAGTATAAAAGCTATGGACTTGAAACTTCAGAGGACGATAGAGCTCATTTAGAAGAAGTACAGTGCACAAGAACCGGTACTCTGCATTTCTTATTTCTTTTTATTTATTGCCTTTTGTTAATTTTCATACTTTATTTTTGTCCAGGCCATTTCTCCTAAAGTATAAAAGAGATGGACATGAAACTTCATAGGATGATAGATCACATTAAAAAGAAGTGCAGTGCACAAAAACCGGTACTCTGCATTTCTTATTGTTTGAGTTATTGGTCTTTGTTAATTTTCATACTTTATTTTTGTCCGGGCCCTTTTTCCTTATGTATTGAAGCTATGGTCTTTAAACTGCATAGGATGATAGATCTCGTTGAGAAAAAGTGCAGTGTACAAGAATTGTCACTTCTTGTTTTTGACTTATTACCCTTTATTAAGTTTCATACTTTATTTTTGTCCGGGTTATTTCTCATAAATTATAAAAGCTATAGACTTGAAACTTCATAGGATGATACATCTTATTGATTAGAAGTGCAGTGCACAGAAGCTGCAGCTCTACACTTCATATTTTTTGAGTTATTGCCCTGTGATAATTTCCATATTTCATTTTTGTCCTGGCCATTTTTCCTAAATTAAATTGTTCACAAGGCGACACATCCGACTCGCGGAGTTCTAGTTTTTTGGAACATTAACTTTATGTATTTGGCAAGCAGTATTACCTAGCAGACAACTACACATGTTATAAACAATTATGATTAATAATAACGATTTAAATAACAATTTATGATTTGTTACATTTACTAATTTTTGAGCACGCCGAATGCTCCAGCGGAAATCATGAACATTTCACAGGCAAATAATCATAAGGTTGTTGAAAGTTTATTTATTTCTCCTCAAACAAGTTTTACCAAAGTAAATAATATAACTTTAATTAAAGTTTAATTAACTGTTATATTTGAGTTATGTTCCTAGTATGGTTTTCCGAAGCGCCATTTGTAGCATACGTTTTATACTTGTGTATTGAATTGATGTCATATTAATTATATTTTGAAGTGCTAAGAGTGATAAAACATATGGCATGTCTATTGTGAAGTTTGGACTAGAGACTGGTGTTGAAGTGGTCAAGTCTGATTTAGATAAGGTAAATATTTTACACTTATTGAACATAAAGTACTGCACATGCTTAATGCCAGCGGTCATGACTGGGGTTGCATTTTCAATTGTCTTTGTAGATCAAGCCAGATATGTTCAACTTTAAAATTAAATGAATGGCTTGTAAATTAAAATTTATAACGGTAATGATTTTTTTGGAATTGATAATACATGTATTCATATACATGTACATATGTAGAATGTGGATGATGTTTTGGATCTCCGAGAGCATGTTATAAAGGTCATAAAAATGCAACTTTGAAATTTATTATGTTCAGATTGAATTTCTTTTCAATGTCATTTACAATGTGAACATTTACAATGTGAACGTGATCCTTGTGGCATTTTCTTGAACGGAATGATTTTTTTGTTTAATATCTCCTTTCTAATTGCAGCTCGTTGCTGATAAAGCAAACATAGCATATTACGAAATGCCATCAGATGGCAAGGGTTTTATTCTGTTCTACTTACACGAGGTTTGTGCGAATTTGTTTTGTTGGTTTTGCTCACCAGAGCTTTCTCGCATATTCTGTCGTTACCTCATCTGTTATTTGATATTTCTCTACATATCTCCAAGCAAACTTAAAAAATATACTTTGGATTGTACCCTGCTAAAGTTATTATCTTAATTACCTTACATAAATATACATTACCTAGGTTTGATTTCAAAGAAAATCTTTATGATATAAAATGTTCTATATGGTTACATAGAACTGGATCTACAGACACTTTACTGAAACTATGCGATACAATAATTTTGAGCCATCTATAATGTGCAAGCCTATATTTCTAGTATAATTTGGAGAAAGGTTCTAAAGTCATCTTATTAAAAAGCCTTTTTGTTTGACTAAAAATATTAATTTAGCTTTTAAATACTGTCTTTACCAAAACTTAAGAAATACAGAATCCTTTTCTTAAGTTCCAAAATATTTGAATATTTTGTTATTTCATTTGTATAAAATGTTTTATTTATATATCAACTTGTATAAAAAATCTTTTTTCTCTTTTTCCTATTCATGCTAAACTATTATTTTCCTGTGTGTGTTAAAATAATGTCATTCATCTTCATATTCCTTATTTAATTTTTTTACCAGATTTCTTCTAGCGAGACAAGATTCATATTCCGATTGAAGGATAACTTTGATGTAGAAATTAGTTCCAGACAGCCATCTTCAGTTTATGTATACGACTACTATAATCCAGGTATTCATTAGTATGAAACAAAACTCAAATGTGAAAATAGACGTGAGTAAAAAGAAAGGAAATACTGTCGTTAGGCATCATTTCCAGATACATGCCCTGCAATGAGCATAAAGTGCATAAGAATATTGGCTTTTCTAAATCGAAGCAGGCTGATAATTCTTCATAATGATTTTATTTTCAAGCATTTTAGTATTGATTGACTAGACTAAGGAAGTTGAAATTCGGTATATTCCATCACAATCTATCTAAACAAATATTGTAGATTTCAGTATTATATTTATTGAAATATCTTATATATAGGCTTGGACATTTACCTCATTTAATTTTATTTCCCCTTGCTATTATGTGATTATATCTTATATCGGTTACCATATAAATTCAAAAGTTCAACATGTAAAATTCAAAAGTGTTTTCCCTTCAGAAAAGCATTGTACTAAGCTTTATGGTACAGGTCCAGATAGAGGCAATAGTTTCTCATATCAATGTGACAGAAACAAGAAGGAATGTGCATGCGTACAGAGTAAGTTTTGTAGATTAACATTTCTTGTTTATAATTCGTTTGTTTTATTATCTATTTCCAAAACATTAGAGCGCGGTAACACGAAAATGCGTTACTTACGATCAGCGTTATACAATGTACACGTTAATTATATCATTTTCCTCATCTTTTCACTTTGCATAACTCTGTTTGAATTTATTGTCAATTACACCAATAAAGAGAACAAAAACAACAGCATTGAGAACCTCAATGTTTAGAAGTGACTGATCAGTCACCACACACATATTGAACGTTTTCATTATTTTGGGCTTTGTAGAGGGTCACTTTATTGTTATCAAATCCGAGTCAAAAGTACTGCGTGCTATGTATTATATCACAAATTAACTAGAACATAAAAAACTCATACTGTTTTTTTTAAGTTAAAAAACCCAACAACACCTTAGTAGTAAAATAAACTTAAACTTTAAGAATGCGCGTTTTGTTACATCTTCCTCGCTTTAATACACCACTAAATTTTATCATTCAAGGGCCCGCTCAAGCGGTCACTATACATTTCGTTTGACTTCTTACGTCAACGTGAATATCTCATGATTAAAAGACGCACTGACACTTATAAATTTAAAATAAAAACCTGGAATAATCACCACTTTTGTAGAAATATTAGGAACATAAGATAAGGCTTATTGTTTTTATTTAGATATATGTGCTCAACCAGTGGAAAAAGAAATTGAACTGTTAGACAAGAGACGGCGGAAACCTGCTCTAAAGTTGTACAAATACGCATGTAATACGGATAAGGCAAACTATGGTATGTAAAGGATCAATTAGCCCTTTCGCTGCCAGAGGGTTAGTGTTTTATTGATCACCTATTTGCCAGAGGTTTTTCTAAGAAATTACTATATTATTAATTAATATAATTATTATTATTATTTGTTATTAGTATTATAATAATTATATGTTTCCAAATATGCAAGTATAATAATAATTATTGTTAATGGTATAACTGTCTTTATATTTATTATTATTTTTATTATTATTATTATTAATTTATTATTATTATGATTATTATAGAAACGGCAAAAGCCGTCCATATGGCAAATACGCCGAAAATAACAGGGACGGCATAAGCCGTCCCTATGGCAGTGAAAGGGTTAACACTAAATGTAAGAGCTAACTATCGCCAGTTAAGTGAAATTTACCACTGTCAATTAACTTTAATGGTTCTATTGTCAAACTAGCACATTGAATGACCATTTCTATTGGCCAAATTTCGAAAATGTGTGATGTTAATGCTAAACCATGAGTCCACCCAAACAAGCATATCAAGGAGGAAGTTGTTCAAAGAATACAATGAATAATAATTAGAAATAAAAATTGCTCACCAAACTGACGTTAAGTGGGAATATTATAAGCATGCCAGGCGATGGTTGTCTTCAGGTTTATTTCGGAAGGTCAAACCTGGTACAGATAGATTTTACCTACACTTTACTATTTATATTTTACTCACCACTGTTAATCATCACATCTAGTTGTAAAGGATAAGGTATTGAGAAACGGAATCCCTAAAGAACGCCCAAACTCCCCAAAAGTATAATCTAATTTCATACAGTCATGTTTAATCTCATATAATTTTTTAGAATAGTTAGACTCTAGCAATATTTTTATGATCACCCGACGGCATAAATATTCATTTATTTACATGTTTGTAACAAATAACTTGAGATACATGTATTTTCATTAATTTTATCAGCTGTAGTTGTAAGGATAAACGAAGTAGACTTTGATGTTGCAACACAAGACAAAATTGCAAGAGGCACAGTGATGACCAGTTTGAACCAAGGTATTTATACTTAATTTTCATGTTTCTTTTTCTTTCGGTTCTTACAATAAGATTGCTCATCGTCCGTCTTACTGACGGTCAGTCTGAGTTCCCTACTTTAACATCGATGAGCGAGTGTATGTTTAATTATTATGTTAAAAGGTTCATTCTGTATAAAATATACATATGTGGTGAAAAATTGTTTATTACACTTGTGTGGGTTTAAAGATCTCAAAAGAACCCTCATTGGTGAGAACGTCTGGCTATCTATCCGAAAATACTGGATCATGCAAATATTTGTAAGTGCTTGAAACTTGAATAACGGATAAATATCTATAAGGAAAGTATGTACATTGTTTGTTCTTACGTTGAGAAATGTTGAAAAATGATGTTATCATTTTGAAATCCTATGTACTCGTACATAAGCATGAAACTTGTAAATGTATCATGGCCAAGGAGTCTTATCTTTGATTTCACACAAATATTCGTTCATTATATAAAAAAAAAACTAAATTCTACGTGAAATTCATTGAATTGTTTTAAAACCTGTCACTGTATATTGGCAATTTAAACGGAATAATTGGTGTTATTCTTTGTATGTGCCATAACTCCATTATGTATTATGTCCCATATCATTTTGTAAAGACTGTTCATTGATCTTCTATTTTTAAACAATTTTTTTTTTGAACATATACTGAAAAACTGTTTTCAAATGCGTCTATAAGACATATTTCTGAATTTATATAAATTATTTATTCCCGTCTTATGAAGTTAAACAAAATATTCCCATCAAGAATTTCATAAATTTCTACTTGAATTTTAAAAAAGTTATCAATAGTTATTTCAAAAAGTGAATGAACTGTGTTTTTTGTTTGTTCTTTGTTTAATGAAACACATTTAGATATTTGTTTTAATATATATGTAAGTTTTACCAATTGTGTCTAAGACTTATAATATATCAAAATTCAAAAGCATTTATCAAGTTTCTTCATGCAGAAACATGCGGGGCGTCCGTGGCCGAGTGGTTAAGGTCGTTGACTTCAAACCACTTGCCCCTCACCGCTGTGGGTTCGAATCCCGACAGGGACTTTGGATTCTTTCATGTGAGGAAGCAATCCAGCTAGCTTACGGAACGTCGGTGGTTCTACTCAGGTGCCCGTTCGTGCCTGAAATACGGTAATGCACGGAAGGGCATCTGAGGTCTTCCTCCACCAGTAAAGCTGAAACGTTGCGATATGACCTATACTTTGTCGATGTGACGTAAAACCCAAAACAAACAAAGCAGAACCATGCACATGCTCAAATCAATTTGTTTCTTGAATTATGGTCAGCATACGGTTGAAAAGGTTTCGCTACGCTTGAAGTACATGTATTCTACTGACCGCTAACAATTACTTGAACACATAAAGTTCACTTGAAAATGTCGTAAACGTAAAGGCAAATGTTAACATGGGTAACATACTATGTATGTATGCTTTCGAAATCTAAACATTAGTAACCATAACAGTCTGCGACGGACAAAGCATACATCGTTGTTAAAAAACTGGTTTATATTATAAGAGGCCGCTTTACTCATGATTATAAGCAGTTCACCGTATGTTCATTTTAAACACAATCAAAAGCTTTGTACGTAAAATATTTTCAACAGACATAACGCTTACCAGGGTTTGTAAATAAACATTAGTTTTAACTTTTACTTATACACTTTTTCGCGCGAAAATTGACCATCGGTCTTAACGTGATTTTGTTACATCTTGCCAGAAGTTAAAATATTCCAGTACGTTTTAACTGACGTTAAAATTTTTCTCTCGTATTTTTTTTCTCTTTTCTCTCCTGAAACTAGGAAACCCAAAGATAAATGCATTTTGCATATAAAGTTTTTTTGGTCTTGACAAAAACATGAAAACAAATTATTTATATTATAAATACATGTATAAGGTTGGTTAAAGATGAGAAATGATCAAGCCTTAAGATTTAACTTTTTCTCATTTACACAAAAGAGAAAAATTGTCACATTAAAATGTTGTCACAGCAGGCTATATTTTTACGATTTGATTAAAAGACATGCAAACTAATAAAACATTAAGCTGCTTCAATGGACATTATGTACCTTGCCACACGAAATAGATACAATACCTTGTACATGATGGCAAACTATGAACACTGTTAAATATAAGTTTATAATGTTAGACGTTTCTTTTTTTAATTCTGATTTTTTCATCATATAAAGTACATAAACCCGTTCAGTTTGAGCTCTTCCCTTTGCTGTCGTGCGAGACTATATGGTGTTTCATAATCCATTTTACTCAAGGTAACACGACCTCACCACCCAATGAGTAGTCCATATATCCTTCTATCTGTTACGCAAGGACATAACAATAGTTTGTTCAACTTAAGAATTAACATGTGCATGTCATTACGAAAAACGGTGTATTTTCTATCCGCAAACGTTGCGTACACTCAAGGCCGTAGAGCTGCAATTCTAATTCTCGTATCAGCACCAGGTCACGTGATGTTGCCCCTGTGTGATATCCCGTAGGTCAACTGCAAGTTAGTTCAAGTAGAGTACAGACGTGACATATGAAAAAGTGATTTTATGGAATTTGTTACTTGGATTTAAGACGTTGTGTTTTTAAAACATTTAAGACTACAAAAATGTGGTGAAAATTTTGCAAATTATAAAAAAGGGATATTAAGATGGAATTGTGAAAGGAAAATTTTAAAATTTGAAGACTGAGATAGTGACAGTATGGCGCAGGAAGGGATTGAAACTCTGTTTGGAAAAAAAGGAGGGGCGCAGTAAGTCCTCCCCAACTATGACTGGAAGCGATAAGTCTTATATTTCAAGTCCACTACCAAAGCTAGTGGCGATGATACCAGAGAGTCTGGTAGGCCATTAAGCCCTGCATGTACAGTGAATAATTTTGACACTACAAACATAGAATTGTCAACAATCATGACTTTTCAAAGGCAATAGGCTGAAATGCTGAAAAACTTGGTTTCTGAATTTGCATCAATGAAACAATCTGCCAGATTTCTGGGAATGTGACGGAAAATAAAGAGCATGGTGGAATTTCCCCAGAAAGTTACTCTGGTGACCGGTCAGAAAGTGACCCGAGTCAAGGTCAAAAGACTGATGCAAACAACGAGTCATTTTGGGACAGTGTGCAGCCTCGCTTTCACTATCAGATGTGAAATGGTTATCTGTGTCTGGTGAAATGTCGACTTTTGACCAAACACTAAGGGCAACAAGCCTAGACGAGAGCAAACAAGCCGGGTTAGTTGAGAAACACCAGATACCGGAGAATACAACATCTCTTAACACCCCAAAAGTCAATCCTGAAACATGGAGGGTGTAATCAGCAGAAACAAGATCAAAAAACACAAAACTAAAAAAAATACATAAACAAGATCAAAAGACATAAAACTCCGAAAAATACAATCAATTTTTTTTAGAGAATCTGTTCCCGTGTCAAGGGCTATTGATCTCTTAAAAAATACCAACAAAATGCAGAGCAGGTGAATATAGAGGAAGTTGTAACTCTATTTGTGGACAATCTGGCATTTACCTCTTCAGCCAGTTATGACATGAACTGCAGAAGAAGAGATTAAATGCGAAAAAATTGAATCAGAATTGTGTATCCCTTTGTTCTCAGCATAATCCTGTCACTGAATATTTGTTTGGCACAACATCGAAGACCAACTGAAAACTATTTCAGAATCAAATAAAGTTTGGCAGAAAATGAAGCAAAACAGGCACAGTACGAGTCATATATATCAACCACTTAATGTGCATCGACGTTGGCCTTTTTTACGCAACAGGCCGTCCCCTTGAGTTCCGAACGTTCAAAGCAAGGGAAGGGCAGTCAAGTCAGCAACTCAAGCATACAACAATGGGCCGAACCGTCCATTCATCAAAAAGCGCCATCATTAGAAAAGTGGAAAACTGTTTCATCAGATTGACAAATTTTAGAAAAAGTACAAGGTTGCAACATTCAATTTCTCGAGAGACCTTTTCAAAGCTCTTATCGGCCTACAGTTTTAAATGAATCAGAAGCCAACATTCATTGAAATCCAAAAGTTTCTCTTTATTTTTGTGATTTTGAAAGCCATGCATAAACAAGGGGAATATATTTCTCCTGTATTTCTGCGCCCAAAAAAAGATGATTCTTATAGAATGATTTTAAACTTAAAGCAATTAAATCAGTCTGTTGAATATGTACATTTTAAAATGGAATGTTTGCAATCAGCCACCAGAATGATGACACCCGGTTGCTACATGGTTTTATTAACTTAAAAGACACTTATTATACTGCTAACGTTGACAAACATTTTCGAAACTATTTACGATTCATGTGGGAAGGCCAATTATTTGAATATACATGCCAACCAAATAATGGGTTAGCATGTGCTCCAATACTGTTTACTAAATTAATGAAACCCATATTTGGTCAGCTACGTGCAGAAGGTTTACTGTCAATTATTAACATTGATGACTCCTATATGCAAGGTAACAGTTATCGAGATTGTTTACACAATGTTCAGTGTACAAGGGATCTTATTTCACAGTTAGGCTTTAGTATCAATGAAAAAAAATCAGTGTTCGAACCAAAGCAAATGTTAACATTTCTAGGGTTTATACTTAACTCTATCAGTATGCGTATATATTTGACTGAATTGAAACAAACAAAGTCGAAAATACAGGAAGCACTTGTTATGCAACAAAGGGGTATAACTATACGCAAAATCGCAGGACTTATAGGAACTCTTGTCTTTTGCTGTGTCGCTATTCCGTTTTGATTTGTTTATACGAAATTATTAGAAGGGCATCAGAAAATGTGCTTAACACCTACAGTGGCTGAAGATTCACATTGGTGGTTAAACTGTGCTGAAATAATAACGGGTCACCTATTTAAAGGCCTCCCCCTTAAATAACTCTGACAACAGACTCTTCATTATTGGCTGGGGAGCTGTTTGTAATAATGTTAGCACATGAGGGTCAGTGGAGTGCATCAGAATTATCTGGTAACATAAATTATCTTGAACTAAAGGCTGTCTGTCTGGGAATGATGACCTTTCGTGAACTGTGTTCTAATTCGGTCAGACAGAGGTCCTACGGTAGCCTAGATAAATCATATTGGGGCACGCGCTGAGATCAGTGTAATTTAATAGCTAGGGAAATTTGGCAATTTGCTCAGATATGTAATATGTGGAACTCACTGGTAAAGAAAACACATTAGCGGATAAAGAGTCGCGTGTTTCATGATAATACTGAATGGATGTTACATGACACTATTTTCAGGAAAAAAAATGTAAGATGTTTTTAACAAGCAGAAATTGATTTGTTTGCTTCGAGATTAAATGCAAAACTACCATAATATATTTCGTGGAAGCCTGATCAGAGGACTTTATTTGTTGCTGCATTTAAGCTTTTGGTCAGATTTAAGGTGTTATGCTTTTCCGCCTTTCAGTATCATCGACACGTTTACAAAAACTTCTGATAGACAAAGCTCAGGGGATTTTTATCCTGTCATATTGGACGAATCAACCCTGGTACCCCAATGTACTGAAAATGTGTGTGTCACGCCAATATCGGATATGCCTTCCACGGAGGAAAGATCTGTTGACATTACCATATGCCCCAGATCAAATTTACCCTCTTTATCCTAAACTGCAATTGATTGTTTTGTCAACTGTCAGGGACATGTATCAGCAATTAAGATTTTCAAAATCAGCAATTTCCATAATATGAATTCGGGGCAAGCTATGTGTATTTTAAAACAAGAGCTGTCCGTAAGACAGCGCGCTCGACTTTTTTATTGCTTGCCAATAAAAAAAGTTTTTGCAGTAAAAGGCAATACAAGAATCTCTGTATTTTTAAAGTGAACAATGGCCATGAGCATTAAGATATTTAGTGAAGAATTATTTTACTGAATTGAATATTACAGCAATGTTTATATGACATAATTTATGGTAAAGTGAACAAGTGGATAGGAATGAATTTTTTTAGATTTTTTAAGTTTTTTAGTGCTTGCCTATAATACAAAACATTGACAGTTAAGGGCCATAATTCAAATAAAATCTTTGACAGAATTACCTTCTCCTGGACATGTTTGGGAATCATGATTGTAAACAAGTATTCCAACTTTCAAATTAATATCTCAAACAGTTCAGTCAAAAAGTGGACTGGTACTAAAAAACTTAACCAAGATTCTAAGTCGATAAAAGGCCTTAATTTTTAAAACAAATCCTTGACAGAGTTACCTTCTCTTGCGTACAGATGGGGGTAATGATGTGAAATAGCATTAAAAGTTTCAAAGCAATATCTCAAAGGGTTAAGGCAATAAGTGGATTTTACCCATATTCAATGTATTTTCTAAGTCAAAAAGGGGCATAATTCTGTCAAAAACCTTGACAGAGTTATGTCCTCTTGTCTGTTGATGAAGGTCGTGATGGTAAACAAGTATGGTCAGTTTCAAAGCAATACCTCCAATGGTTTTGAAATAAAGTGAGGTGGTACAAAAAACTTAACCAAGCTCAATACACTTTCTAAGTCAAAAAAGGGCCATAATTCTGTCAAAAAACTTGACAGAGTTATGTACTCTTGTCTGTAGATGGAGGTTATGATGGTGAACAAGTATGGTAAGTTTCAAAGCCATACTTGTAATACTTCTGAAATAAAGTGGGGTGGTACGAAAAACTTAACCAAGGTGTGACGCCAACGCCGACGCCGACGCCGGGGCGAGTAGGATAGCTCCCCTTTTCATAGAAAAGTCGAGCTAAAATATGGCGTGTTTTGAACGTCATGGATTAAATGTACACTTAGCTGTGAAGCTGTAAACTAAGTGTCAATCATGTAGTAGAATTCGTGATAAACATTTTCATGAAGGTTCAAGTTATAGTACGTTAAACACTGCCAGAAGTGCCTTGTCCTCTTTTTTGATATCATTCGTTGAAGACAAACGATTTTCTGTAGGCGAGCACCCTGTTGTTAAGAGATTAATGAAAGGTGCTTTCAATTACAGACCAGCTCTTCCAAGATACACTCAAGTATGGGATGTTTCAGTAGTTCTTAAATATATAAAATCAATACAAGTGTGTGAAGAGATGGGATTAAAATGGTTAACATACAAATGTTATGCTCATGGCACTATTGTCTGGCCAACGGGAACAATCTTTACATTTCTTAGATATAAATCATATGACATTGTTACTTGATAAAGTGACATTTTACATACAATAGTGTGTAAAGCCGAGCAGACCTGGTTTTCATGTCCAACCATTGATATGTGATAATTTTATTCATGATCCCGATTTGTGTATAATTTCTGTATTGTATCAGTACAGTAGGACTGAGAGGAAACTGTACTGCATTATTCATTAGAATACAAAATCCGCACAAACAAGCGTCAGTCACCACTATAATCTAAATAGATTAAAATTATTTTGGCAACATCTGGAATAGATATTAGCAAATTTAAAGGACATAGCACTAGTGCAGCTGACGTAAGTGCATCTGATAGGGCTGGAGGGCCTATAAAAGACTTTATGTCAGCTGCTGGCTGGTCTTCAAATAACACTTTTGCAAAATTTGTTAAAAAATCTGTTCAGACAGGTAATGAATTTGCCAAAAGCATTTGCAAAGTGCGTTGATTTAGATTTAAATACTATTCATTGATAGATATATAAATGTATATGTAGTTTAGTAAAAGATAAACAATCGTTACTCGTTTGCATTTGAACACTTTTAAATCTCTCACAGGTGCTACATCACGTGACCTTGTGCTGATAGAAGAATTGGGAAATTAAACGAGACTTACCTGAAAGTTGAAGTTGGATTTAAATTCTCCTAGGCACAAGGTCACTGTAATGGGCTCATGTGCCCAACCGAGATAACTTAGTTTTACCAACCCTGGTATATATACTAATGTAAGGGGTGATAATATTTTGAATGTTCACTGAACAAGTAAAAGTTTGACCTACTGGATACTACAAGCATCTCTCAGATGAGGCGTCTAAGTGACCTTGTGCCTTGGAGAATTTAAATCGAACTTCAACTTACATGTACATGTAAGTCTCGTTTAATTTTCCAATATTATGCAGAATTTTACATAAAATTTGGCACAGGGTCTTGTCAGGTGTTGTTACGTTATCTTACAGGAATAGAGGATCTACAAAAAGGAGACACTTTGACATTCTTCTGGAAATCATATTGTCATTTCCCAGATTTAGAGGAAGGAAAAGCTTACATGATTATTGGAAAAGATGGTCACAAATTCTATGATGGTGAAAATGAAAGGTAAGCAAATTTTTTTTTTCAATTTAATTATCCTATATAAATATATAAAAAGCTGTGTAAAAAGTGTTACGTTTTTCAAAAATAGTTCAAGACATGAACGTTTTTTTTTTACTTTACATTTCATAGCCTGAAATACATACAATGTTTTGAAATGGAAAATTTTCAAGTTAGATTATAGAAATCATAATTTCAAAAGGATGTAGTATGAAAAATGAATAATAATAAATCAATGGCAAAATCATGTACATATTTTTATTATGTTACGAAAATCCGAGGCTAGTTAAATACAACTAAATTTTTGTTCACTTCTGAACATTGAAACTTTGATATCATTAAAAATGAAAAATAATTTAGGAATTTGTCAAGATACTTATATTTTTCACTAAAAGTAAGATCTCTGGAAAACTGGTATATTGTTAGATCTGTTTAAAGACATACCCAAAACATTAAATCTGAAAACATATTGAATGATTGTATTTGTAAAAAGAAAATCTTATAAAATTTGTTGATTGCTAAATCTGCATCAGGTTCTATAATTGTTCATAACCTCTCTGAAAACATTTTGCATTGTATTATGAATAATTTATTGTAAAAACGGCTTCCACTTTAACTATATTATACAATTATTGATATATGTAGTTTAATGTCAAATAAAATACTGATTTGATTTATATTAAATACACAATCTTACATATTAAATATATTAAGTAGCTAATTTAGTGGTATCTAGACTCATGTACTTGATTTTTGGTCACGTTTGGTAACTCTAAAGAAACAAACTAAAACCAAAAATCCCTTTTTAATCTATTAAACATTGAACCAAGATCTGAGCTATTTTATGAACAATTAAAAAAGTGATTTTTCTGTAACACCAAAAGCATTCACTGTTAGATTTATATAGAAAATAATTTGCTTATTACCTCCCTTTATTAAAATGAAATATTAACTTTGGTATTATCTTTATAAATAATGCTTCTTGGAACAGGATCTTTAAGTAAGCAGCAGATTTATATTTCACAATATAAAAAAGATGCACGTATTATATTGAGTTAATTACTGGGGTATTTATAATTAAATCAAGTAATTGAAAAGAAATATGACTAAAATGAAAAATTCAGTCATATTTCAAAGTGATATTTTTACGTAAAGATGTATATATAGATCCTGTACATTTAGTTCACAACTTTTGCAAAAAGATATTATTCATATTTTAAGGCGTGCAGCTTTAAACCGCCATTTAATTGGTAAGACGGATGTTTTATAAATTATTATTAAACATGTACATGTACAGATATTTTAAATGGTGTTTTACTCAGAAGTGGCTTTGTAAATCCGCCAGTGATTACTATCAATTATCATGCTTACAGTGATCAAAATTTAAACCCGGCAAAATTGAAGACTTTGTCTGAATGAGCTTGTTCAAGGACAACAGAGTGTAGCAAGCTCCGTGTTCACCGCCTTGCACCGTCTGAGACAGACTTCAGTTATTAACATAAAATGAAACAGATATCTGCAGAAACATACAAAATTACAGCACAAAACTTCAAAACAATTCGAACATGCATGGGATTTATTAGCAGTTGTTACATTCAAGTTGTAAACGGCATTCTTATAATTTTCTTGGCCTGGTCCTTTCGAATCATTGAAACCAGCATTATTAAGTGCTGAGAATTGAGTACCGGTGCTAGGAGGCGGAATGGGATGTTGCACTTATTCATTGTGCCTCATGTACAAACTGAATCAAACCGAGTATGCAATTTTCATGTAATTTTATTGTTATTTATGCTTCCGAGGGATTACCTTGTTTCCAGAAATTATTTTTTTTTATTTTCAGGTTCCGGTATCCATTAATGGGAACGACATTATTAATGGAGTACATAAGCCCTCGGCAGTCTAGGGATTCTATAAAGAAAAATACACTTTACACGGCCCAGACCAATTTCAAACGCCTGATATCACGTGGTTGCAGACACTAGAACTATAGCACTGGAAAAAATATCGACCTGTGTTATGAACTGAATTCTTTATGATCTGTTTTGCTTTTAGACGAGTAAGAACATTTATTGATGCATGAAACAATTCTTCTGTAATTAAAGCAAATATACTTGTATATATATAACAGCCACCGGAAAATCTTTGCACCACCGGGATAGTGGCAAACTTCACTACCATTTATACTTGCCCTAAACACTAAAAAATCATTTCATCCAATAGATATAATGTTAATTATTAATAATTGACTTCATTTTAAGCTATTTTAAATTTTTTTCTTATCAAAAAGTGTATTTTAAAAAATTTGTAATTATGCTGTCCGGGCGGAATTATTTAAATTCCGATTGGAATTTTATCCAACATTTTTATTTATTCCAACAGGATTTTAATTTTTATGAAATTGTCGAAATACATAAACACATGCTTAATATGTATTTGTATGCATTTTCTTGATGAAATAACGTCTATTTAAGCATTTTTCGGAAAATCCGATCGGATTTTTTTCCATTAAATTTAACTGGAAAAAAATCCGATTGGAATAAACCCCAACTGGACATTATTCCAATTGGAATTTTTTTCCAATATTTTTTATTGGAAATAAATCCTATTGGAATTAATTCCAATTTAAAAGGAATGGAAATTAATCCAATTGGAAGTTAATATATATATATTAATATTGAAGGTAGTTTTATGTACTTTCCGGACTAAATAAAGACAAAATATGGGCCGAAACGATTTTTGCACAGGGGCCGATTTGATGTTATACTAATTGCTGACGAATTAGATGATGGTATATATAATAATTTATATAAGAAACTGCTAACCAGTTTAAATAAAGAATAACTAATGACCAGTTAGATAAAGAAGGAAAAACATTGAAGATGTCAATTAGGTGTCAACTAGCTGTTAGTGCTATTCTAGGCTAGGTCGAGAGATGCTTGATAAGACGTATTTTCAAGATGACACTATTACAAATAATAAATATTGATATTATAAATATTAATTGATATATTTCTCAATTTCTATTGATGAAATATTTTATTTCAGTATGTTAATGAAATGTCTTCTATGTGAAATATATTGGATAAAATTTAGAAAATGTAGTCATAATATGGTGATCTTACATAAAAAGAATGTCATAATTTGTTTCAAATATATTTATATATATATATAATACTATGCATCATAGTTGAAATGTATACATATATGGTAATGTATAGTATAACAATTTATAATGATTTTTTTCGTATTTAGTGCAAATCTGAAATAAAATAGAATAAACAATAAGAGGATTTTATCTTTTTCATCAATTGTGGTGAGCCGGAAAATTAATTATTTAATGGAATAATTGCAAATTCTTTTAAACTATTTTGTTTGTGTGTGTTCACTATCCTTAAGGAACTCTGACTGGAAAATAAATGAAAATTGCGCGTAAAACTTCCTTGTTGTCTGTTCGCACCTATAAAATACACAATATCGAGATTGACTTGCCCCAAGGTCTTAACAATTTAAACCATTTTCACACGTGTCATTCTTAATTTGTCTATTATAAACGCAGATGCATTCATTTGGCAGCGGACAAAATACAATAAACAGAACAGTCCAAAATATATTATAATTAAATAATGAAGTGAAAATGCTGACCAGTTATATATAGAGAAAAATGATATTTTGGCATGAAATTGTTATTCATTTTTGAATGTCTGCAAAATTAATACATTGTATAAATATTGCCGACAATTGAATTTAGTAAAACCTGCTGACCAATTATAGTAAAGATAAATTCGAATTGATTTAAGCCATAAAACTCTTCTTATTCAATATGGGAAGCAAATTTAATGTTCTTGATATTCCGGAAAATATATTGTATAAAATCATGCCGACCATTTGAATTTGTAAAAACCTGCTGATCAGCTAGATATTAATTCAAATTTATATAAGGCCGTAAAACTTCTTATTCTATATGTTCGGCAAATTTAACGCTCTTTACATGCAGGCGAGAAAATGCTGACCATTTAAATATATAGAGAAACATGATATTTTGCCGTGAAATTATTATTCATTTTATGTTGTCTGCAAAGTTAATATATTGTATTAAGTCATGTCAACGATTTTTCGGCATTATGAACAAATAATAATATATTTTTTTAATTATTGTTTGTATCACCTTACCTGTAATTGGTAAGTATATTTTACTCTTTTCATTTCGAATTTTAGCTTTTAAATTTGTCAAAACATTTCAATCTATTTCATTTTAGTTTTAAAATGTGCACATGAATTACCTTTTTGAGAATATTGTAGGAAAATAATATTTAACTCGATGTGCAGATTCAGTAAGAAATTTAATAATTTTCTGCAACAAAAATATTTTACGAATAGAATTAGCAAAGAATAACTTTAATGAATAAACATATGAAAACATATGGTTTTCATTGGATGATTACCTAAAATTTCTTTGACCGTAACATAATCATTAAGCAATAAAATTGGGCGGAGTTTGGCTTATGCAGTACTTATTTTCAATTACCAATGAATAAAGGAATCATCATTCGGCTAATAAATTGATTGGATTGCAAAATGAATCAATGACATATATGATTGGCCCCCTAAAAATTTGTGAAAACATAATAAGGTTTTATTACATTTTAATCAGAGTGAGATTCAATTGCATGGTGTGAAAAATCATAAATGACCCTCCTTGGATATATCACACACAAAAAAAAAACATGGGTCATTTAGCCGTAAATCTTACAAACAGTTTATGAAGGAAATAAGCTCTTTAAAGATTGTTGACTTCATTCATTCGTTCGTTCGTTCGTTCGTTCGTTCGTTCGTTCGTTCGTTCAATCAATCAATCAATCAATCAATCAATCAATCAATCAATCAATCAATCAATCATTCATTCATTCATTCATTCACTCACTCACTCACTCACTCACTCATTCATTCATTGGATGATTACTTTAAATTTCTTTGACCGTACCATAATCATTTAGCTGTAAAATTGGGCGGGGTTTGGCTATGCAGTTCTTATTTTCAATTGCCAATGAATAGAGGAATTCTCATTCGGCTGATAAATTGATTGGAATGCAAAATGAGTCAATGACATATATCTGAGTGGCCCCAAATGTATGTTCACACCCCAAAAACTTGTGAAAACATAATGATCACTGGTCATAAATTACTTAACAAATGTTGCCTAACAGAAGTTCAGATCGAGCAATTAAGTTTTATTACCCTTAAATCAGATTGAGATTCCATAGCATGGTGTGAAAAACACAAAATAAATAAAATGTGGATCATTTAGCTGTAAATTTTACATACAATTTATGAAGAAAAGTAACTGTAAAAAGAGTGTTTCTTTGTTTAGTTCATTAATTAAATAATTAATTTAAAGCTCTTTACATTCAGGAAAATATATTGTATAAAATCATGCCGACCATTTAGATTTGTGAAAAACTGCTGATCAGCTAGATATTAATTCAAATTTATTTAAGGCCGTAAAACTTCTTTTTCTATATGTTCGGTAAATTAAACGCTCTTTACATGCAGACGAGAAAATTCTGACTATTAAGATATATAGATGAAAATCATATTTTGCCGTGAAATGATTACTCATTTTATGTTGTCTGCAAAAATAATATATTGTATTTAGTCATGTCAACGATTAAATTTAGTACAAAAATAAAATGCTGATCAATTTATTATTAATTCAAATTGATGAAAGCCGTAAAACTCTTCTTTTTCTAAATGGTCAGCAAATCTAACCTTCATTCAGGCGAGCAAATACTGACCACTTAAATATATAGTGATAATGCTGATTAGGTAGATATATAGAGAAAAGTGATATTTTGCCATGAAATTGTTATTTATTTTATACTGTCTGCAAAGTAAATATATTGTATTTAGTCATGTCGATTATTGAATTTAGTAAAATAAAAAATTATATTTTCGGCATTATGAACAAATAATTTTTTTTAATATGTTGAAAAATATCAAAAGTGTGTGTATCACCTTACCTGTAATTGGTAAGTATATTTTATGTTTTCGTCATGTCGAATGATTGCTGTTAAATTTGTCAAAACATTTTCAATCTGTTTCATTTTAGTTTTAAAATGTGCACATGAATAACCTTTTGAAAATGTTGTAGGAAAATAATATTTAACGCGATGTGCAGATTCAGTAAGAATGTAATAATTTTCTGCAAGAAAGATATTTTACAAATAGAATTAGCAAAGAATAACTTTAATGAATAAACATATGAAAAATTATGGTTTTGATTGGATGATTAGCTAAAATTTCTTTGACCGTAACATAATCATTAAGCAAAAAAATTGAGCGGGGTTTGGCTTATGCAGTACTTATTTTCAATTACCAATAAAATTCGGCTAATAAATTGATTGGAATGCAAAATGAATCTATGACATATCTGATTTTCCGGTGGCTGTTATATATGAACATGAGCGTGTGATAAATGATAATGCATGAGTTGGAAGCTTGTTATATACAAAAGCTAATAGAATCAAAGTACAGAAGGCGCTGAATTTGTTTGGGTCTCAGAATGACAAAAAGGTGAAGATTGTTAGATTATGAACCAATTTGTTTTTGCATAGTGCCACCAATGTTGTTTCCAGTGTAATAACTGAAGTAAATTGGCTATAAGACTAATTGATTTATTTGGCTTAAACAATTTAAAAAAAATGCCATATCTGGGATTTGATCTCCAGACCCATCGCTTCCAGTGCAAGCGTGTAAACCACTGGACCACGGGGAAGTTATTAAATAACAGTTTGAAGAAAACCACCTTATTCTAAATTAGGGTTTGTAACCCTTGTTTATTTCGATATATTATGTTCACGATAAACCTGTTGTTTAACACTGATGTGTATAATATCATGGAGCTTAATATAAGCATGTACACGTATATCTATAAAGAATAACACAATATTAGAAATTTTCGACCAATCGGGAACTATTTTTTCTTCCCCGAGAAAGCTTAATAATAAATGTGCCTGCCATTTGACAATCTTTACACAGTGATCTCCCTTTAAATTTGTCGGCGATAGTGTACATATAAAGGTAAATAACCTCTTCGAGGAGTTTGGACTACTTTCGGTTTTTGCAAAGAAGCACATCAGGGTCTGAAATTTCGCTACCATTATTTGTTTGGTCTGACGACCAAAACAAATAAAAACTTAATTAATACAGGGCAATGGTCTTTCGATTCAATTCAATAACTTTATTGCATAAAACATTTTACAGTTCTTACAACACATACAAATATGTATATGCATTGGCAAATGAAAACATATTCGAAAGGAGAAAGAAGCATACAAAGTCTTTTAACAAAAACAATTTTGAGTCAGTTATTTTTTCTGCAAAATATTACGAAAAGTGGATTTTATTTGCAAAGAAATTTTGCAAGTTGGGAAAGAGGCTTTTTTTATTTAGAATTTATTATATTAAGTTCAGATGTATTTATTGTTGGCTATCGGCAGAAATTTGGTTTAGGATATTTGTTACTTCTTCTGTACCCAATAAGGCCATAGAATTACTCAACAATACTTCATGAATTTATATTATTTACAGTTGTCTTCCGTTTCCCGTACCTAACGAATAATGTCCCCTTAGCCGGACGAACAAACCTATGGGGTCTATTGGTTTATCATTGATTAAGCGGCTACTACAGTTATGAACGAACTGAAGCTCATTTACCATTGGATGTTGATAGGCGGACGGACAAACGCCGTATTATAACATAAACAAAATGACATATGAGAGCACACGGGATTGGAAGGTGTGCAATATTACGCCCGATGATTAATTTTAATATCATACCCATGCAAATCATGATCAGGATGCGGGGAGTTTTTAACTGACGCTTGCTTATAACTACTTTAAACCAAGATGCAATGAGTTTTCTGCTCAAGGTTTAGGCGGATCAGGGTGTGGGGACTTTTTAACACAAGGTTATTTATAGCTTAGTAAGGGTGCAGGCGACATTTAAAACAAATTCGTGTATCAGAGGAATCTCTTTATTCGCATTTTTAAAATGACATGATAAGAAGCATTCCGTATAATTATCATAAATTGCTATATCTAATTTTATTGTTTTAACCAAACGACAAATAAAAACGTAGTAACCATGATTAAATATAACCTAAAGCACAACAAGCATGGACAATGATAAAATAATCTATTATGTATCAAAGAAAGACATTGTCATATTATAGTATTCAATGCAAAAATATGTATTTTCCGCCTTAAAAAGATTACATAACAAAAATGTTTCTGATCACTTTGACCATAACAGAATAAAGTATAATAATCTTGATGATGAATGATGCAGGAATTAAAGATGATCATCTAAATTAAAATTATGCTGTAAACTGTGTCGCCAATTTATCCATTGTTACACTTACAAGTTCATTGTTACTCTATGTTCCATTGTCACGCTATGAGTTTCATTGTTACGCTATGGCTATATTTTCCGTTTTTACGCTACGTGTTCCATTGTTAGGCTATGTGTTCCGTTGTTACACTATGTTTTCCGTTTAACACTTTTTGTTCTATTGTTATACTAAGTGATCAAATGTTACACTTTGCGTTTAAATGTCATATTAGGTATTCAACTATTACACTTGGTGCTCAATTGTTACATTACATTCTCAAGCGTTACACTAGGTGTTCCACTTACTAGGCGTTCCACTGTTACACTAGGCGTCCCATTCTTACGCTACGTGTTCGATTAATAATTATTTATATCAAACGTCTAAAGAAAGTGTAAAAATATTCAAAGTTTAAATGAGGACTGGTCATTTAATGAATTTTATTATTGTTTTGAAAGTGAAAGAAATGTTGATAAATTTCTTGTTTTCCGTCACAGATATATTCATACAATATATTTCTGCAGTTATCAGCTATGCCTTTAGTGCAGTTGTGTGCAATTTACTTACATGGCACGTTTTTCGTTTCTCTACCTTAAAAAGGCACTGACATTTTAAAGTGACTGGCTAAAAAAACATTGAAGAATTGGATCGCATACAAGTAATCTTAACAATAAATGGTAACAAACTAATAAGGAATCATTAAAAAAATGAAAAAAGAGTGCAATATATACCAGTACTTATAAGAATTGTTAAAACACCTCTCCAGGATCTGGTTAAGGTTGTTTGGTTACATATTTTGCTATCAAATTAATAACGTTTTGAACATAAATGCATCATAAAACTGATTGCATGCACATGTGATTAAAACCAAAGATGAACAAAGCATTGACTACGATGTGCAAAAGTCATCCGCTGTAACGTATAGTTACTGCGTAGATTTCATTTGGTCCCATATATTATATTCATGAATATATCCCAGATATATGTAAAATTTCTATATTCTAATATTGATGCTTGGCAACAAAAAGTGATTCCCCGCCGGCTGCCGTGGTCATACCGCCCTTGTATTGTCCCAAGGCTGCGAGACCGTTTGCCTGAAATGCAAAATTTTAAGAACGTAATGTTATCCTCCATTACCAACAAAAAGCTGAATTGTTTTATATTTATAAATTACCTATAAATAAATGTTATCCTCCATTACAATCAAAAACTGAATTGTTTCATATTTTTTAAATTACCTACACATTAATGTTATTTTTCTATTGAAGTAATAAAATGTTTTGAAATTTTAGAATAAAATCGTGAGGAAATCCACACACAATCCACAACCTAAAAAACTAATTATCTATTCACTATTAAGGGGAGATAGTATCCCGAGGGTTCCGGGTTTGAGTCCCTGTCAGGCTGCGCATATATTCCTTACGCTGTGATACAATCAGCTTAAATAAAAAGTTTGAAGATGGCAAAGTTTAAATGTTGTTATACTAACAGTCAAATATACAAATATACTGACCTTTGCTCTTGTAATAAGCATTTTCTGGGCATCCGCACGATTAGCATCGTCTCCTTTCCAAGCCTTAAGAACACTGGCCTGTAAGGCTCTACCAAATGAGAAGGTAAGAGCCCATGGTTTAGGTCCAGGGCAGGCATTAATGGCATTCAGATTTAACGTGGCATCTTCTTCTGACTGACCACCGGATAGGAAGACAACACCTGTATAAAATAAGATGGAATATTTTTTTATTTGTTCTAGTTCATAATGTAATCTTAATCATGGGTGAGAGTATTTTGATAATCTAGGTTACCTCATGACAAGTAAATGATAAACCTGTCGTTCTTTTTTACTGAACTGATCCGACCAGTCAAAATGTGTTTTATTACACTGAAAGTTTATAACGTCGTTTTTAATTAGATAAATCATGACCTTTATATAGTCTATATACATGGATGCAGTCGAATAATGAAGTAATTTCATATTCCCTCAAACACTGAAAGTTCGCAGTATAATAAATTCGTTATAAAGAGTGTTGACACGTTATATGGCCGAATATAAACGGTTATTTGAAATATAACCCTCGCTTTGACGACAGTTTTTCTCGAAAAAACACTATTGTCACTAAAACGGGTATTCCACTACTTTATGTAAAAAATCGATATGGTACCTGGTTAGCATGCTTATTAAGATCTGTAATCTCTATTTTTGATTTTACTATTCAGGAAATATCATGTAACAATTTCAGAGAATATAAACCCGCTAAAATAACAGAAAGTGACTCGCCTGTATGTTTTATCTATCCCGTTTGCAGCTTAGTTTTGTTATATATATATTGAATCCCTAATTTTGAAAAAGAACAGTCCAATGATTTTGCTGTGCAAATTAATTACATAAATACAGCAGTTTGTGGGTTAAAACATATTCTAAGCCCGATTGTGAAGTAAGCTTGTAGTTCCTTTGAATTAACTATCAAGTCCGATTTCTGGAGTTAATCAGTCATGGCGGCCCAAAGTTTATAAAAAAGTTCACCAAGCTCAAACTCAGTTCTCAGGTATTTGATTGGTCAGAAACAGACACAGCATAAACACTAGCCAATAAAAATCTAGAGCATAGGAAAAAAGTTTATAACCTTGAGGCAAGGTGTCATATGAGACTCCAATTAGAGCTTGAAAACACAATCCAAGGTTTGAGTGGCAGGCACCTTTAGGTAAATAACCTTCAATTTCCTTTCAATAATATCAGTATGTTCAGAGAAGAATAGTTGAATCACAGAGAGTGAACATTTCAAATATCCATTAAAAATCAGGCAATTGAAATAAAAGAACAGATACACTACCTGGCATGGCTGGAGGAACAGCTCTACTCAACGCTTCTACGGTAGCCTTCGCATTTTGCTCTGCAGTAAATTTTTTGCTACAACTCTGACCCGCTGTCACCATGTTAGGTTTAAGTAAAGTACCTTCCAAGAAAACGTGATGGTCACTCAAAGCTTTGTATTGGAATGCAAGTACCTAAAAAAAAAGAAAACAAATTCATAAACTGTATCTCACTGAGCCACGAATTGACTTAAACGGTAGTTTGAGTCGTAACGTACTGTTTATAATGATTGAGAGAAAAAAGATTTATTAATTGTGTGTTAAGATTAGAAGGTTAATTTAAGTACGATTGCGTAGGAAGCTATTAGTTTCAAGACACATTTTTGCATCTGTTCCTGAAACCAATCAGAATTTAGCAATAAGTGTAAAGTTTTGTAGCTCAAGAAATCAACAGATTGCCTTGGACGGGATACGAACCCACGCGGTCAGTAATCATTACTAGACGTGTTGAACATATGGGCCATGCTGCCATTTAAAGAGTATAACGTAGATTCGGTATGAAAAGCTGATCAGACTGAAACGCATGTAGTAACTGGTGCATCTTCATACCGGAAATCACAAAAATCATTCCCTATGTATGTTTCTGTGTAACTTTTGAACATTCCAAAGTTTTAGATAGAAAAAGATCATATTGGAATGTGAAAAAACAATTAGTAAGACAAAACTCGTAACTATTTACAGAATAGGGAAGCAACTCTGCCGAACAAAAATAAGAGTTATTAATAACTATTACGTCACCTGTTCTGTAACTTTCTGTGCCGTGTATAAATCGTGTTCCCCGTCACAAAGAACTTCCGGTTCAACAATGGGAACGAGTCCATTCTATCAAAAGAAAGCAATTTTATATTAGGGGATAATTTGAAGTCTTAACCTATTGAATTTCTTAAATTGACTTGTCCAGATTCCATTTTTAGAACGGTCCATTATCAACTTCTATGGATATCAACAAAACGTTTCTTAAATCATGTTTTTCCATGAACAAAGTTAATGTGTAATTAAAGTTACAATAATGTATCAAATTAAAGGAAATTATCACATAAAATATGGAAAATTAAGCTGAAATATCACAAATTGGAGAAATGTAGGCCTATCCATCGTTCAGTTTAAACCTAAACAAACTCAAATAAGTTGCAATGGAAACTTTCCCTATTACATGATATATCACTTGCCCCTCTGTGCATTACTGTTATGGTGAAATACATGTGAAATATATCAATATTAATATCATCTGAAGTTATTTAAAGATTAAGAGCATTTTATACCATTTGACAGATGCTGGCATATCTTGCCAAAACATTGGCATTTTCCATCATAGCTTGATAGGACGGCGTGTGTTCGCCTATTTTAAGAACACATCTCCATTTAGCAAACTGCGCTCCATCTTTCTTGTACTGAGCGCATCTTTCCGCCAAACCATCTAGACCTAAAGAACAAACGGGAAGAAGAATGTAATGATAATATATATTAACGTCACAAAATCGCCATGACACCTTCAGTCCCTGAAGCCTTCTATAGTAGGTGACAATTTATGTCCGTGATGTCTTCTGCAGACTTTGATGTCTTTTTCCGTGAAATTTAAAGAAGCCTGTGACGTCATTTGCAGCACGCCAGGACGCCTTTAATGCCGATTTGTGATACATAAGACATCATACGACGATTTTCAAACCTCAATGATCGGCTTACTAACATTCATGTTTGGAAAACTATTTCTTAGGGAGCACATTTACAATACGTTCATACATGTGTACTGGCTAACATACATGTGCAATGTACGACGTTAAGCAGTGCAAGGGAAAAGAACTCCAGCAAGAGAAACGTTGTTTTCCAAATTTGACTTCAGTTACCTCCCTTGACGAAATATAACACCAGATGATAGACTACTAAAAGTGTACCTTGCGTTGTAGATTCTGCGTCAGTTCCTGCCAATATTACAACTCCTTTGTCTACTTTTATTCCCGGAATGATGTTTTTATCTTGGAGGACCTACAAACATAATATAAAAGACATCCTTAAATTTAGAAAATAAATTAGATCTAACACTCCTTATTCAATGTATTTAAATGAAGCGGTTTTTGCTGTGGAGTTCAAATATTTTGATTTATGACCCGTTTTATAATGCGAGATTTTAAATGACTAGTGGTTTATGTAAAGTCGAGAGCTTCAAATACTTTCACAGACAATCTTTGCAAATATATTTACAAGTGACGATTCTAGTCTCTATGCTTGATTTATCACATAGTTTGTTTAGTAAGAACTTACTTTGACAAAAGGTACACCGTCTTTTGTTTTCTGGTAAAGAGTCTCGTGGAAAAGAATGACACCGCTGATGTTTTCGGCCACCACAGAGTCCGAGGTAAACAGCAGTTCACGGTACCGGCGTCGGTTCTCCTCGGTGTTCTCTAAATTAATACTGGCAAACCTCTTACCAATGGTGCCTACAATTGAATAAAAAATAAAGTTCATTGAACTGTGGGTTTACCTGTCAAATGACTAATGGGACAGTCGATAATTTGTAGCCTTATCCACAATCGCAACTTATCGTTCCTTTCCGTCAAACTTCGGATAAGATTATAACGAATAAGAGCCGCGTTGTTCCGACTATGAGCCGTCAGGTAGAGCGTTTGACTGTGAATCGGGCGACCCGGGTACGAACCAGGGACGGCACAGGTCACTTTCGCTGTGATTGATCATGAAATCCTTTTCTACAGTCATTCGCAAGTAATCAGTTCCTAGCGAAAGTGAAGGCAACTAGTACAGGTAAACTGCTTGACAACATGCCCAGGAACGATACGATGGCTGAACTGTGCTCTGGTAAATTCAATGTGGCTTACTGCCGTGATCTGGGGTGAAAACTACCAATACCACCACCTTTGTTCCGACTGACCTTATCCAGTCTGAGTTAGATCCAGAATAGTTGGTAGGTAAAAACACAGGTCAAGGCTTAAGTAACGTATAACTGGCATATTAAATCGACATACACTGGTTTAATTAATTTCTGCAGATCTATACACTTTGACGCATTGTCAAATTGGCGAAATTCTTACAGAAAATTACATGAATGAACATACCTGTGGACTCGTCAGCTGCTAGGATACCTTTCCCTGGAGCCACGATGGCATTAGCAATATTCTTCAATTCATCCTCTTGGTCAGCGGTCAGATAGGTTGGAAATCTAGACATCTTTCTGTAATATTATACGATATGATACAAAATAACAACTATACGGTCTACACGTTTTATAACATAGACCTATTAAATTAACGTTAAAAGGACTAAGTTTGTAAACCACACTGAATACACTTCTTAATCGTACTATACATATTATACACAAAAGTCAATTTTTCATAATAAAATCAGGAACGATATCCGGGTTTAAAAAATCCAATACCCATATAATCGTACATATATCCCGGACACGATCGAAACTAGGTCCGATACACTTACTTGTGCATGAATACTTACAAACTAACTTTATAGAACAGAACAGATAATTTACTCAGATTTGTACAAAGTTAACAATTAATGCATCAAAATGTACTCAAACATTTATTATATACCTTTACTTTATACTAACTATTTCGACACTGTTTAAACCGATGGATGTATACGTTGTAAATAGTCTGCCTATTTTTTCGTGTTTATTTGTAATAATTTTCAGACAAGCGCGTACGTGTTTGACGTTCTTGTTTTACACAAATAAACTTAAGACTAAATAAACATCTATGATTTAAGATCATGTCATTCTAGAACCTTGATAAAATAAAATAACAACGTGTTAAGTAAAGTCGTTATGCAAGTGTGACAAAAAACACAAATAAACTGTTCAAATATGATTCCACAAACCTTTGTTTTACTTATTTGCTATCCAAAAAGTTTAAGGAGTCAGTTATTGAGGTCAGAAATATGTGAAAACTGGGACAAAATGATACCAGATAAACGGTTGTAAATAACACGCAAAGGTTCATTCAAGGTCACCCCATATGCATTTAAATATCTTAACATGGTTTTAAAGTGAATCGGTCGGTCTATAATGGAAGGTCTATAATACAGAAAATAAAATACGTTTATAGTTTTAAGTAACAGACATAACGACAATATATAAATGAGCCGCGTCACGACAAAACCAACATAATGGGTTTGCGACCAGCATGGATCAAGACAAAAAAATGCGTATCCGCGCAGTCTGATCAGGATCCATGCTGTTCGCTATAACTTTCTCTACCTGTAATAGAGTTTGTAAGCGAACAGCATGGATCCTGATCAGACTGCACGGATGCGCAGGCTGGTCTGGATCCATGCTGGTCGCAAACCCATTATGTTGGTTTTGTCGTGACGTGGCTCAAATGGTATAATATGGATGATTAGTGTGAGATACATAATGCAATTTTGCATAAAATCATACAGCAGATTATAAATGTGTTCATCTTATAAATGTTCGTACTCAATCAGTCATTACTTTATTAATGTTTTTAAATTTCCATTTGTTCATACTAAATCACTAAGAACTGTATCAACGTTTTTTTTTTCTGTAAGAATTCCCTTATGGTAGATCTACATTGCTTTCGTTTCTATCAACATTTAAAATACTGTGAAAATTTGCCCGTGGTAGATCAATCCACTTTAAATAAATCTGAAAACACATTTTTAAGGAAAAATATTTCGAAACATCTGTGTCATTTTTATCACTACAGTAGTCTAGATTAATTTTGTGTGTAACTCGCATTATCACTTAAACATACAGAGTATATATACACATGTATACATGTACTGCACGCTGTTAATTTCAACTAAAATAACTAATTATTTTTTATATTTTGCCTCGACATAAAGTCGTATAAATATGTGGATTATGTTCATACTTAAACATACAGTAATTATGATTAATAAGAATGTTGCAACTGTCTATCATGCATTATGTACGTAAAGTTAAATTATAAAATATATAAAGTTATACTACAGTATAATAGTTATATACAACAAAGGCAATTGCACTGATCATGTAATTTTATGATTTGCCAGATTTGTCTCATTTAATAGGTATTATGTATTAGCGCATTAACAGAAAGTTGGACTGCTTTGTAATCATTGATTAAATTTCAAGTTCCTGACGTGAATAAAATAGTATATAGATCTAATTAGCCTGGGTTCCAGGCCGTCGATTTTTTTATGTGCTTCTGATCGGCAAATCGACATATTATGAAAACACGAACGGCGTATGTTATGAATAGGCAAACAAATTATCAACGCATGAATCCCGGGCTAAGATCTAATTTAAACTTCATGTTAATTATGCATAATCAATGTTGTAAATCCCTTAAGTATATATATAGCAATTATATTTTATACCAGATGATGTAATATCTGCTGATTGTTGCGATAAGCGTTATATAAATAAACACAGATTTTATCTACTTCAATTGTGTTATCAAAGTATACAAGATTACATATAAAGTCAATTCTAGTTTACTTATTCGACTTTGTATAGACACGTTACACATTTTGAACCTTTTGATAAACTGTTAGCTGTTTATTAAAGTTAAACGGCTGTTAAATGACTTTCCGCGACATACTAAGATATAAAATAAACAGAATAAAAAGTTAAGATAACTTACCTTGGTCCTGTGTAAGTTTACTTGCAAACTGTAAATAAATCCGGGTTTAAATTGCGAAAAAATGCACAAATTAACTCAACACGAACCGACGCTGTGTAAAACTGATCTCGTGACGTGTAAACTGGAGGTGTGTCAGTATTCTTTCTTTTCATTGGCTAATAATATACACACCTTCTGTTTATTGACCTTGAACTTTGATGATGTAAACAAAACCTATCGAACAAAACCTATCGGCAATGACCTTCAGCGCACGCGTATATAAACAAGGTAAAATGAATAATTAAGTTATTCAGCTGAAAAAAAAATACGAGAACTTAAGCAAGCCTCAAATGAGACTGTATTCGTAGAAAATTTAACTATAGGTTAGAGTTTATAAGTACATAATTATTTACAAAATCAAATTGGTTTGTTTAATTTTGTAAAATCGTACTAATAAATTTTAACCAGCTTAGTGTTTTATATTTTTTTATAAACAGTCTATTTACTAGACTGATTAACAGTAACTGTAATCCTATTGGACAAAAAATAATTTTAAACATTAATACTTTTTTCGGTTCAATAATTTAAGAAGTTTGTTGATCTTATATATTTACAAACACGCGACTGAAATTTAGCGTGTTTATTGTTTGATTTTATTAACCTGTCAATTCCATACTGATTATACGGTCAATGCACAGAATATATTAATATTCGGTAAATTCCGCGAGAGGTACGCAGTAAGATGTGATTAAACTTATCTAGTTTCGATGAATAAGTTACACTGACCGTTATAGCGCAAAAGGGTGAACTACGGGTAAATTTTATCTGAATGTCCAACATCTTGTAAGATCGAGACAGAGTATGTGCAGGTTTTTTTCTTATTCATAACTATTTTCAACATTTTTGAAGTTATGGTTGTTCCGTTTTTAATATGTTTTGCACTTTTTTGTAAATATTATACTTTTGTATATAACATTGTTATATTATAATTGTTTGTTATAACAGAATTAATTCTGAAAATTTATTCGGATTAAAATCAATAAATGTAATTTCAGTACCGAAAAAATACAATACAAAATGTGACAATTCAGTGTTTCTAAGGTGTTTCATATCCGTGTAGACAATTTTGCAGGCGCTTGACCATTTTATTAAACATTTCTTAAAAATAAAGAAAAAATAAGTCTAAAAAGAATGTCGAAAGAAGGGATCGAACCTTCGACCTCTCATGCATTAGGTAATCACTTAACCGACTGCGCTATTGCGGATGTTACGAGAACATTCATTAAGCTGGTGGGAGTTTTCCAAACGTTATTTATTTACTCCATATTAATTCTCGTAAAATAAACGGAAACAACCGAAGTGGGATCGAATATTTAAATGAGTGCTATAATGTATTCATAATTGACAGGTCAATAAAATCAGACTATACAACGTGGTTTATAACAGAAGAAAGAAAAGGGTTATTAAAGTTAAAAGCCCAAAAACCCTATAAATTATATCATTTGTACTTCTCAAAATGTATTATTTCTGAGTAGTCTAGCTGTTGGCACTGAAAATAGCTGCGTGAATTATCGAAATGGTACGTGCTTCTTTTTCATTGTAGTAAGACATTATTAAGTATTTTGTATGGAAGTCAAAATACCACATTGTTTACTTTCAAATTGTTGCATCATCGGATACCCGCGGTTGATCAACATGTAACATATAAACATAACATGTAATCTAGTTTACCACCTCAATATCACTTTCGTTAACAGCGACAAGATCGATTGCAAAATTTAATTGCAATATATTAATAAGTCATCAAAATGGAAATCGTAATTTTCAAAATACTGAAGAAGCATGTTTATTAAATTTCCTGTAACTCATTGTTTATGGTTTTATATCATAAATATGATGCTCAAATGAAGATTTATCAATATTCAAATATTTGTAAGTTCCAAAAAGCATAATTTGCAAAGATATTACCGAATTTACATTTCATGTAAATAAAGGGAGGTAATTAGAAATTTATTTTCGATAAAGTCTAAACCATTTTTTTTTCTATACATTTTAATGATTACTTATAATGCAAACAAACATTTGCAGTACATTTTTAACATATTTTGGATGTTTTGAAATTGTTTTAGAAAGATAATTACATACAAATATAAAAATTAATTACACTTAAGTGTTATGATATCCTTAATTACAACATACAGGATCTTTAAGAGGAGGGTACATATCCCCACTTATGTATTGTCTCAATAAACAAAGTCAAATTTATGCGTACCACCATAAATTTTAAATTTAGACCTGTGAACACTTTGCATGCGAATTGTTGTAGGGAATAATGTTACAACGATAGATTTCGATAGCCAATTAAATACATTGCAGAATATAGGAACAGAACAGAACGAACATAATGTGTTTATTTTTCCATTGTGATTCTTATCATATGTACTATTTATGTACATATAAAATAATAAAAATGTGTACATTAATTTGCATAATATAATAGGAACAACACAAAACAGACATATATACTGTGTTTATTTTTCAATTGTGACTTTTATTATATGTGCTATTTATGTACAATAAGTAAACCTCCTTCCAAAAAAATAATTGGTTTGTTTCTTCCAAAAATGCTAAAACCGTCTTAAAAGTATTTTTTTTTTAAAAAACAAAATCTGATTTATTAAACTGTTTTCAAAAATAAATATTAACATTGGCATAATTTAAACGAGCTATGGGGTGATAGGATACATGTATATTAATTGTGAAAGGGTTATCGATGCAGTCTGCCTGACTTTTCCATTAATCAGCATAAAACATTCCGGAATACTGATGAATAATAATCAATGAAAGTATTTTGTCTCACGAATAAGTTACTCGCTTCGGGATCTTTTTAACAAAATTCTATTTGAAAGACCATGCTTGCTATAAGAACGTTACTATTATACTATTGTATGTGACTCACTTCAAATGAATACGTACTGTACATTGTATTCAAGCTGTCGCCCTTTATATAAATTACTTAACCATGTCGTAATAGTATGCCTTTTTCTTCCTATCGAATCAATGAAATACAAGGAAGTGACACATAACCATGCATAAAACGCCGTGGCAAAATGACGCTTCTAATCGAAGAGGCTAACTACAAGAAATTATGTTTGAATTTGTGACCATGACTATATAATACATTGCCTGAAAATAGGTTTCCTTTTTTCCCCACATTTTTTACATTTCATCATAATGATTGTGAGAATGCAATCGCAACTTTTCGGCCCTTTCCATCAGTCGTCGGATAAGGACAATAATAGCCGATTATGTTCCGATTAATAAGAATGCTGATATAGTTATTTTAACTCTTGAAATATCAAGTAAAGTGTAAAAGTGGTTTTATTTTACCCGTTTCCGGATTTATCATGTCACACGAAATACACACATGTCTCTCGAAAGGGACCGCATTATGACCTATGATATAAATGCTTGAGCAATGTTGACATTAAATAATTGCCGATTTTTCTTTCTTAGAACTTTGTTATTGCTGCACAAACCATATCCACTCTTGTTTTGGATCGCCTGGTGAACATGTAATAAGATTAATAGATTTGTTGTCGTCCGCTGCCGTAAGACAGAGTCCACTAACCACGTGCCGTAACTGCATTGTCTGAAACAATATCATACGTACGTGTAAGCTACGTAGCATAGAAGTTATTTTCACTTTCAAAGGCGTTCGGCATTTTTGTCTCCCCTTGATCATCATGGATAAAATTACTATATGTGTAAACGGGAGCTGGTTAGTTATTTTGTTCTTCATGATCAAGGGCCTGGGAGATTATTTTATGATGATTTGACCATTATTGGCAAGACGAATGTACCGAATGCCTACGGATGAAAACCCCTCTCAGAAGAACACTATTCGCATTCAATATCATTTTTCCTGATTGTTTTTCTGGTTTATGTAGCAAGGTGGTAAGCCATTAACGACCCACCATGACGTTTTTACTTCAAATTGACAAAACAAAGAAATTAACATTTTTATATCATTTATAAATGCATGTACAATTTATAAATGAGCCGCGTCACGACAAAACCACATAATGCGTTTGCGACCAGCATGGATCCAGACCAGCCTGCGCATCCGGGCAGTCTGATAAGGATCCATGCTGTTCGCTTACAAGCCCTATTACAAGAAAGGAAACTGATAGCGAACGGCATGGATTCTGATCAGACTGCGTGGATGTGCAAGACTGGGCGGATGTGCACGCTGGTCTGGATCCATGCTGGTCGCAAACCCACTGTGTTAGTTTTGTCGTGACGTGGCTTATATGTCTATCATAAGCTACCTCTGTGTACTCCCATTTAGCCGCAGTGTGATTATGTATCTCAGATGTGCAGAATTTAAGTTGTATGGATTGACCTTCCTGTGGAATTAAGCAACGTTCCAGGAACCGTAGTTTTCCTGATTCGGTCAACTCAGCAAACTGAAATGCATCTAGTACTTTAGTTGTGTAATGCTATTTGTTTCAGAAATAATTTCAAACTGAATTGTTTCAAATTAATCAATGAGCGTTGAAAATAATGCATATTCAATTCTTTTGTAAAACGTTTTTATTTTTCTTTCTGGAGTAGTTTTCAATAGAAGTTTTACACGGATTGCTTAAATTTATATAATAGTGGACACTTACTAGCAGACAATCTTTCTATAGACCCGACCGAATCTATATACTGCTGGCTTTTAGATATTTAAACGCAATAAAAGTATTAAAGAAGTGTGCAAAACACACATTATTATTCTACTTTCTTAAATAAACCAGCAGTTTCTTTCAACGTGCACAGATACAAACCTCCAATACACATGACCCTGGTTTAAACCCTAGACCACTATCGAGAACAAATTCTACTCTGTCCAAGATCAGCCGGCATAATTATCATGGCCTGCACTGTTCGCTTTTCAGTCAGTACTTATTTTGAAATATTAATGGTTTTAGCCTAAGAGCTGTGGGTCATTTAATAAAAGTTTTTGTCCACATTAAAAGAATAACAAGTTCATTTATTAATAAGATATTTTAGCATGGTGAGTAAGAATATCTAGTCACAAAGGCTGATAGAGGAAAGCGACTTTGCGTCACAAAAAGTAGTACATATGAAAGATGGAATTAAAAAGACGTCACGTTCATAGTATATATCACTTTACAACAAAAAGAAAAGAAAAAAACAGAAATCCAACCTGAACCTCATCTCCATGGCACCAGCTTTGTTCCAGGCTGATTTTGTTAGCTGTAGGATTTAAACACAATTGTGATTGCTCGTTTTTAATCTGAAAAGATATAAAAGTATAGTCACTTTATCACGTGGTCATTACACCCTACTGCGTGTGAGCAAATCAACTATGTTACATAAGCTTTCAGTCATTTGGCTTACACAGGCCCCTTATGGCTGAGGATATGCCTTAAATGACTGAGACACAAGACTTGATGCCATCGTTTATCCATGTGTGGTCGTTTAAAGCGACTAAATGTGTTCGAATAACTAGAGTCTATGCATTTCTTAGCTCCAGCAGGTAAGGTGATTTTGACCTCTGGCGTTGCTTTAAAATTTGTTACACTCGAGGCTAGCCAAAGTCTTTTTTTCCTGTTTTGACGCCATATGCATGGCATATACTTTGGTGCGCCGTAAAACCAAACAAACCTTATCCACCTAACACAATAATAAAAAGGGTGTGTTTTCCTTCTTTCGCTTCTTTTTCTAAATACAAACAATATATCACAATTACTATCAACAAGGTTAAGATGCGATACGAAAATATTGTACGACTTACTGCTCCCTGATTACGAATTTCGGTAAATTCAAACATCGCAAATTCTCGAACCTTGTCTAGATAGAAATCAAACGGTTTGCATTTGTTTTCTTTTCTGATTCTAATTCTATTTGATACGTCACCAAAATCTATCTGTAAAAGAATATTAAAACACATTCTGTAAAATGTTTGACATTTTCTTTAAATAACTGAGAAAATAAAAAGTGTTCATGTCTTTCAATTGCCCAGAATAAATTAAGAAATTGAACTGTGGCACATAAAGTTATTAAGTGCTGCGGGCCTTGTGGTTAAGATGTCAGCAGTTCAACCTTGAGGTTTTGAGTTCGAGCCCTCTTGTGGTACTGACTGTTTCATCATGTTTCATACATAACGCAATCTTTAGTTACTTACAGGAAGCGAATTCGGCAATGGTTTAAATAAGTTCAAATCTTTTATCACAACTATTATTTGAAATAAGTAAAGTTATCATTTACAAAAATAAATTCCAAACTTTATACGTTTAACAGTATATTTTTGTACAGATGTTATGGACACATTTTTCCATGTATCTGTTTAAAATTTGACCAGAACTTTACATTATTTCAAGCATGTTTTATGATACATGATATTACATATACTTGTTTCTGATTTTCGATACTAACTCATTCTACTTTAAAGAAAATTAAAATAAAAACGACAAAAAAACAGCCCTTCATTACCGCTAAGCTCCAATTTCATCATAACATAATCTTTTAATTTATATTCATGAGATTGTCATATTTGATCCAGATCCTAACTTTGATCATATCTTTACTCTTTTTTTAAACTGAAATCATATCTGATCCTAATATAGATATTAACTCTATTTTAACCCATTCATTTGATTAAATTTTGAGATGTTTTCATATTCACCCTTATTCGGATATTTTTCATATATGAAGTCAATATTTGTTTTATGTTCATGTATGGTCTACATATTGTAAATTGTTCTTAAAACACACATAATTAATATACCTGTTTTCTTTTGGTGTGATAAAATTGATATATCTTGTATTTATGATCATCAAGCCACGCCTCTGCTACACGAAGAATATTAGCCACGCCTTCATTTCTCATTCTCCACATGTTGCGCCGGAACATGTGAGCAACATACGAGCAGGGAATCATTTCGACACGCCCACCACAAGTCCAAACCTATAACGATATGTTCTTAGATCAGGATGACGGTCGGTGCTTTTGTGACGTCATTTTATCAACAAAGACGCCTTAAGTCGCAAACGGGCCATTCAGTGAGCTATGATATATGTTTAATTGATTTTGAGTCAGAGGTCGACTTTTTGTCCGTTCTGTTATGCAGTATGTTTTACAAACTAAATGTGGAGAGTAAGACTGGTAAAATTGTCAAAATGTCTTCACGTTTAGGCTCATGTTTTGTAAACTTAACTTCTCAACAACATTTTTTTACCACTCTTTGAATATTATGGCTGTAAAAGCTTGAACTTTAAGAAATCACTTTTATTTCGGAACAGTCAATAAAGCCAACATAACATCACCTTGATAGAGAGTTCCATCTGCTCACTGCCCCAGACCTTCATCCCAGGATCGAACCCGCCCAGCTGCATGAACCAAGACTTCCTCATCCCAATCATCATACCTTGAATGATCCCAAATCTACAAATTTAAGACTTCACTATCTAGACCTGCTTAAATTAAACATTACTCATACTAAAATCTTTTATACTCCCCTGTATTTCATAATTATTATTTGCCCATTTAACAACAAATATTTTACCATCTAGGTGTTGTGAATGTCAGCGGTCTTTACCTTTAAAGACACGTACATTGTACTTAAGAAATACATAATTTATAATTATTTAGAAATATCAAACATGTGTTTAATAATGTATTAATAATAGAATTAGGGAATTTTACATGTTTAACAACAACAAAATAACAACAACAACAACAACAATAACAACAGAAAAGCGCCCTTATAATCTTATTCTATTAATATAAATGACTCACGGAAGAGGTTCAGTGTCATTGAGTCTAGATTCCATGAACGACGTTTTATATTTCGCTGAGGTAGTATCCAAATTAAAAAGAAGAAACGGAAAAAAGTATCGTATCTGCCAGAGTTCAGGATGATGCAGTTTGAACGTACGACGGTCAATCGATCCAACATTGGAACATAAAAGAGCTTTCGGCTCTTCAAGAAGTCGACTCAATAGGGGTTCTATCCAACCTGATAAAATAATAATTAAAAAAAACATTTCTCATTTGTTTACTATATGTTTTAACTAGTTATATTACAATTCTTATAAAACAGATGCATGCCGAGTGTCTTGAGGAGGGACAAGGTTAATAAGAATTTTCCTATGCTCATACTCAGATCTGAGGCATTTGTTTGGTCAAAAACAATCCAAACTTTTGAATGACAAATAGATACCCTGAGATTATATACTGATCTCAGAAAATAGTTGTAAAATCTCCATGTCTAAATCAAAATGAGATCCAATTAGCAAAATTGAAATATTCAATTATAATAATAACAATAATATTGACTAAAATGAATGATATTTTTTTTCTATTGTTTCATCTCAATTATAAAATTCGGATATGAAAAAATATCACATGTAAATTCTTCCGTTAGAATAATCATAATAAGTAATAGAAAGAGCACCGAAACACGAGGCTATCTGATTTGTACGAGGGGGCGTAGCCCCCAAGTATTAATCAGATTGCCGAGTGTTTTGGTGTTCTTTCTCTTTTGTATCATAGTCAAACATAAAAGCACGTTCCCTGTTGTCACAATATGAAACCCCGGCAAAAATGAACCAATGAACGAACATCTGATTATGACATTTCTGTCGCTTTCTCTTTCTCTGTCGTCACAATATGTAAACCCCAGCAAAAATGAGCCAATCAATGGGCATGCTCTGGAGTGCGGGTAACTAATACCCGCGCCTCCAGTTAACGCACTGTGCATGTATATGTATAGAATAATACGATTTAACCCGGACACATTTTCAACAGAAAGGTCTCCAAACTATGATACAAGATTTATTATCCATTAGTTCTGTAAATAATTAACACTTTGGAACATACACCTGGGAGACATGATAAAATCATTATGATATGTGTGGTATAGATAAATCGATAAATTCATAAAAAATAACAACAAAAGAAAAGAGCGTTGTTTTATTGTTGTATTACCATCATGATTGTTTTACAATTGTTTACTGTTCATCATTATTATAATACTGGATGATGGTGATAATCGTGTAATGATGGGGGTAGTGAAATCTTACATATTTTCTATTCATGATTGATATTGTATTTCAGATTAATTTAATGTTTCGTCGTCGTCGTCATAATCATCATCGTCGTTTTCGGCCATATCATTATCATCGACACCATTATTATTATTGTTATTATTATTATTATTTTATTATCATAATTATTATTATTATCAAATAAATATCATCATTATTATTATTATTGATTGATTGATTTTATTGATTGATTGATTGATTGATACTTATATCAGAAAGGGAATATTATGTCATACCCCCTGGCGTCCGTCTGTCTGTCCGTCCGTACGTCCGTCCGTCCGTTAGCAATTTGGTTTCCGGAGCATAACTTAAGTTCCATTTGACCCACAATGTTAAAACCTTATAGGATGATTGTCCATATTGGGTAGAAGACCCCTATTGATTTTGGGGTCAAAAGGTCAAAGGTCAAGGTCACTATGACCTTAAAACTGATGACAGTTTCAGGAGCATAACTAAAGTTTTATTCGACCCACAATGTTGAAACTTCATAGGATGATTGTCCATATTGGGTAGAAGACCTCTATTGATTTTGGGGTCAAAAGGTCAAAGGTCAAGGTCACTATTACCTTGATACTGAAAACAGTTTCCGGAGCATAACTTAAGTTCCAATTGACCCACAATGTTCAAACTTCATAGGATGATTGTCCATAGTGGGTAGAAGACCCCTATTGATTTTGAGGTCAAAAGGTCAAAGGTCAAGGTCATTATGACCTTAAAACTGAAAACAGATTCCGGAGCATAACGTAAGTTCCATTTGGCCCACAATATTCAAACTTCATAGGATTATTGTCCATATTGGGTAGAAGACCCCTATTGATTTTGGGGTCACAAGGTCAAAGGTCAAAGTCACTTTTACCTTAATACTGAAAACAGTTTCTAGAGCATAATTAAAGTTCCAATTGGACCACAATATTCAAACTTCTTAGGATGATTTCAATATAAGGTAGGAGACCCCTATAGATTTTGGGGTCACAAAGTCAAAGGTTAAGGTCATTATTAATAACTTAATTATTAATCAACCTACAGCTGTAAAATTGTATAGGATGAACAGCGAATTCCCATGTCTTACAAATGCTTCATCCTTACTAAAAAAAAAAAACTTTCGGGCATATAATGCTCCGCCTAGCGGTGCTCTTGTTTTTACATTATTGTAACTAGGTGCAAGAGAGTAAATCTGTTTATTGTTTTAGTGTGGTTTCTAAACTAAATACAGACAAAAGCTATGAATCTATGTATCAAGAAAAACAAATGTGTTACTTTTCGAAATCGCTCAACCACTGTGAGATGATATTTTACCAATCAAAAATATTGTACCTGGTAGTACTTCCATATGACAGTCCATGCACACAAAGTACTCGGCGTCCACGCTGTCAATTCCCGCCTGTCGAGCCATCATTAGGCCAATGGATTCCTTCAGTCTTATCACTCTTACTTTAGAGAGATTTTCTAGATATATATCTAATACGCTCTTAAGTTCATCTGAAAGAACAAAACTTGTTTACCTAAAAATAAACCAATTCGGGTTACATATAATACTTTACAAATGATTTACACAATAAACTGGCTGCTCACATTTGAATAATTTCAAGTAAAGAATGAATACAGCTATAGTCATTCAACAAGATGGTAAATGGTCAAAGAATCACATTCTCCCTGCTGACTGCCAAAAATGCGAATGTCTAATTTCATAGTACTTAAAGTGTGATTGGTGGACCCGCGATATTCTGCACCAAAAAAAGAAGATACACTTAACGTAAACAATAATTATTTAATAACAGTCGAAGCCCTACTTAAGACCACCTTATCTTACGTAATCATACGAGCAACAAACATTTATTTTTGTAAGGACAAAATGTAAAGTTTTTGAACTATAAACTCAATCATACTGTTTTCAGAGCCATCGTCCACCAGGACAATCTCGTTGACAAGATGATCTGGTGTGTTGTATAAAATGCTGTAAACCGTGCGTAACAAAACGCTCAAATGTTCGTCCTTGAATGGTATCACCACGCCTATCTTCGGTAAATCATCCGGATATATCAAGTCCTTGCATCTTCATAACAGAAAATTTGATTGAACAAATAAAGAACAAACGATTTATTAATGATTTAAGGGTGGAGGGCGTTATGATTTACTTATTATTGGTGTTCATAGATTAGAAGGTTACTGTCTAATTTTCCTAAATGATAAAAGGACTATAATGATAAATTGAGGGCATTTATTGTTTATTATTATTTTTTATCACCAAATGTGATAAAATTTAAGGTGCAAAAGTGCGAGTCAAAATATATAATAAAATAACTTCAAAATAAGATTAACGTAAGCTCCTATTTAGGATAAGAAACATATTTTGTTTTTATCTAATGAACCTTTCTACACTTTTTTCCATTACATTAGTCAGACGTTAAATAAAAGTTGTTTAAAATAATATCATCTTTATCAACAATGTCATGAGATCTTTTTCTTATCATTGTATGGTACTTCTTCGCCATACCTATGCATTTATTTAACTGAAATAGAAATAGTATCTCACACAGTTTCAAAAAGCGAGATATTTGCGATATTAGATCTGTACAGTAATAATAAAGAAGCGTAACTGTATCATTATAATGTTTTGAAAATCACACGGAAATGTTTTATTCGAAACGTCACATAACATCATTTAACCAAAATAAATACATGTAACGATAAAATATTAAAAACAATTATTACATTTTTGGTCTATAATCCTCCACTTTTCTATGTATAGAAATGATGTCACTCAGGTATCCATTAAAATCGTCGTGAAGAAAGTCGTTCAGGTACTGCGACATGTCTTCCGAGGAAATATCATTTTCATTAATGACAACCGCTGATCCGTTTATCCCTGAAACATATTTTACCGCATCTTGAAATTAGTAATGTGATCAAAATAAAATAAAGCTTTTTCTAGAGCCACTTTCCATTAATATACGCCTGAAACCAAGTAAAAATAAGTTTACGAGTATATAATAAATACTTTCGCAGAAAAGCAGTGCCAGTGTATCGTTTGTGTATATACCACAGCATTTTAACTGCTGTCTTAAATATAAACAAGTTTATGCAAAAATAGCAGAACTATGTAACAACTTTCGTTGTTTTAATCAAATTAAAAACTGTGCAAGAATTTCCATAAGAGCAGCATGATGACAACAAATTCCACAAAAATAACTCTTTAAATTGACCTATCATGCATAATCTCCTTTTAAGTTCGCAAGATTTTGAATTAAAGGTAATTATGAATTAAATTATGTACGCCAATAGCTTTTTTGTTAGGGTTTTCGTCGCAGTATATAGGTCGCACAGCGACTTTCCAGGTCTACTTGGTGAACAAGACTTCAGGTGCTCTTCCGTGCATTATTTCAGGCACGAGCAGGCACCTGGGTAGGACCACCGAAGTTCCGTAGTTAGCTGGATAGCTTCCTGCCATGAACAATCCAAAGTCCCTGTCGGTATTCGTACCCACAGCGGTGGGGGTAAGTAGTTTGAAGTCAAAGACTTTAACCACTCGGCCAAGGAGGCTGATAGCTTGTGGTACATTCGTCATTATTTCGTCGCCGTTATGTCAAAGATATTGCTCTTTAATGCGGAATACTGAAGTTTGTCTTAAATTTTACCTGGACCAAACTGCTTCCCCTCGTAGGATTCGAAAATGCTGGTATCTGCTTCCTCTTCTTTGATTTGTCTTAGATGTTCAGAGTTTGAATGTTCAGTAACTGCTTCAATACAATCTTGCATCAAGAAAAACTGAACGGGTAATTCCACGTTATGTTGTATCCTAGAGACTAAATATACCAAAGTCACTCCGTAACAAACGATACAAGTAGCAAAGATGTTCCGATGTATCCATTTCATAATTTATCATTCATTAAAACACGGTTTCAAATAAACTTAGACCCAATAGTTACACGGCAACAATAAATCATTGTCATTGATATATCACCGTTTCTAACAAAAGAGAAAACTATATATGAACGTTTATGTTTTTATATCCAAGGTGTTTCGCGAGGATTTATTTAAGGTTAATCTCATTGACAAACGAATTAGGTGTTCAACATATTGTGAAAAAATGATACGAGTATCAACAATATGTTCAATGAAGATAATTAAGGAGAAATATCTTCATATTCTTATGATTAATATACAGTTTCGATTACGAGTAAAACGTACAAAAAGAATAACAAAACATTCATACGCTTTTTAATCCACAACATGATACATAAAAATGTTATTTGATCTCATTTTGATATGAATGATGATGAATGTTCGCAAGGCGATGCAGCTTTCATTAATTAAAATATAACCCTTTCCACGCTAAATGGACTTGTCAATAATCCGTTCTGAAGAGTATCAATTATCATTTTCAGGGTTAAAGCGGCCTTCGGCATTTATTTTATGTTGGGAAAATAAAACAATTCTGTGTTGTTTCAGTGATTTTATCTTGGAAAAATGCATCATATTAAGAATTATTAAGCCTTCCCCGAGAGCTATCTATAACGCGCCAATGACGTTCGTTTCTAAAAATAGGAGATCGCGAAATGAATATTACACTAAAACATAAAGAGAGGACCGGTAGATTCGAGCTATCGAGGGGATGGCTTATTATCTATGTAATTTATCTTCGACAAGTTTCATGTTCATAATTATATGAATTAATATCTAAAAGGCTGATTACAATCAAACGGCACTAGACAGAAACTATTGCCACCAGACTAAGACTTAATAATCAAAATGTTCTAAATTCAGATTACCCTTTTCAACAGTTTTGCCCAGTATTGGTTAGGGGTTTTTTTAGCTTAGTTATGTTAACATCTTCAGTTGATTGAAACAGATACAATAAACAGTGATTTATACTCAAAGATTAAATAGGCAATTAGTACGATACGGAATCTTACTTCCGCCATTGACTTTTCGATCAAGGATGTAAGTTTCCATTTTTCTAACTGTAAATCTAACACGAAAAGTCTTAAACAAGAAGTTCTTGATTCCACAATTGTCAAGCTAGTTTCGCGTTGTCTACCCAAAAGTAGAAATCAAAGAGCTAATTTTAACTTTTAAAATGAGGACTTGGAATTGTTAACCTACAGGCTCAGTTTCACGTTGTCGAGTTAAACGTTTTCCTTGGCAAGAACAGGCGAAATTAGTGACTGTTAACTTCAGGTTTTTACTGATGCATGTATGTCATGACACCGATAGACGGTGAAAAAGTTCGTTCCGAATCGCGATCGAACAATGTCTCCCGAAATAGAAAAGGACATTAGAAATTAATTCATGCAAAATTATACCTAAATGGAGATAAAACTCAATTGAAAATTTTGTTTTATCTTGAATGGAATGTGTCAGTTAGGTAAGTTTCATATCATATCAAACATTACCTCATCTGTTATCAGTGCGAAATTATTTCTTCAACTTAAAATAAGGATTCGTCCCTTTTTCGATACGCCTCTTCTCGACTCGGTCCTGTTTTATGTTTCGCTTCTGTTGTAATTTCAATAAGCCCCCTGTTAATCACGATTTGCCTCTTATTTGATATGAAAATGTAATGAATTTGAAATATTTTTGATTATTCTCATTTGTTTGGAAGTACAAACTGTATATGCTTTTGTTTTGTTTTTCTTAAATTGAAAATAAAACATTTCACTAATAACAGACGAGGGAAGGTTTGATATGACATGAACTTACCTAACTGATACATTCTTTTCAAGGTAAAGCGAAAGTATAATTCTATATGAAATAATTTTTAATGTCATTTTCTATTACGAGAGACATTTTTCACGATTTTTGATAATGTAGTAAAACGTATATACGTAATACAGGAAATTGTCTGCTTTGGCGATATCTCATACACAATCAATATACATGATATAGCTAGGTGGAACAGCACTTCGGATCTCGGTGAAAAAATAAAGACAGCAGGCCGGCGACCTGCCTTGGGTTGCGGGAAATACTGGCATCATGATAAGAAATGACTTACGGCCGCGTTTGATAGTGTTATAGAAGGAATGACCGAATTTACCCTCAATCATCCCCAGGCATAATAATGATAGTAGTAGTAGTAGTAGTAGTAGTAGTAGTAGTAGTAGACTAGTAGTTATGATAATAAATATCTGCATGTAGGTTTTTATGTGTATTTGTCGTCTTACTTGAGCAAATCCGTGAGTTTTCATATAAAAAACGCAAATTGTCGACTGTTACATTTGCCATGTGCGGAACAAATTTACCAGAAACTAATAATATTTAGTAAATAAATACTTTGAATAATCATTCAATTTAGTGATCTTTTTAGATCGATCATTATCAATCGAATGCTTAAAACTTATCAATAGCATAGTGAAATAAAAGATAAATGATTTGTTTTCAGTGTTTATGCCAGAATTTCTTTTAAATTTTAAGGCGTGTCAACTCAATTTAGGTCAATGGCACCGAAATAGGAAAGATGATTTTGGCTAACCTTTGTTGTTACAAACTTAAAGCAACATCAGGGGTCAAAACCAACTCACCTAAAAGTATGTGAAATAGAGATACATAGACCCTAGTAATTCAAACCCATTAAGTCATATTTTACAATTACGAAGGGATAAACGGTGGCTGCAATTATGATGCCTCAACCATGGAGGCCAATCGTTCAGCAATAAAGGGCCTTTGTACATAATATTTCGCTGCCATATCAATGGTGAGTGTTTGTTCGACAACTCCATACACGTATAATGAAAAACACAGACTTTTAATTTACCATTGAAACTGTAACAGATATTTTTAAAACAAGTTCAATAAGATTTTTATGCAATTCTCTTAAAAGCACGCTATGCTTATGAAACGAACAAATACTTCATTCTTTAGAAAGGGAAAATGTGAAATTTATAACGATTAAATAATCGTTTCAGAGCATGTTAGATGCTTTTTGACCTGAGCACTTAGTCATATAAGTAACAACATGTAAACAAAGCAGTATTTTAACTTCCATACAAAATCACTATAACTGTATTATTTGCCAAAAGACAAAGAAGACAAGGGGGGGGGGTAAGATAATAGGCAAATTTGACTTTTTGGAAACTGTAACATACGACCAAAAAAAAAATAAACACTGTTTATGAAACAAACAAAAATAATAGGGGTTTATGGGGCATAATGGGCCTTTAACAAAATAAACCTGAATGATGTAGATGACATTATATTAAATATTGTGTATATATACAGAGAAATCCGACTTTCAGTCATGAAAATCCCGCAGGCATTACTATTTTAAGATACATCTTTAGAGGTTATTAATCTTAGTATATTTAACCATCTGATTGTTATATTTTCAGATAACGTATCTATTGTATGTTTTTCTCTAAAGCTTAAGTAAGATGTAGCCTTTTAATGGATTTCTTCTTAATTACTAAGATCGTCCTTCTTATACCGTTTTCTTCTCTTCTTATAATTGTTATTAAGTAATAAGACTTTTATACACCAAATGGTAAGCAGAACAACACTCCTATTCATAATGACCTTTTCTGTAATCACCAAAAAAAGCAGTTCCATTAAAACAACTAGTCAGAATAAATAATGACCTCTATGGCCGGTAATGTACTAATACTTGTTTTAAAACATGTTCCGGTTTTTCAAGTTTATCGGGACCGCGTTCGACTTCTTTAACGGCCAATTGAATCAAACGTACATAGTTGTTTTGAAGTGACCATTATTCTTGAACATTACAAAAGAACTGTTTATATACATGTAAGTAATTCAGTTTTTTTTTCTTATATCGTTTTTATATATAAAAATGAATTAAAGAGTATTTTCTATCGCATACTAAACAGAATTCAAATTTTGATTTTAACTCTTTTAACTATCACATCTTCATGCAAATCATAAAATATTATAATCTACATAAAAAGGTTTCTTATGAAACAGACTTTTATAATCCAATCACTTTCCAGAACAAGATCAAAACGATATAAGGGATTCTCAATAAACAGTAATAAAATATTAACAGTTTTTTGAGAAATAAAAATGATAGGATTGTCACAATAATTTGTTAAAACAAAATACAGTAATAGTCGTGTAACAACACAAATAATCGTGTGTAATGTCTATTACATTAGCGTCATTTAAAATTGTTGTTCAGGATGATGCAAGTGTTTCGTCAGTTATCGTAATTTGTTTGACATAGGGTTTTAATGATATCAAAGTTCTTTGTATCCAAACAAATGATTTTGACCCGATGTTCTTGTAGTAAGTACGACAGAATTGTAACCATGAACCTAATTTCATTTTTTGTCCCAACCTTATAGAAAATAAAAGGGCAAACACGATTGCAATAAAATGCCACCTTTTCAAAACCATTGAAAAAAGGTTGCTTTATATTCAATTATTTCACCTTTTTACGTTACCACATCATACTTCGTTTTTGTCACGTGATTAAACATCAACGCCCGATACCTCCATAGATTAAGAGTGAAATGGGTCAGTTGACACACATTTTTCGATCACTTTTAAGATACATGTATTTGTAAAAGTTATAAATGATTCCAAGTCAGAAAAAATGATCTTAACGTGTCTGAAAGGTTTTCACCGAAAGGCCCATTATGCTTCAAACGTGCTTTAATATCTATTTCTCAAAATCTTTTCATTTTGGGTGGCATGTCAAATTATATCCCAGTTACAAATTGGCAAATTACCTGACAAATATTTTGCTTCTGTTGATTTTTAGCAATTAGTAAAGTTATATTGATTTAGTACTTTGTATGGAAGTCAATAATACAAATTTGTTGACATTTTTGTTACTTTTATGGCAAAACGTTTTATATTTAGCACTTCTTACTTCCAGTGAAAAAAACTGTATATAACATGCTATAAACCCATCATTCAAACATTACAAAACTCATGTCCGGGTCATAATGTGCCTTTAAATATTGTTGTCATTTTATTAGAACATACACTTCTCTCATTGATAATTATTGACACGCAAGCTTACAATTTAAGACACTTTTCGTGTACGAAACGTGACATACTGTTTACTGTGAGCCAGACACTTAGACTTAACGTTGCACGAACGTGCTGATTAAAATTGATAAATGATATAGTGTTAGCTTTCTTGAAAATGCAAATTAAGACAAATTATTACATTATGCTATATAAGAATCTTACACTGGTTGCCGGTACAGACCGGAATATCTAGCTCAAGGTTAACCTGTTTACGGCAGTAACTCGTGAGAATACTGTTTATAAAGCCCACTCGATGAAATAAAATTACATCTTACACAACAAACAAACACATTTTCTTTTTATTTTTTGGTTAAAATTAAATTTCCTTAATATTCGTAATTTCAATTAGCAATGAGACTACAAGAAAATCTCTTACTCGCTTTAGACTTAGTTCACATAATTTGGAAATTGAACAAGGGAGATTTAATGGGATTGATAGACAGAATAGATTATGTAAATTATGTAATCAAAATTTTATTGAATCTGAGTATCATTTTTTTGCTATGTTGTAATAAATATGATGATTTAAGAAGACAGTACATGTACTTGGGAAATATCCCATGGCCAAATGTTCATAAATTCAAACAGCTTACGTTAACAAAAAATAAATTTAAACTTTTTGAAATAGCAAAATTTATAGATGAGTCAATGAAATGCCGAAACAATTATTTAGAATTTCTCACGGCTTCTTAACGAATTCTTAAATCATTGTCTCTTAAATATAAAATTGATTGATTATTAACTTGTATTTTTTCTGTACATTTGTTTGATTATATCAGTGTAAAATGTAAACATGTTTATAGTTATATTGCTGTTAAATGTCTTTGCCATATAATGTATGTGAGTAAATGGCCGAAGACAATGTTCATTGTCGATTTGCCAATAAACTTGAAATATTAATGTTAATATTCAAATCTGTTTTCCCCATTGACAGCCTCATTTAGTCGAATTTCTTATCCAATACAAAACGTCTCGGGCTGAGGAATAAGTTCGACAATAAACGTTAAATGGCGGTGATATTATTCATTTTATTAAAAAAATATAAATTATCGCTTGTTTTAATAATTCTTGTAGGAGAAAATCCCAACCATCCATCCATATTTCTGTTACTTACTGCGAATTTATATTAGATCTGGCTTTGTGAAATGTAAGCAACCGCCATTTTTAAAGTTTGTGTATTTCACGGGAGGAAAATAATTGTGTTTGATTCATAGGGGTGTCATTTGGATTTGTTATTCATAGGGGTGTCATTTGAATTTGTTAGTCATACACCTTTTTAAAAGAAAGAAGATTTGTTTGAGGATTGTAACAGACAAATAAGTGTTGACAGCAGTGCAAACATTCAAAAAGCAGCTAGGAAATTGGAAAACTTGGAATTGTTGCAATTTGAAAGGCTGCCTTACGAACGCTGGGTTGTTTACTTATTATTCGGGCTGATGGCTGTTATTGCTTTTTATGTTTTCATAAAGCATACGGAAGTTATTGCTCGTAGGATACTTAAATATGTCCAAATGTCATCAAACGCAGTATTGCATGATGAAGGAATGTATTTTTCAGACTGTAAAAATGAAACAAACAAAACATAAGAGACGATATTTGGTGATTGGTTATTTGAATTAATAGAAGTAAGTTTTCTTCTTTTTATAACTATTGACATTTAAGTTATTTATCAATATCAGCTTTGCTTTTCTCTAAACAGCCTGATATTGTCAAAAATAAAATTGAGGTACCACATGGGGAAAATCTTAAAAAGTAGTTACGTCATTGAATACAATAAACAATAAATACGTTGATCATAGTATTCAGTATAAGAGGCAACAACAAACCAAGAAACAATTATAATTATATGTTTGTTGTGAGAGATACCTGACCCGAAATTACATACATTTATATAGAAGATAATAAAATGTTACAGAACAAAATAGTTTAATTACACGACATATGAATGTTCATAATAAATCACTTCGTACTGTATCAACATTGTTTTCCCAATACAAAAAATTATAACAATATCTAAATGGTACATTTCCATTGTTTCTAGAAATGAGCCGCGTCACGACAAAACCAACATAGTGCGTTTGCGACCAGCATGGATCCAGACCAGCCTGCGCATCAGGATCCATGCTGGTCGCTTACAAACCCTATAACAAGTAGAGAAACTTATAGCGAACAGCATGGATCCTGATCAGACTGCGCGGATGCGCAGGCTGGTCTGGATTCATGCTGGTCGCAAACCCACTATGTTGGTTTTGTCGAAACGCGGCTCAAATATTTGAAATACTTTTGGAAGATATGCTCATTAAATTAGTAATATATTTGACCAACAATTGGTAAAGAAAAGTGTTTTTTACTAAATATGTAAATTAATTATAATCTTAATTTTAAAATGTCTGCCGAAAGCTTTATAAGAATTGTACATTTCCTATACATTCTAAAAATTTTTAAAATTGTATAGACATTTTCGTTTGGATGTTTTCATGTGGATTATTGATTATTTTATTAAAATGCAAATATGGCCACAATTATGACACAATGACAAGTTATTATGATTTACTTCTTCAATGACCATTATAATGGATAGGCATAATGTCACTTTAAAATCTCCTCTCTTGTACTTTTTACTGTGAAACGTCTTTTGATAAATCTTTTCTTTATAAATAATTTCCGCAATTCGTAACGAAACCGTTTTCCAGACAAAATATAAACAAAAAAGTTTACAGCATAGTTCAGTAAAGAGATAGACACTGATAAATCAATAAAAGGTCTAAGAGCAACATATGTGTTCCTAGCGGTTTCTATTGACCCAACTTTAATTGTAACGTCAACAATTAAACTTAATGTAAACAATGGTAATAATGTTATAATGTATAAAAATGTAACAATTAATAGCATTACAGTGCTCCTGTTTCTTCGCCATCGTGCTCTATCGACTTTATACGTCAAATAGTCATCCTTCATCCGTAGGTCTTTCCTAACACGAATAATATGACATATAACAGTAATGTTACACACGGTTATTAAAACTACAGGTAAAACAAATACAAGTGCCCATAGAAAAAAGTATACGTCCAAACTTGTATAAATTTCTATGTACATATCAGATGCAAGACAATCATGAATGTTGTTTTGCTCGTCGTACACTATATGCTCTATCATAAAAAGCCTAAAGGATTGTGTCAAACAGACAACAACAAAGAGAATGCATATCGCTACTCCTGCACCGGTTTCCCTCCGGAAGTAGACCCTTTTAAATGGGTAACGCACTGCGACGACACGTTCAACAGCCATAAACACGACTAACCAAGAACACATTAAAGTTATTACATGTGCTAGAAAGTTGTACAATTTGCAGCTGCCATCATCAAAGTTTTGAAATATTCCTTTTGTCTTTCTATAGGATACAAAATATTCATCCACACTTTCCACTTGTCGAAATATCAAAGTGAAAGTATCGAGCACTGCAAGAGCACAAAGGTAATGCGAATAAGTTTTACGACGTAATGTTTTAGTTTTCATTACAAGGAATGATAGCACGTTTCCAATTATCCCTACAAGAACAATGACAGGTGTGGAGAGAAACTTGGCCCAGAATCCCCATTTTGGAATCACAGGTATAGGATAATCTGAAAATGAAGATTTATGCAAAATTAGTTACACTATTTAGCATATAGAGGATATTGAACGAGTGTAAGTTCAATACTGAATTTATTGAGCAAACTGAATAATATTAATGCGAATCTCATAATTTAATGAGATCAAAACATTCAGTAATGGACCTGCACGAATATAATATTCTATTTATAAAATGTAGACTGTTTAATGTAAAAAAGAATAATTGACGCGGTGTTATATGTCGCAACGACGCTGAATGTCACACTTGTCTCTAAGTGTCGCACTATTACCGCTTAATGTTGCAACCGGCGCTTAATGTGTCAACATATTTTGCCGTTACATGTCGTGATGATGCCGTTAAATGTCGTACCATAATCCCTTACCGTAAAATGTCGCAATATCTGATTCATGTTAAACAACTCGAATTATGTCAAGTTGAACATAAAATCTTGGAGTTAGCAATCTATAAAATGTGATGTACAAAGTAATTGGTTGAAATTGAAGTCATCTTAGTCAGTATTATAAACTGATGACCACAATTCAAGCCAAAGAGCCCTTGGTGATAAAACACATATATATAATTATGTTTTTCGTGTAGCAACAACGGCAGCATTTATAACATAAAGGACTTAAAAGAAAATACTTGGTACATAACATTTTCCTATGATGAGTGCCTCAATCAAATTGTAAAAATGGGTAATCTGATAGTGGTATAATAATAACACATATAGTTTAATCCCTGCAATACCAATGGAACCGCAGACAATATGCTTGAAGGTGAAAGGCGGGCAGAAATTGATAAAAACAATCTGATCTAAGATTGAACTTTAATTGAATCTTTCTATAAGAAACTTTTGTGTGTTAGATTCATCTCAATCTGATGCCGTAGCTCGAATTCACGAAATCTGGGTTGCTAAATGAAAAACGTATATAAATGTGTTTTATCACCAAGGGGCCCTTTGGCATAGATTGTGGTTGTCAATTTATAATATCGACTAAGGTGACTTCAATTTCAACCAATTACTTTGTACATCATATATCTGGTAGATAGCTAGTTCCTAGATCACCTACATTACATTAATATTGTCATAATACGAGTTGTTTTACATGAATTTAGATATTGCGACATTTAACGGTAGTGTTGCGACATTAAACGGCAAAATATGTTGCGATATTAAGAGGCGGTTGCGACATATAGAGGCAAGTGCGACATTTAGAGTCGTAACGACATATAACGGCGCCACAATAATATTTCATTTACGCGCTCGTAGTGTAACGTTAACATTTAGCCAATCTTTACATTATGTTTGTATAACGCAAACGACGTCACGCCCGTGCAATACCTTTTTTACGGAGTCGCGAAAGCGGCACTGGTATGTGATAAAATATAATACAGACCATCATTCAAAACGAGCCAGGTCAGTAATTATATTCTGTACTATATTTATATAATAAACAAGTTACTGTCTATATCTTATATACATGTGTTTAAAATAAGTCTTAAAGTGGCATTATGCTCATTTTGCTCATTGTCAAGATAAGCAGAAGTGATTAATAAAAAGATAGACTGTTTTAATGGTAATTTACCAGCAGTGGATGAAAAACGTTTCAGACTTAATATAAATCAGCCTAACACATGAAAAGACTGCCCAACCTTTTTTTTTAAAAGTAACGCCGATGGTTAAATTTAATTACAGAAATTTTCTTGGGCCACGTGAGTTATGTATCGTTCATGCGAAGTAGGTTTTAAAACATAATATTTGATTTATCCGCTAGAGGATTAAATCTTTTATTCAAATCTTACAACTTAACATTTTTATTATAACACCCCAGTAGGGCCTCAAAAAGAGTTGTCAGGGGAGACAACTTACACTGGATTATGTCATATATAAGGCAGAAAAAATTCTGGGAACGGTCTTTCAATCGTGGCTCACCATAGAAGAGGTAGACTAGTTTATCGTTAAAAAATCTACCTGTGTACCTTGAGTTGAAGCATGTGCTACCACGTTTTTGCAACCGTTGCCGGGGCAAAAACAGTTATAGTAAAGACATTAAGTAGTTTTAACTCGAAACACATAGACATTTCAATAGGTTAAATAATTAAAATGCTTTTATCCAGCCATGGCCGTTTTCTCGCCAACACGTTTTTATAAATAAATACTATTACGTTTTTTAAACTGATTTCTCTTTTCCTTTATTCCCAAGTTGTAATGTTTGAATAAACATAAATTATGGCAAACTTTTAACTATTTTGACATTCACCTGTACACTCATTATATATCCTTTGGTCGGCATAATGTCATGTTTAACCATGCATATAAACAGTAGCATATTAAAGATAAATGTAATTATAGGTAAAAATAATTAGAACAAGAAATATATTAACAAGATATTTTGATTTGATTATTCAACATACGTTTATCTTCAAATTTAAATAGTAAATGTTTATGAAAAAATATCTTATTATAAAAAGGAAGAGGTAAGTACCTGTTATATAATCCGAGTAATCACTGTCATTAATCAGAGTCCCATTTGTTGTTATAAAGTCCATCTTTTTTGCTTTAAACTTTAGTTTCCAATTTTTATTTTCACACTGTATAAAATATTATTATCCTGGAATGAATAAAGCATATATCGGCTAAAATCAAAGAAAAATTTAATCTGATGGCGATCATTTCTGAATTCCTGAAACCGATCCATCATCCATTTCGTAAAATGAGACAGATTTGAAAAAAAAAATCTGGAGATTGAGAGATGTTTTTTTGTCTGATCGTGTTATGTACCTGTTTGATATAAATCATCGATAATGAGTTTTTCATATTGAGGAAAAAACAACGTTATGTTGGTGGTAGGATTTTCTTAAGATTCATATTATCAATAGCACACAGAGAAAGTTATAATATTAATGTATTGAAGATGAAAAATTACATGTATTATAATTGGCATGTATTTTCTTTTGTATTTGTATGTATGCAAACAGAGTACATGAAAATAAAACTTGAAACTTGAAGATTATTATAAAATAAAATCTGACAAAATTTATTGTTGAAACATTAATACAATTAAGTTCGTATATAAAAAGGAATTATTATTATTATTATTATCATTTTTACTTTTATTACTCAGTGTAATGTTAAAAAGAAAAGTTACAAGAATATGCTGATGTCTTTGGTAATTATACATGTTCTGAAGAGCAAAGTTCTCTTGTAATATTTCCTTTTTACTTTTTTCAACAATAAAAATTCTTAACTTAATTTTGTTTTCAAAATGTATTTATGTTGTCATACTTCTAACTTAATGTCATTTAAAATATTATACCTCACTAATATTAAAGAAAAACAAATATGGAAAAGTATCATAATTAACACATTTTACATTCTACTTTTTAACTTTATGAATACTTACATTTACAGAACAAATCACCTCCAAATTCGCATAATTATTAATTAGAATTACTATAATTTCATTATCTCCATGATATCCTCCTTTTCATTAATAAGATACACCTTCTGTATAACTGCAAGTCCTCTTGAAATCCACTAGCGCTGAAGACGGTCTCTCACTTAATAGTAAGCGTTACTTATATAGTGAGTATGTTCTTCGTTTGCTTTTATTGGACTTCTTTCCAGATCATTGGAAAACAGCATGATATTTTGTCATCATAAGAATTCTGTCTCTTGCGACAAAGTAGATAATGATATTAAAAGAATGACAAAAAGGCAATTAAGAAAGAGGCTTTTGTACCTGCGTGTCATATTCAAGCCTATACTGTAGAGAGACAAACCTTACGTTTTAAATATACATATTCCAATATAATTTTTATAGATTTCTATCAGAAGAAGACGGAAATAAGAAATAAACCAAGTTGAGATGGAATTAAACATTAATTAGGTGTTTGCTATTGAAGATATATTTTATCTTACTTAGAAAATTCTTAGCATTCTCAAAATTAATGGAAAAAATGATGGATCGGATGAAGATGATTAAAAAATATATTAAATGGGATACATTTTTGAATTTCAGAAACCATTTTATAATCCAGTTTGTATTTCTATTGGGAAACACCTAGATCATGTAGATAACAAGATTATAAATCCTTACAATGTATTGTCTTCTAAATAATTCTAAGGAACGAACGTCAAAATAACTTATTCGCTCCCTTTTTTATTTATTCATGATTCATACAAATCCATCCGTTTCTATTTCATAACACTCTCTTCTTATTTTTGTAATCCAGGTCATCTATCATGTCTGAATATAACACGCTAGTTTTATAATACTTATAGAAATGCGTTGTAGACCTGCTTTCATAATAAGATAGATTGTTTCTCATTTATCAGGCTTTTTTTCCTCGCATTATTAAAAATAGAAACAATACAATATGTCAGTTATTAACCGAGTTCTAAAAAACTGAGAGCAAGTTACTAAAAATGTAACACTTTTAGAAGGCACTTTATGAATTTCATAACATGTCTGGCTTATCTTTTACGAACAATTCAAAACAGTAATTTTGATTTACATTGCAAACCTTTAATATCAATTTCGTTGCATCAGATTGTGTTACACGGGTTTATGATACATTATGTATATTACATTTAAGTCTGTTAGACTTAACTGCATTAATTTCGTAAAAGACAAATAATAAAAAAATATGTAAGCACGCATCAAATGTGTTTGTTTGATTTGGCTGGTTTTTACGCCGATTTCAACACATATAAGCATTCAGTCAAACTCACCGGCTTTCCCGGATAACTTGCAAGTCATTATAATTTCCAATTATTTGGCCGGAATGTCATGTCATTGTGATAACACTTCAGCTGTATGGTTACATGAAATGTAACAGTTAGTTACTTGGCAATCGTTGTGTAAGACTTAAATCATCATTTCAAGTTTATAATTGTCAACTTGTATTTAAGACCCAGTTGTGGCACGTTTAAATGAAACGCATCGAATTTTGAAGTTCTATACATATCATTGAATGCTATACAATTAAGTTTCAAAAGAAGATGGTGTTAAGTTGTAAAGGACAAAAAAGACCTCTTTATTTTTTTATTTTTTAATGATATTAAATGATTTATATATCTTAACAAAATGTCAAATAGCGACTTTTGGCTATTGTCTAAATATTTGTTACATTTTTGCAGACGGTATCGTGCTTTTCACAACAAGTCCAGAAAGATTACAAGCTCAAGTTGATTATGTATTAGAATACTTGTTATTTGTCATAATAAAGTTTGAGTTTTTGAAACCAAAAGATTTGTACATTATTTTAGAATAAACAATGACGGTTAATTTGTAAAACTTTTCGTATTTAGGTGTTAATTTTCTTATACTCGTAGTTTTTCTGAAGCAACCAAGATTCTTGTAGAGCGAGGTCTTAGAGCATATAATAATTTATCGGGCATTTTTTACAAAAGCAAAAGTGCACCTTCTTGATAACCCGATAGTTCCATTCTATTTTATGGCCCAGATGTATGGGGAATGCACAAATTTAGAGATATTGATAAAGTCCAAATTAAATTTGTGTGTTTTTGGTGTAAAAAAACAAACAAACTTCTAATTGTACAATCGATGAAGAACATGGTGAATTTCTCTTTTGTGAGTTTTATAAAGGTCTTTAAGATTTTAGAACAAAATTGTTAACAATCAACATTCACCTATATGTAGTATGTATTTAGATAATTGCTTGGCAAAGCAAGCGCATACTTTCATAATTAAGTTAGGGTTTTAATATTTGTTAGATAACGATAACGTTATTTCTTATTTTAGATTGATTTTCAAACAACGCCTTAGAGATAAGAGTTTACAAAATAGGCATAAGCAAATTGATAGCATACCAAAACTCTATTATTTTAGGAATTTCAAATCAAACTCTTGCTTTAAGTAAAATCTAAATTCAATACTAAATGACAAGTTTAGAAAGCGGTCTTGGTTCTTATTCTATAAAAAATGAAACTAGGAGATACTTCTGTTTACACAGAAATAATAGGACATGTAAACTTTGTACACAAAACAGGATGGAATCAGAATTTTACTTCCTGCTTTGTTGTCCATGTTAATCAGTATTAAGAAAAGCTTCATAATGCATCTTTTACCACATTTAATACGTTTTATTACATTATGTTATCAACGAATAAGCATAGATTATTACAGATAAGTACATAACTGGACAAAAGTTTTGATTTACGATCTACGATGTAATACCATACGACATACAACATCAGTATTATATGATTATTTCCGCATTGCTATGCTTATAACGGAACATAACGGCACAATTATCACCACCTCTCAAGTCATTATCATAATCGAATGTAGTGAATCTCATACCGTTATGAGCATTTAAACAATCGAAACTGTTTCCGTTAAATCCTGCAACTGTCAACCTATTTATCAGTTTCGTCATTTACCTTTAATGTGGTATATTCGGCAAAAGCTGATGCGGGTGAAACATTATCATGATCAAACATTTCCATATAAAGTGCACTACCAATTGTTAATAATATTAATATATCTAAGACCAAGCCAGTACTTGCCGGTTATGTTCCCAAACCCATTTATTCCAATTTCTTTAAAAGTTTCAGATCCATCCTGACGGTGTTGAATAACTGTCCATCCACCATTTAACATGCCACACCACATCTTAATATCAACACCTTCCTTCGGTTGAATAACATACACACCGTCTTCAGTATAGCCAAGCTCATATAGGGAAAAACAGTCAAATACGCCTGGTAGACGATGTATTTTCTGGTATAACTTTTCGGATGTCTGTAAAAGTAAATTATGGTTCAAATATTTATCGTCAGACATTTTTAATTAAGAAAATATATAAACGAGGATGGGTCAATATTTAGTACAATATGGTCACTTAATATAACAAACGAGCATATATTTTTACAATTGTCTATTTCAACACGTCAAAAAATCTTCTCCACCAGAAATACAAAGTTTCATACATTTAATCCAATTTTAAATGCGTCAACAAAGTCCTCTTTAGTTATACTTTTAATTAATTGAAAAGAAGCCAACCAAAGTCCATTTATAATCTTGAAGTGATGACTTTGATGTTTTTTCAGTCCAGGAAAGAGGAAAACATCACGAAGTGCAAGGTTTGGAGAATACGAAGGACAGTTACGGAAAAGGAAAATAATTAAGTACTACTTTGTATGCAAAAGCGTCTTCATTGCAGAAAGTATATACGTTTCATAGCAATCAAAGTATGTAATTTATTGACGCGTTTGTGCATTTTTGTTTAAACGACATCTGTTGACATATCGACCTCTAAAAACAGAATTTGAACAACAAATTCCACGGATTAAATTAGCATGCATAACTTTCAAGATACTTGTCAATCGCTTTCAATGCATGATCATCGAATATTTTTCATGGCCCAAACCTAACTGTTTCACTGGGAAACTGGCGTAACAGGCGTAATGTGCCCCGGGTCTAGGTACGAGTATCAATATGTGCCCAGGAGATCGCATTAGGTGACAAAGTGAAATCTTTTAGGTTGGTACGCGATAGATATTGCGTATATGTAAGTATATTAGGAATGTGTGCTCTTAAAACAAATCGCGTGTAACAGTTATGGCTTTAGATGCACATGTAAT